ACAAGGCAGGAAGGAACATGGCTTGATTAAGAAGCCTGCCGAAACTGTTGTGGTAGGTGTGATTTGATTCAAGTAGACCATTGTTTTTCTTGTGAGCAGGGAATTCAAAATTCTTGTAACCAATGTAAACTAAAAAACGTTGTTATCTTAGTTTGGAGTTGATTTCAGTAAGTCCCTTTGTGCAAGTTGTGTTTAACGTGTTCTGGTTAAAAGCCATGTATCAGAACGCTTCAATTTTTGCCTTGTTTACTGGTCCATTACAAAATATAATTCTGCTCATTTCGAAGAAAGTAGTTCAAGAGGTTTCCATTGATCACCTGGGATCAACTCATTTTTGATGATGACAAAGGAGGGGCTTGGAGTACAAGGCACATTAGTGCAGTTTTTGCTATTTCAAAATGTACTTGTCAGAAGTTTCGAAATTTCATGGATCCTTATGGCAGAAAGAAAGTTCAAACTGACTTTTTGATGTTTAAAAATAGGAATTTGGGAGCGAATTTTTCACAAAATATGCATCAAGACCAGTTTCACTTGAAATTGTTAATATCTCAACTTATAAAAACTGCACTAATGCGCCTTGACCTCCAAGCCCCTCAATTTCATTTCAATGCAGGAATACCAGAGAGAATTTAAATGAGGCCTTGTTCTTTATGATGATTAAGGGGAAAAGATTAACATAAAAGAATCCTAAGGAAGCTGAGTTTATATAAATGTAGGAACTTTATTTACAGGAAATTTTTTGTAATTCATTATTTACAGTTGCCTCAGCTGGTTTATCACTTTAAAGCTTACCAATTTCATTCTTGAATTTAGTGATTGTTTCTTTAGCATTTTTAATACGGTCCTTGTATTCGCTAATTTCTTGTCTAATCTTCTCTTTGGCATTTAAAATGGCTTGAAGGGTTCCCTCGAGTGGTTTCACAATAACTGGAATAGTTTTGTCGCCGTAACAGACAAAACATTTTTCGGGCATATTTTTAGTAGTAATGATAATCTCTCGAATTTTTTTGCATTAATCTACACAGGGTTATGTGTTATAGTGCTTTTCAAAGATTTATTGCTCTACCCTTCAATTTTAATATATGAATGGCCGAAAATGTGCTGTCTGTTACGCTGACTTTTTACCGTGTAACAGACAGCCTATTTTCGGAATTTACATACCTAATATTAATTGAGAAGTAGAGCAATAAATCATTAGAAAGTGTTATAATAGGACCCTTTTAAGGTTAATGCGAAAAAATTCGAGCGATTATTATTTTTACTAAAAATGTGACCGAAAAATGTGTTGTCTGTTACGGCAACAAAATTATTCCAGTTATCGTGAAACCACCCTCTCCTTCTTTTCATCAACTGAAACAAATTAGAATTAGTCACCTCAATTAATTTTAAAGCAACTTTAAGTTAACAATTGAAAATAAAAAAACTGAGATAAGAATAATATTAAAAGATGAACATTCCAGATACAATAAAGAATACATTTAATCTTGCAGCCAGGGCTTCGTTCTAGGCTAACCTTCTTAGTTCCATTTCATAATCGTACCTTTGATGCAAAAGGTCTTCATTTACATCTTTTCTTGCTTCATGCTAACCAGATATTGATTGCCGAGGTCAAAAAATGCGTAACTCTGATTGTGACATTACTAATCTCCACTCTTGTGTCCCTTTTTTTTAGAGGAAACTAGCCCAAGTACAGTTTTTTTTTACATTTTCTGTAAATTCCCCATACCCATTCATAACCATTCACAGATAGTTTAAAAGAGATACTTTAATTGGTTCTCTTTTAAAAAATAATACATAATTGGGGATTTTTAAATACTTGATAATATCGAAAAGGGGCCATCTTTAAAATTTTGACAAACTTACTTTCTTAAAGGAATCTACTCTTAATGGATATGCCAACCAGCCCCTAAAAGCCTACGACTGGTTTTCTTGCGAAACATCATTCAAGGGGGTCCAATTTAACAATAATTTAGAAAAGGAGCTATCTGCAAAGAGACTTGAAGTCAACCTAAAGTGTTGTTAAAATACACTTTCTATCTTTACTGACAAGCTGCTGTGTTCCTTAGATTTGCCTATCATTCTTAGCTAGACAGAGAACTGTCCAGTAGTTCTAACAACACAAAGCAACTAAGTACTTAAAAATGTTGCCTTTTGAATTTAATTTCACACATGCTTTGTCACACAATAATATGTGTTCCACTGGCACTGGCACAGAAAAAACACGACACGGTGATAATATTTTTCAGGAAAGGTCTCAGCACAATAGAAAGGTTCTTTTATTTATGCGAAAATTGTAGAATTAAACATGGAAAAATGCAAATAGTATAAAAAAGGGGCCATCCCCATTTTATTATTTCAGTTCCAGTATTCATTTTTTCTGGTTTTGCTCTGGATTTACTCATTACTATCATACACAGTATCAAACCTTCAGTCTCGAGATTTCACTAAATATTCACTTTCTGATCAGTTTTTTGGCTCTTCTGAAAAATTTAAAAAAAAAGGAGATGGCCTTTCTTCGAAATTATTAATTCAAAAATTACAATGAAAATGTAAATTTTTCAACTCCAGCCCTGAAAATGCAAGTTTGGTAATAATGAAGCGGTAGCTCACAAAGGGTATTAAAAGTTGAATGAAATATTACAATCAGTCTCAAGTTTCCACGGGCCTATGGTGGCTGGATGAGGATTTGTTAATAACTTTTCCATGAACGCAGTTGGATCTTGAAACACTATTTCTTCATAGTACTCTGATACAAGAGTTTTTTTAGTAACTAAAACATCTGGATTTGTTAAAAAAAGCTTCAGCATGTGGTAGACTGTTACCTAAACAAAAATAAAAGTAAAGGTTACTCTGTAAAGTAAAGACTCGTTGGAAATCAAATGAAAAAATTTAATGAAGATGATATCGATTAATATCCACTCCAGAAACTGCAACAGGTGAATGATGATAACAATGTTTATTATTATGAGCGATATCTCAAAAGTTCACTGACAGCCAGATTACTTATTGATGGAGCAAAGCTCTTTCATAGTCTCTTCCACTTCGCTACACTGCTCAGCAACATTAAAGGGTATGAATGCGTTGTGTATTCCATTATTGTTTCAAGGCCACCACCATTGACTGTCTACCTGGAGGTTGCTTTTAAAATGGCAGCAAAATGGAGCAAAAAGACACAGGTAAAAATTAGAGAAGGGTCCCAGGAGGCCTACCTCCAGATGAACACAAGAAAATGGCTCAACGACGTAGCATAGGACTTAGCCATTTTCATATCTATACAAAATTATGGATTTTCGCTAATCCGGGAAGACGGCAACATTGCTCAAGATTTTCCCCTTAGATTTTCTCTTTATTCGAGGATGGTCCTGGGAGTGTACACTCAATATAAGATGAATCAAATCAGATGAACAAATGAAATTGACGAAACGCCTAAGCCTATTCCGAATTTCTGCGACTCGACTCGAATGGATGATGGGGAATTACATCTTCATTGCTCCAGCCTTCCACCTTGGATTTTTTCTAAATTTTTCGAGGATGGTCCTGGGAGTGTACACTCAATATAAGATGAATCAAATCGGATGAACAAATAAAATTGTGGAAACGTTTTCCCACCTATCCTCCCTCGCATCCCGTATTCATTATCTATCCCTCCCCCAGTCATAATCTGATTTGACGGATCTCTGCTCGCCCTTTCCTACCCACCATTTTGCTCAAAAAAGGTAATTTCAGTGATTCGTAATAATAGAAGGAATCCAAATGGGTAAATTAATGGTAAAAAGTGACCCCGGAACGAATTGCCCTGTTTTATGATGGTTCCGGATCTTTTAGAATACTATCTGTTCCGAAAACATTGGACATCAACTTTGTAGGTAACTATGTAGCTTTCAGTGGAGTACCAAGAATCGCATTCCAACAACCTTGGCCAACACTTCCACAAATGGGAAGGCAGAATGACATTCCTGTACAAACTATAGCGGGAAAATTTATTTTAATACACCCTCCGTACATATTCAGGATATCCAACCAAGTACCTGGCTTCTCTTTTGAATGAGATGAAGGTCATTTAGAGAATCGGAACTGAGAATTGTCATTATTTTACCCCTCACCCCCTAACAAGGTGAAGGGCATTGGAGGGATGCAATAAAAAGCATTTCCTTTATTGGAACTTACTGTAACTCAAGGTCGCAAAAGATACTTTCCTCACTAAGAGTTGTGTCTTTGCGCCCCACTTCAATTGCTATGATAATTTCAAAGATGCTTTTTTTTATTGAGGGAAAAATTTCCCCTACAGTGCCACCCAACAGGAGGATCGCCGAGACACTAACCCATGAAGGGCGGCCCACCACATGTGCTTAAGCCTCTTATTCTTACATCAGTACTGCCGTGCTAAGGAAGAACGCCATATGAACATTCGAAAGTTACCAAATTTCCTCCGATAAAATGTTTATTTTTGAGGAAAGTTATGAATATTTTTTCTTTACACTTTCAGAATCTTTTGGTGAAATTGAGAACAAAATTATCTGAAAAATTGAGAGGAAAGTATTCATAAGTTTATGGGGAAATTTGCGTCTTATCAAAAGAAATTTGGCAACGCCTGAAGGTTCATACAGCGTTTTTCCTTAGCATGGCAGAGTAGTACTAAGCGACAGCTGTCAGCAACTTTCTTTTCATAAGTATTGATGATGAGATTATTTCGATCCAGTGATGGGTATCCAAGATTTTGGAGCTGAGTAACTTTTCATTAGATAACTGAGAAATTCATCCTTTTAAGTCAGTCTTGCCTCACGATGAAATTTTTAAACAAACTAGATAATTTTTTTGCTTCAATTTATACTGTAAAGTTTAATTATTGTGTGAGATCCCTTGTAATTTTTCATTTTAAGTAAATACATTTTTCTGAAACTTATACAAAAGTCACTTTAATCTTTCATATCTGATTGGCCCTCTTTATTTGAGGAAAGGGATCGAAACGCCATGAAAAAAAACAAAAAAGGGAGAGGAAAAACAGTTGGTAAAACAGTTTATATTAAATTCAGCGATATGAAAAATAACATTATTTACAATTAAAATAAAAGGACACCTTAACATCTGAAGACGAAATGTTATGAAAATTTAGAGGAACAATAGATCAAGTCACAGAAAAATAATAGAGCCTGATGTAAAATTAAATGCAAGGGTCTTCTGGAGAGTCTGGCGCATTTTGCTTTCTCTCAGTAACAATCAATGCTAGACAAAACTCAATTAAACCGTTGAATTTGTGATACCATCAGCTTTACTTTGAGATATTGTTTATTGAGTCTTGTCTGAAGCAAAAGATCACTTAATGGATAAATTTTTCCATACCACTGTCAATGCGTTTTCCGTCACCTCAGGCACCACGCGCATCAACTGTAATAAAAAAAAAAATAAAAAGCAACGCGGATTTCGACATAAAAATAAAAAATTTGTTTTTCCCTTAAAATTTACTTTTCTATGTAATTCCCTTGAAGTGTCAAATACTTTGGAAGTTGTATCACGAGCTTACGGATCCCTAAGTCTTACAATTAGAATTCTGCTGATGGATTCAACTTCATATTTTTTCAATACTCATTTTACAATTTTTAATAATTAGTTTTCAAAGGATACCTTGAAATAAGTATGCCAAAATGATCTTGTGAGCAGATTCTCATTTTAACAACCATAGCTCATCTAAGGCATCTTAAAATCAAGCCCCCAGACCCTCCAAAACCCCTTTTGTGGGCTTTCTTCAAATATTCTTAACTTTTATTTCATACCTTTCACAGTATTAAATGGAATTGAGACAAAATTTGTCTGAAAATCTAGTTCCTGTAGAATAACTTTCAATATTATAGGTTATTGTTTTAGCCTAGAAAAAAATTGGTAAAATTTGTGAGTTATCCAATTATTTTCATTCAAAAATTGGTCAAATTTGTAAGTTCTCCAATTTTTTTCATTTAAGAATCGGTAAAATTCGTAAGCTATCTAATTTTTTTCATTTGAAAATTGGTAAACTTTGTAAGTTATCCAATTCTTTACATTCTCAGCGGTACGAAAAAATGGAGAGAATAACATCCAATCTTTTCTATATTTCCTCAATTATTGGAATACAGTAGTATCGACTAAACAAAATGTCCAAGTCTCGAATGCTGGAGCTGTTGCTGCATCAACACAAGAAGCTGTGTCATCATGTTGTTTAAGAAGCTATGGGCCAAACAAAACTGAGCACGGTACCAACATTCCTCTGAGAAGCCTAAGGATTCTTCTCCATTAACATCTCTTCTATTCCTACAGTATAATTTATTCTGGTACCTAGTGCAATTTATAAGTACTTCTGGGATATAATTTTGGGGTGACATCGGTTTTTTGGTCGACCCTTAGTAAATTTTACAAATGCATGCCATAAGATATTTCCACAGTTTCTTTACTTAATAATGGTAAAACCAGAAAACTACCTGCAAACTGGTTTGACACACTGGTATTTTCCGCCTCTATCCACCTTCTGCATTGTATAAAAATACTGGCACAAAAGCATACTCTCTAGAAGTCACTTGTAGTACCTGAACCTTTTTGCATCCCAAAATTTCAGGGTTGCCACAAAACTTAGGAAATGAATCTCCGAAACACAGTTTGATGGAATTCCCTTTCAATTGAAGATATAACTAGGTTAAAAAGACATCATTTGAAAGTTTGTGGGCAAAATTTGTTGTGCAAAACATCAAACCTCTAGAGAGCAAATAAGCATGGCCAAAGTTTTTCCTGACACTTTCTTCATTTTCCCTGACATTTTCAGATTTTGTCTGACTTTAGAAAATTCCTAGACGTTTTCCAGTTTTCCTGGTATTCCCTGACTGTGGCAACCCTGAATTTGCTGCTCCTGGCTCCCGCGCATTACATTGGGAGTTATTATTGTTCTTCAGGAACACTACCATAATATGTGAGTCAATGAAAAGTGTATAATAGAAGTAAAAAGGTACAGCCAGAAATCAGAAGACCAATGATCAATGAGTCTCTGCGTTTGCGGAGGTTGATTTTTTGAACGAGAGTGTTCATCAAGGGAAATCTGGTGCCTAGATCATGAATCCTTGTTTGCAATCTTTTGAAATGTAGGCGCTGTGATGTCAGATGCTCTCTCGTGTCCATTGCAATATTTATCTGATCACTGACCAGTCGATCTGAACTGTAACAGAGGAAAAATGATTAAGATGTACAACATACATCATAAATATTAAAAATATCAAGGTATATTGCATGAGTGAGGACATATTATTACATTTATTTAATGGGAGCAAATTTTCTGCACAAGTACTGAAGTTAAAATTTAATAGGTTAAAAAGCATTCACTTGTGACGACTTCTTCCCACGCATAGCAGGTTTTTTTCGGGCAGGCTGCTCATGAGCGCGGTGCAACTGGATGTGATTCCTGCGATTTTGTCCTTCAAGGCTTTGCTCGTCACGTCTGTCAGATTTCTTGGAATATAAAACCATAAAAAGGGTGTTCGGCTATGGGGTATCTAACTTTTAGCAATCTATGGGACTACTATCAATCTGGGAAAAAGGTAAACACAAGTGAGTTCTTTTTGACACTTTAAATTCTAAATATCATTGATGGCTCAAGTCAAGAAATGTGTGCCTTCATTTCAGTGTTTCAAAATTTCTGGTTATGTTTCATGTCTATTGAAGGAAACTAACCAAAATGTCTCCTTAATTCTGTGAATTGTATTAAGTGATCAGATCATTTTCATTAAGGTGAAAAACGACTCATTTCTGGAGAAGCATTAATAATTTCTAGTCCCTAACTAAAGTGAGACACTTGGCTGCTTTAAATGCAAGGATGTAATGTTGAGATAAATCAACTTGCCATAAAACAGAAAAAATGCACAGTACAGGTGATTACTTACTTTCTGATATGTTCATTTTCTTTTAAGTACAGGTCCATTCTTCGATTTAATCCAGATGAAGATTTGAAAGAGCTGGAAAAAATGGAGAAAATTAGACCAAATTAGACAATGAGTGATTTTCACTAAAAGAGAGACACACATAAAGCCTCCTTTGTCATTCAACTCTCACTAATTGCTTTTCTTCCTTTTTCTCTCTCTTTCTTTTTACATATTTGTTGCAGTAAAATACAACTTCTCTTTTGAAAGGTGTAATAACAGGACTGCTGAAAATTTCCCGCTCATAAACAGCGCTGATGATGACCAATGATGTGGGCACATGGAGGCGAACCTTTGTTGCAACAAATACCAGTGAATATATCTACATCAAAAAACGGGACAGAGTGCAAGTTGGTACAATTTGATACAAGTGTAAAGTGAGAAATTGTGTAAGGGCTTTCCCACTATGCTGGAAACCTCAGAAATTCATTCTCAGCACAAATTTTCAAAAAGTAGTCGACGTAATTTGCCCTGTAGCTGGAAAATTCGCGGAAATATGATCTTCATGGTGTTCCGAACCGCCAGGCGGGGCCCGGGAAACTTCATGAAACTCCGGTTTCCATCGTCAACCAATCGTAGATTTGTGCTTCATTTCGTGATGAACCACTGGCACAACCAGACGTATTTCAAATTTGCCCCAAATCACCTTGAGAATTTTAGAATTTTCGACGAGAATTTTTAGATTTCCAAAGAGAATTTTAGGATTTTCAGTGAGAATTTTAGGATTTCCAGCGAGAAGTTTAGGATTTTCAGCAAGAATTCAAGGAATGCGGTGATATTTAAGCAAGAATTTGGCTGTTTTCAGCGAGAATTCTGGGATTTTTAGTCAGAATTTGGGTCATTATAAATCTCGAGTAAATGGGGTCTCTGTAGGCACATCAAATTTTACTGTAGCCTCCTTTTATTAAAGTGGTTGCATCCAGTACAAAATTCTGTAAAATTATTGCTGTGTGACTCACAAGGTACAAGGTCAGGTTGCAAATATTTTAATACAAGGCCAGTCGTATGAGAAACCACAGAGCAAAAAAGATAAATAAATAAAAAAAAGATTGCGATCAAGAACAATTTGCAACCCTGATATAGGCCATTGTTATAACCATCTTCATAATGTTTTTTGCCAGCTTGATAAGCGCTCAGTTGCTAGCAATTTTTGCTTTCCATCTGCCACAAGAACTCTGGAATATTAGTACTGCTCCCTGATGAGATGTCAAATAATATTCTCATGTTGAGAAAAAAAAATTAGCCCACAATACTTCTGGGAATGCATTTAAAGTCAAAGAGCCAAAAACACAAATTATAATTCTAAAATGCACTCTTCTAAAGATGTTGTGGTTTCCTCAAAAAAGTCAAAGGAAAAGAAAGAAACAAAAAAAAATAACTACTTGAGTTCTTTCAATGTGAGTTGCACTTTTTTTTTTTTTTTTTTTAAAGTAAGTAAAATCTTGTTTAAGGTTGGCTGAAATTCAAGCGATAAGAATTCATGAGGAAATACAGAAGCACCATGACTTACTCTATATCTTTGCGCACACTGTGCAGTAAATCCTCTCTTTCACGGCGGGCACAAATATTTGCATGTGTTTTACGGAACTCTTGAGTGTAATCTTGGAGAATTTCTTTGTGTCGCTGCAGAGTATGAAGCATTGCAGGGGATGCAGGCATGTCTCCATTACTGCTCACTTCAGCCATCTTTTCATTAACGGATGATAACTGTCCAAAAGTAAGAAAGATTTTTAATTTTAGCAATATGAAAAAAAATATGTATATACACACACACAGAAATGTACATGGCAATAAAATTAAAACATTCTTCATTCATTAAAGGCCTTTCACAGTGTATTTTCCGAAATAAATACACTATTGCATTTTTTTATTTTTTATTTTTTGCACGTTTCATCATAAATGTCAATGCATGATTTCAAACATTGAAATTTTAAAGTAAATTGGAATGAAGATATAAATAATTTCCTGCAGAAGTAGAAAAATGAAAATAGTGGAATAGAATTCAATTATGTGTCAGGAAATATCTCTTTCATCCATACAAATAAAAGAGAGAAAAGATTTATTTATTTTATTTATTTGTAAAGATTAGTACATTAGCCTGAACAGAAAGGCTCAATACAAGTCACATTAGAAAAAGTTACAAAAAAGAGTAATTTTACAAATTTAAAAACTCTTGCAAGGTGTAGAGAAAGTTTTGTACGAAGTGTTCTTTCAATACCTTAATGAACAAATTTGGCGACTCAGCTTTGATAAAGATTTCTTTCAACTCTTTGGGTAACTTGATGAAAAATCTGACAGCCCTAAACTCAAAGCTATCCCAGTCCCAGCCCATGTCGACATTTTTCGTAGTTCTCACTAGAAGATATTTGAAAAGTCATGCAAAATGAGACTTACCACTGAAAGAAGTTGTTCTATTTCAAGGGAGACAGTCTCAAATTTATGTTCATTGAAAAGTAGTGGTTCAGTGTCACTGCAAATAAAATTTGTCTCATTATGTGAGGTTCTTTCCAATAATTTATTCATTCATCATTCAGTTCGAATATTTATGCTCAAATCACTTGAAATAGGAAGATAATATGATCCATCAAAACTGATTTAGGAGCCTTTTTAGCATGGGCATGCATGTCGATTCAACTAATACAAAAACTGAAAGGTGTCAGTTTTTAGTGCTACAAGTTTTTTTCTTACCTACATTTAATGTTTATGAAAGGTTTTAAACATTTTGCCATCATCAAGTTTTGTTCTCTGTCAAATTCAGGTACTTTTAGAAAATGAGACACTTCCAAAGCCAAGAACCTAAATTTAGAGCTTTGGTACTTTTTAGCACCCCACAAATCAAAAAGAAAATATGGGGCAGAAAATTATGTCTACGTATCAGAGAAAAGGAATTGAAAAATTAGCATATTATGAACTTATGACAAAAACCTATTTACCTGTCAGGCTTGTAAACATTGGATGGTCCAGTCCCTATTTTGCTGAAGGAGACCAGCTTAAGGTCAATCTCATTTTCAAGCTTTCGAGCTTGCTTTCGTAAATCTGTCGGAAAAGAGACCAAATTTTCAATACAAAATCAAGGAAGAATTATACACCAGCAGAGAAGTTGTGCAATGGAATATTTTAAACCTTTTCGAAGGACAAGGTTTTTATTGCAACCTAAAATGATGCCACTTCAATGATTAAGGGTCAAGAAATACAGAGGATTATTTTTCCTCAATTTCTGTAGTCAGTGTCACAAGTAAACCAGTGGAAAACCTCATTGTGCTTTGGCAATGAATAGAGTCCCTTTATACCCAGAGTTACGACAACTCACTTTTGGTTGGGCCAGGGTTGGGCTGAAAGTGGCCTAAAAAAAAATCCAATTCTGATTGGTTCTCGCTCATGGAGGCCGAAACGAGTGCACCAAGATGGCGGTACCTTGTATGTGAACAAGAATAATGAAAATATTACCTAATTGTGGTTTATCAAGAGTACTTAAATTGTTATTTCCATCGATCCAAAATGAAAATAGATCAAGAAATTATTCACAAACCAATCTCATTTTCTTTTTAATTGATCAATTTGTTGATGTTGTTGTTTTTGTGTGACAGACATCGCAGGATTCCTGATCCTTATCCCTCAATATCGTTCGTTTGGGTGCACTCGTTTCGGCCTCCATGGCCAGCCAAGGCCGGCTGTCAGTCAGCTGATAATCGAGTTGTCGTAACTCTGGGTATAAAGGGACTCAAGCAATGAACACATTTGGTGCTCTGATGTTTGGTCCAACATTGAGAGAAATTCCTCAGAATTAATACAGGACGTGACTTGAAAAATGTTCTGATATAAAGAAGGAAAGGTGCAGAAAAAGCTGCCTCAATTTTGACGCAATTTGTAGCAATAGGTAAACAGTTGAAGCTCAGCTGAGTAATGAGTCCTTTCCAGTTTTGGCAAACAGGCTCTCAAAAACCCTACAAAAAATTGTCTGCAAATGCCAACTAATAATCACCATGGTAAGAAGAATGATCATCAACTAGCAGCATATCATTCAGTGGTGGCCCTAATTTACTACCGGAAATTACTGTTTTACTTTAAAATCAGAATTGGGAATGTGGAGCTGACTAAACATTTACGGTCTTGATTCTCATGTTTTTAACTACAATGATAATGTCTCATACTTTTGTGCTTGGACAATGATAGGGTTATCATTCTATTCAGTTTGTTACAACCATTTTTGATCGCTCTGCCCTAATTCATTTGTAGCGAGTGGTGACACGGCTATTCCTGATAATGTGACGTCACACTCGTGGGCTCTAATTGAAAGCAAAGCAAACAATCAAGGTATATGGATCTTAACCATTCAGAAAAAGCAAATACACATCAATTTGCATAGTTGCAGTGTTAGAGCGCAATTTTTCATGCAAATCAAAAGGTACGGAACACTTCATGATCAGGACCGTATCCAACCTATGTTGGGTTAAGGTAGAATACGCATTCATTCTGCAACACCGTTCTAGGAAACATAGGTTATTGAAGCGTGTCTGTTGACTCCGATCGAAATATGGACTTTCATCCGGCGCTCCTTAGAATGTGACTAGCGAGACTAGTGACTAAAATGAAAATGTACGACGAAACAATAATAATTACCTTCCCAGCTTTCCATTTTCCAACTTAGTGAACCTATAAGTGATAAGGCACAAATGTTAAAAGATAAGATTATTGATCTGATAAAATATTTCTATTCCAAGAACGTTCAGCGAAAATTCATTCAAATGAGATTATTTACCACAGTACATGTCACTTTCTCACTTTATCAGGAACATAGAATACTAATAAATAATCAATTACGAACACGAAATAATCAACTAGTTTGTAATTTTGCTTGTGGTCAGATTTCTTGTTATGATTCCACCATAGGTGGACGTAGGATAGGGAGCAACACGCTACTCCAACTTGGGGTGCAACTTTCTTCTTCTTCTTTTTTGTTGCGTTTGGTCAAGTACCTTTCTGAACTAATTTCTCATTTTCTCTATTTCCTCTTTAATTAAAGTTGTAATAAAACTAAAAATTAAAATATAAATTATAATAATAATAAAAACAAACCTCTGTAACCGTTTTCATAGTTGATAGTTGATAAGAATGGGTACCCGCTAGTACCCGCCATTTTAAAAGCAAAGCATATTCGATTCTCAAGGTTAGTGTTAGTATGTCTCTAAGTATATCGATGCTATCATATGACTGGAAGGCTGGCTGAAACTTATCAGCGAGTCAGTGAAGTTGAAGTTTATATAGTTTCATGTTTTTTCGCAAACTCTTCCGTTAAGTGCACTGAATTGGTTTGAATTTTCATGGCAAAATCGGTCAGCATGAAAGAAATGTTACCTTCTCTACCTGATGAAAAAATTGGTACGTTTCTTTCCCTCAAATTCAATTCATTTCATTCTAGGAGGGGCCATGGGCTAAGTGCCACTCCTATTTTTTTTTTCTTTTCAGAGCATCTTCAGAGCCTCTGTATTCTGTAACAGAATTATTTTACTGTAAGCTAAGCACCACCTGAAGATTGTAACTTTGCCTCATCATGCCAGGTTACTTGAATTTTTTTAATCACTCTAAAAGACATCCGTTCTATGAGGGGCACATAAACACATTTTCCCATTCCCATCTACTTGCATCAATGAAAGCACCCTCGCTTACCTCGATGCCCAGTTGCTTCATGTGCACTAATTTAGAATAAATCTTTTAATGCATATCTATTATTATTGTACTGTCATGGGAAGCTACATTGTCTCTTTCAAAACCACAGACATCACAAGTTAAAAGTTACTGAAATACCTGGTCATTCTCTCTACGTTAGGAGATACATTTTGGAATCCAACTTTCCGCTTGTGTAAGATTCTTTCATTCCTAAGAGATGAGACCATAATTTTAGCCCTTACATAATTAAGAGACTGTGCTAAACCTCTGGTGGAACATCATTATCATCTGGTTGGTGTTTTTTTGTTGGTGGTAAGTATAGTGCTAGTTCCTAGTCGGAACCTCAGGCAGGCTCTAATCGTCATGATCTGAGAAATCTAATGCAAATAGACAGTTGGATTCTGTAATGCTTCTTTACGGTATCAACCACCAATTATGGTCAGAGTTGTATTTTATCTCACTAACAATAATGTGAAGGATGAATGTAAGTAGAATCCGAAATGAATTCCCAGTGTTTTTGGTAGATGGGAGGTGGCAAAAACGGTAGTGTCTAAAGCTTGCTCATTTTGTAACAACAGATAAATCTTAAATCCAGGAGAGATTGCAAAAACAATCTTCAATTATTTTGATTGAAGGCATCGTTAAATCCTTTAAGTATTAATAGTTAGAGATTGTGCTTACTCGCAGTTGCCCTAAACTCAAAGCTCTCCCCTGTGGCTGGCATCTCATTTTAAGTATTTCTGATTCAATGTATTTCGTGAATATCATTGATGCTAAGCTGATGTCTACTAGCAGTATTTACTCGTAACATTCGGCTTTAATCAGCACAGATCTATACTGGGTAAGGGAGTTGCCACTGTAATCAGTGAATTTTCAGCCAAATAAAAGTAATAGTTATTGTAACCATAGCATTCTCTTATGACCAGTATGATGAACATTCTATTTTTATTCCACAGATATGCTGGCCGCCACCAGTGTTCTCCAGCAACAGGCAACTGAAATCCGTAATCAGCGACCGAACTGGCAACCATACCTTCAGTAAGTATTGCATGCTGAGGCTATCCTTGTAATGAGCTTTCTTATTCTCAGTTGGGAAGGTCAGTAAATGGTGTAACCAAGCATGAATTGGCATATTGATGGCTATAGAGCAGAACAACATATCTCCATTGCGTTGTTTCAAAATCTCTACTTCTATTTTTTTTAATCAAAGTTGACTAACTTTATAGTTTGAAATTTCTGCAGAATATTTTGCTAACAGAGAAGAAAAATCAAGGAAGTTTTAAAGAAATGTAGTTGACAAGTTTTCTGAAGAAGAAATAATGTATAATGGAAAGTCTGCAAAGTCGTAAAAGGAGGTACGCACTTCAGCCGTCAATGTACAGTTAAAGATATCAGTGTGTAAGTAGTCTCAAAAAAACCTGGAGTGATGCTGTGACTCAAAAATTAAGCCAGCCACCAAGCTGATCATAATCTCATCTGAAATGAGACAAAATTAGGTAGGTATCAAATCAGATTAAAATCAACCTATTTGATAAAAAATTACGGAGGTTACGACATTTAGGAATGAGCTGCACATGAACCATTCAGGTTTTTATTATGACCAAATTACTTTTTCTTCAGATTTGCTCAACAAATTTTTTGTACATGTTTCCCAATAAAATCCTCTTGGTTTCAATATAGTTAAAGAATTAAAAATCCAAGAAAGTCTGTAGCTATAAATTAAGGGTAAAAGAAAGTCTTCTCATGAGATCCTTATTAATCCAAGGAATTATGAGAACCAAATTCATAAAAAAAAAATTAGATGAAGTATTATCATTAAATAGCTGCATTTGTAAATTGTAGGTAATTGAATTTCACACCGGGTGACTTGGTTATTAGAAAGTTTGCAACTGTGTATGGAACATGGATCTGTACAAATCATTTATTTCATGATGGAGCCCTAGTCATGTAACTAATGTCAGAGCATTAGTCTAAATGATGCTTCAACACAGGCTTGAAATGATGATTGAAAACAGGATACTTAGTACATATTTTTACAAAAAGTTCTATCCTATTGTTTAAGATGCCTCCACAATCAAAAAATCTAAGAAACAGTGAATTTTTAACAGCTGAGATACATGTAATTATTACACCGCAAATCTCATAAGTTCTCCTTCAATTATTCTTAGGTCTCAAATGATTTCGCAAGATGACTTTGATTTTATCAATGCATACGACAATGCAGACTCAGCTGGTCGCTCCAAAATCTTGGCAGAAAATCGCACACAAGCTGCTAAAACCTTCCCCAGCTTGTTAGAACATGTGTCGAAGGATCAGACTATCCAGTACATTCTAGTTCTCATCGATGATATGCTTCAGGTATGTGCCATAGCCATTTTTAATCTTAGCTGTGCATTACCATGCCAGATCAAACGAAGAGAAAAACCTGCTCCCCTCAGAGATCGCTGAAACTCGGAACACTTATTGCCCTCGTCACTATCAGTCCAAAGCAATTTTTTTAAAAGGCTATTTGCGAAATGGGACAATTTTCGCTTATGGGCTTTGAGCCTTGGCACTTCAATAATCAGACAACGCCCCATCTTTTCCCAAAGTTTCAAGCCCCCCAAAATTTTTGGTAGGCAAGGCGGAGGAGGCAGAGTTAAAAATCGGCAATATATTTATGAACTTTCCACTCAGTAAAAGAAATTTTGCAAAACGCAATTTACATAGGAGCTTCCAGCAGAAAAAGAACTTTTAGAAGGTGTATAACATGATAGGGTTTTGTCAATTCAAACCTGAGTTATCATCTCTAATGTGCGAGAGCGCTAAGAAAAGACACTCCATTTATTTGTGGGGGCTGGTTCCCAAAACAGCCATTTTACATGAAAAACTGATGTTTACCTCCTGACTCTTCTTGGCGCTTTACCACATGCTGGGAATATTTCTTGGTCTGGAGTCAGGAGAGAGAAAATGATGAAGGGAAATTGGCTATTTCTAACCGCGCATGTGGCACCTGAAGATATGTATGTAAGACTTGTCTCTCTACGCAGTGTATTCTTATATGTCTGGGCTGATGCCGGAGCTCATCCATTAACTACAGAAATGGATAAGTAATCACAAAATGAACAAGTGTTACTCAATAAAAATGCAGGGAACGTTTAAAACCAGTAATGAAGTGTAACTGCGTTTTGCAAAGTCCAGTGGTAAAGTATGCAAGGGTACGTCAAGTGGTAAGTACACCTTCTAGAATTGGATTACACATGATCCTTACATTTTCCTTACATAATTTATGTGTGATAATTCTTGTCCTAACTCCCAAGAAAACTGGTTTTCTCAGTTGATATGAAGTAGTGTACTCTATTATAATTAACAATTAACATTTTCTGTATTTTAAAATCCAGGAGGACAGGTCAAGAGTTGAAATATTTGCCGAGTATTGTGCTAAGAAGAGAGAACCTGTTTGCGGTCAGTTTTTGAACTTGTTAAATGGATCTGACGGATTCATTGTGAATATGTCTGCCAGAATAATCGCCAAGATTGCCTGTTGGAACCCATCTGCCAATTTACTCGACAGCTCTGATCTTCACTTTTACCTGAATTGGTTGAATGAACAATTAAAATTGAATGTAAGTCAAATTGATCCATGATTTGCTGCTACGTTTTACTTTTAATTAATTCAGCAATGCATCTGTTGTCCTCAAAATTCTGTTTCTGTAGGTGCAAAAAGTTCTAAAGCATCTTGCCTGTGCCGCATGATCCGGCGGTCTCTACTTCTTAGCAAAATTTTTGATGAGAAAAGAGAGAAAAAAAAAGACATCACTTTTTAAAATTGCATCACTCAATTGACTCAATAAAAGATTTTTCTTTTCAAAAAGTCAAGGAAAAAAAAATCTTTAAATGAGGGTTTGATCTATGATTTTTGTTAAATCCCTGATCTCAAAATCTTCAGTATATAGCCAGTAATCATTAGAGTACCTATATAGCCGGTATCAGTCGATCAAAGTAGAGCTCTCAAAGTGGCGCATACTTGTGACCCTCGATGATTCTCGTTTGAGAATCTTTGAGGGTCACGGTCACGTGATACTCATCTTCCACCAGCTGCATCGATGCGCCACTTTGAGAGCTCCACTTTGATTGTCTGATACCGGCTTACAGCGAGAGTATAGACAGATGTGAAACTCAGAAAATCCATCAGGTCTTTACCGATGCCTCTGTAAACAAAGTTGGGGCCCAAGAGGGTAGCCAACCTATGAATTAAACATATCCAGAACGATCTATTATTATAATTGTCACGACCTGTCGTGTGCAAAGAACGTATTTGACATAGTTTTTGCATAGATTTGACATCTTCAGGATACGCTTACTTATTTCATTGAATTTGTTATCTTTTTTAAGGGAGAGTACATGCAGTCTGTCGGAAGATGCTTGCAAGTAGTTCTTCGTCACGATGAATATCGTTTGGCTTTCATCAAAGTTGAAGGGCCTTCAACATTGTTGAAAGTCCTTGCCTCACGACAAGTAAATTTCCAAATTCAGTACCAACTTATATTCTGTCTTTGGTTACTGACTTTCAACCCTAAATTTGCTCAAAAAATGAACAAGTAAGTATATACAAATAAGTCTAAAAGTGTTAATTGTCTGTTGAAGAGGAATTTTGTTTTTAAATTGTTGAAATATTGTGTCAGATAGCCTTATCATGCCATAAATGTTTTAAATTTCCTGAATTATGGTATGCTCATAGTACCTCTAACTCAAATATCAGGCTAGAAGACCAGTTGAAAAAGAACAAGTTTCAAGGCAGAAGCAGTACATTAAAAATGAGAAACCCTCCCCTAGAGCGTGGATGAATGTTTAATATGTTACTAATTAGTATAATTTCAATGCATTAAACAAATTGCCGTCAGTATGGCATTGTTACTAAATTTAGCACTTTCCAAGGCCATATACAATTAGGAAAATGTTCTCTGTCAGTCGAATATCAAGGGATTAACAAAGAAAAGATGTGATTGTGTAGTCTGGTTGAGAGAAAAGTTGATGCGTACTAGGAGAAGACGAAAAGAAAAAGAATCTACCCCAATTTTTTGCTCTCATTCTAAGATAATTCTGGATGCTCTTAAATTTCACAGATTAGGCGTCATTCCAATCCTAGCAGATATTCTCAGTGACTCTGTGAAAGAAAAAGTTACCCGCATCATCTTGGCTGTATTCAGAGTAAGTTGGTTTTCATACCCATCCATTATTTCATGCTGGCCCCACACATTTGCGTACGGGGTGCATTCAAAGCATTGATGCCTGCTTGATCACACTTTAAGAATGGTTGCAGATAGTTAGTTAGTTAAATTTTATTAGAGACATTCAGCGGCACATGCTATTAATGTCTTTACAGAAAATATGATGGGTGAGTGCAAATACAAAAATTTAAATTCTTAACTTAATGGAAGCAAAAAATTACAAAATCTTGGTTGTAATGCTGACATAATCGTCGGTTAATTTACGAATAGTTTGAACAAGTATATCTATATCATGCCACTAACCCAGTGTACTAGAGCGCTCTGCGACTCCTAATCGCCAATAAAATCGATTCTGCCACAGATCCGCAAGCCAATGACACTTTCTGATCTCCTTCTCCTCTTTTCCTTGCTGTAAACCTTTTTATTGGACATTCACAATTTGGACAGGTCCTTCTCCAATAGAAGCAGGAATCGTTTGTGAGGGGGGCTTCCAGAGTTATACTTTTTCAAAGTTGATGCTACAGGGTCCTCGGGCCCCGGGCGCAGCTGCGGGACTTTTTTGAAAAATTTGATGAGCCATAACTTCGTAAAAAATTAACTGATTGTCGATTGCTTATATTCAATAGAAAGGTATTTTTATGTTCCTTCATTTAAAAAAAAGTTCAACTCAATACCTGCAACTGTTTAAAATTAATGCCCAAAAGTTGATTTTTCTTTGACCCCCTGCCCCCCTTTCCCCGGGGGGCTGGTTCAAAAACTCCGCCATTTTTAACTTCTGTAACCTTTTTTTACAAAAAGTGAGGGTATGACAAGATTCTGTTCTGGGTCCAATTCTTATGGGAGGTGCATAATTGCATACCTCTTTGTGAAAATCGGCAGAAGTTCAGATATGGATTGTTTGTGTCAATGTGAGGTGGCAAGTAATCTGTTTTTTTTTCTCTCGCCTCTTAAATGTAAGAATTTGAAGAAGTGAAAACAAGAGGGAAAGCGCTTGTTGATTCGAGTTGAGCAAACTTTTTGCTCGCATGTCGTGAAAATTGGCGTCCACTTGTTATAGGAACGTTGGTGGTGCAGGCTAAAAAATAATCTGCTCATTTGCTTTCTTTCTCTGCTCCTTCAAAACGGAATCGCTTGTGAATTGGTTGAAATTAACCAAGTTAGGGTTAGTTGGGGTCATTCCATAATCGGATGATTCTGGATTGGTCTCACAGCAGTTGTCATTTTAAAGTCAGGGAATTTTTACATTAGTTTTTTACAGTTGGTTTCATGCAGTGTTCTGACTGGCTCTATCTTTTTTTTTCTTAAAAGGTATCTAGGAAAGTATAATCAACAAAACGGGAAACTCTACCTCCAGGTGCATGTAACAGAAAATATTTATACGACCCCTGCTGAATCGAACATGTTACCTAAAAATTGCCGTAAATCAGTAAGTTTCTGACTAAAAGAGCTCAACCAAGTAGCATTTCAAAGCCAATGAAGTGATTTTTATGTTCCCATAATCCACATTTGCTGGCTTTATTTGCGGAGGTTGGTGACATGACTTTTGAGACACCCCTCAACTTGTTGGAAGATGAACAACCCCCCCCCCTCCTTCCCCCAATAAAAAATCGTCAAAAACTTAAAGTGTCAACTCATTGTTTTTCAAAGAACAAACAATATAGCCTAAACAACTTGAAGGTGTGTTTTCTTGTCCAGAGATGATTAATAATTTCTTTTTTTCTTGCTGTGTTCGCGTTTTAGAACTTAATCGAAAAACCAGAAGAGCCGAACATTGCAAAGGAACATTGTATCGCAATGGTACAGAGTAAAGTATTAAAGCAGCTGAGTATTTTGGAGCAACGCAAATTCGATGATGAAGACATTGTAGAAGATGTTCAGTTTCTCAACGAAAAATTGCAGGCATCCGTTCAAGATTTAAGGTATCTGGTAACTTTATTTTCTCTCCCAATAAAGTACTCAGCATTCTACAAATAAGTGGGGGTATTTACTGATCTGTTGCATACACCTCATCTTGCAGGAGAACTATGGGTGGGGAGAAGGTATATTCCTGTGGTGAAGAACCTCGGAAAAAATTAACAAATGTAGTAAAGCCTGTACAATTTATATATTTTAAATGTGGGGTTAAAAAAGTACAGTTTGGTAACCCATGTGTGTGACAATGGTTGGTAAGGCTAGGGTTAAACCAGAGACAACATCTCTAGAGATGCTGCACTCTCCATCCTCCCAAAGAGAAAAAGTCATTTTGGGAATCATTAATTACTTTTTGCCAAATGATGATTCATGAAATTGGTGAATAGTCTGTTGAAACATGATTAAGAACAACAAACCTGCTTTGTAAAATGTTCAACAGGTTATTCCTAAGTTACCATCTGCTAAGTATGGAGGCAAAAAATATACCTTGTTAATGAAAAATGCTGTATGAACCGTCAGCCACTGCCAAAGCTCCTGTAATAGAATACAAAGAAATATGTGAATATTTTTCCTCCAGTTTTTCAGAGAATTTTATCCGCAATCGGACCTCAGTTGTCTGCAAATTCTAAGAGACAGTATGCATAAATCTTCTCAAATATGAACATTTAATCGGAGGAAATTTGGCAACTCTTGAATATTCACACAGCGTTTCTCTTTAGTACTGGAGAGTAGCTCATATATCATTTAATTGAAGTACTAAGACTGTTAATGACATTTTCTCCACCTAAAAGAGGGATAATTTACAATATATTTTTGTAAGACCATTGTCTGTAATGTGTGTGGTATTTATTATCAAAAAAGTAAAGTAATACTGTAATTTGAAATAAATTTTTTCATAATTACTTGCAGTTCTTTTGATGAATATGCCACTGAAGTAAAATGTGGGCGACTAGAGTGGTCTCCAGTCCACCGGTCTGCTCAGTTCTGGAGAGAAAATGCAGCACGTTTGAATGAGCGCAACTATGAGCTTCTTCGCTGTCTGGTCCATTTACTTGATACTTCCAAGGATGCTTTGGTGCTCAGCGTTGCATCTTTTGATGTTGGTGAATACGTCCGTCACTATCCGCGAGGCAAACAGTAAGTAACAATTGACAATTTTTTTTATTAAATCAAAATATAAAAACAATTCGTCAGAGAAGTTTTGGTTTACATGCTCTGACATTCTAACCGTTTGATGAATGACAACTTCGATGAAATCGAGGATGGACTGTCAGGATTAATCAACAAGGATCAGTCGTGATGAAGCTGAAGATAGAGCGTGCAGTTCCGAAACAATTATCTTTTAGTCTATAAAAAGTGAGTGAGCTTAAATTTTATGTAATTGGTGACTGGGTGTACTCTCTATTAACTGTCTAGCTGATCAAACGCTGTATTGATCCAAGATCCATCCATATAGGTCAGTCATTCCTGAAACCGAAATGAGAATCTTCTGCGCATGACGTCAGTATTACTGCCGCGAAAACCAGAAAAGTCAGAAACAATGCTTTTCTTATGGGAGAGAGCAAATTTTTCTTAATGAATCATTTAAATTTCTTACTTTTAAATCGTTTGAAACTTTCTGATCGTTGAAAGGAACGTTTAGACGTTAGTGCACAGGGTTTCAATTCAGCTGAATTTGCGTTTTTATATTTTTAAATGATTTTTGTAGTCAGAGTTGTAACAAGCCATCTGGTGGTCTAGATTCACGTGTAAAAATGGCTGATGCAGAGTAAACTGTAAAAAAGAAAGAACGAAAATTCGGCAAAATCGAAAACCTGAATGCTATAGACGCTATTAGTGGCGACGTCATCATAAGGATTCTCCATTATATCGAATTGGATCCAAACAATAACATTGGCATAACCTCTTTCAATGCTCTCAATGCGAAAAAATCGATATATATCGCTTTTCTGTGACGTGGCACTAATAGCATCTTTTGTCTAAACGTTCCTTTCAACACTCAGAAAGTTTCAAAGGATTTAAAAGTAAGAAATTTAAATGATTCATTTAGAAAAATTTGCTTTCTTCCATAAGAAAAGCATTGTAGGTATCCGTGATTTTTCGCTTTCGCGGCAGTAATGTTGACGTCACGAGCCAACTGAGCCAATGGATGGGGCTTACACTGAGCGGGGGGAAATCTGCGCAATGACTGACCTATATGGATGGATCTTGTATTGATCATGTGAGGTAACAGCCCTCTATACTTTAAGAACCAGGCAGAGTGGAATCACTCTTTTAACTTCTGGAAGGTCAAATGTCTGATTCAGGAGAGTAATGATTTTGCTTGCTCGATGCTTGAAATGATCTACATCTTTAAATTTTGGAATAGGGTGTGTGATTTTAGAGCTGATGTTGAAAAGCTCAACAACATTTACGACTGAACATAGTGGCATCAATTACCAGAATATATGCTTCCGACAGCACATGTTATCCGTGGTAATGCTTACATCAGACCATTCTACTTTCTCTAGTTTTTACAACCTCTTTGTAAAGCTTTCATTGTTTTTATCTTACAGTGTCATTGAACAGCTAGGAGGAAAACAACTTGTGATGCAACTTTTATCTCACGAAGATCCTAATGTTCGTTATGAAGCTCTGCTGGCTGTTCAAAAGTTAATGGTTCACAACTGGTAAGTTCCTCTCTCTACTTCTTCTATCTATCAGTTACTTATCTCTAGAGCTATGTTTATCTGGCGAACAAACGCGGCGCTCATGGGTTTGGTAATTTAGGTTTTGTCCACTTAAGTAGAATGATTTGCTTGATGTGGAACATTTTCATTGATCATTTTTTAATCAACCTAATTTTATTAGAATGACGTCACTGATTCTTGAATTTTTTAAGAATAGACCTCTGGCAAAGGAATCGGAAGTAAAATTATTCAAAGAAATGCCATGTATTTTATCGTAAAATTTTCTCCTGTCTCTTATTTGTTTTTAGTGTATTTTCTCTCCGAAGGAATTACACTATTTTTTCAGTATACCTCCTTCATCAGAGTACATTTAAGTCTTGAGTAGAATATGAAAATGTATTTTTAAGGTAGTTTATTTTTTTTTCCCCTTGGAAGCTATCAATTATAGATGGATATTAAACCAGATGAGCACTTTTTCAGCTTCCCAACAAGGTACAGTAAGACTTCAGTTTATTGGATTGCAATCTAACAGATTGATCCTCTGGTCCCTTCAAGGACTTCAAGTAATTCGAATCAACAAATTTTGCAATTCAATGTATAAATTCGTCAGTCCTGTAAAATCCGATATATGTAGGTCTTACTGTATGGAGTTTAACATTCGACTGAAGAGTTGCTATGCCAAGGAATGATAGTATTTCTGTATCCATTCCACTACAGGTAGCCTTTGGGAATTGTGGTGATCAGTAATTAAAATCTTAGGTTTGTTTTAAAGTGAAGAATGTTTCTAATTAACACTTCATTACCAATTTGAGTCATCCTTTTTACTTTGAAAGGTATAAATTAATATTTGCGTTTTGGATGACCCTCTTATATTCTAGCATTGATAGTTTCTAAGAAAAGGAAAGTAGAAACTTTTCTTCCTCTCTCCTGCTTCCCTCCTTCTCTCTATCATTTCCTATTCCATGCTCTTTTGATCAAAGCTTTTTATATTGCAAGCAACTGTTGGTATCACTGTTTATCTTTTTACAAGTTATTTTCTGGATAGGTATGCAGTAAATTTGCACTGAGACTACAACAAGAAGAAAATAATTGTTGATTATTTCGAATAATCTGCAACCAAAAAATTATTCGAACGACTGTTTGAATACTTCTGCTTTCTTGTTGTTGTATACAACTCTTCTTTGATTATTTTATACTGTACCTTAAACTTGAAGTGGTTTCTAATGAGATTTTTAATTTTGATTTTGATTTGTTTTCTTTTGTTAGGCCATCAGTTGATTCCATCCCATGACTTTATATTAATTGCTCAATGTGTATTTTTAATGGTAACTAAGCAATGTCCTATAGCAACGTTTGAATTTTGTAGATTAGTGATCGATGCCAGCTGCAATAACCATGTTCTTGAATTATGAAAGCACGTGCAAATTATTTAAACGAATTAACAATGGAATGATTGCTATGAATGCATTCTTTTTCAAATTTTGCTGTGATATGTGCAACTAAGAAAATTCTCAATGCAGTTTTCTCACCTGTTTTCAGTACCTCAAAACTTTGTTAGAAATATTTTGCTCAACAGATTTTATAAATATTTAATGAATGAAATATAAAATTTCTAGCCCCACATACACACCGTTTATTGTCTTATGCAGTTTGTACTTGCGTTTATCAAGAGTGTCCAAAATTGTCTGTTTTTCAAGCTTTCACTATTGGCTGCCCAATTGATTAATTTTTTTTAAAACAGAACATCATTTGAGGAAATAGTATTTCTCGAGCAAATTCAAAGAAAATCTAGCAAAGACATTAAACTAATGAGGAACCAACTTATTTGAAGAAATGGAACCGAAACCATAAATTTGAGAAAATTTTACTTCCTTCACCTCGACTTTTACAGCTCCTTGATATTTTTTTCCAGTAATTTGTTCGAGGCTTGTATTTTTCAATGAGTTTTTGATGGTGCAGTTGGTGTTTCAGCCCCTTCCCCTTTCAGGCCCCTGTTTTTGTGTTTTCGTTGTGTTCCATTGCTGCTTTTACTGTTTTGAAACCTTCAACTTTTTAATTTTCTGGGCATAGGCAGCCCTTTCACATCCTCTCAAATGTTTAATAAGAAAGGATAGGCTCGGATCAGTTTCAGAGAACCCTGTCCCATATGAAGGTAAAATTATCTAAATCAGTCAAATGATGAATGAATAACTTGTACCTGCTCTGTCTTGTTCATCATTTTAACAAATCCGGAAGTCTCACCTACAGTAATATTTTGATCACCGATGAGTCATGGCGAGAGCTTGTGCTGGATACTGAAAACGACTAAAAACATTTAAAACCACATGAAATGTGTATGAAAAAAAATGAAAAAAATGCACATGATTAACATGGATGAAAGAATGACGTAATAGTGCGTCAAGCTTTTGATGCTGTGTGTGCCTGAGGAGAATCGGTGTTACCCCCCCCAAAACTCTTTATTATTTGTCGCCATCCTTTGCTAAGTTATAGTCTTATCCTCATCTTCTGGCTCAAGTATTACAAGCGTCAATTGGATTACATTTTGCAATAAGGAACTACTATCTCTAGTTCTTCTTTACAAGCACATTTCTGCCCAAGAAAACCATTGGAATCTATGTTGTTTCTAAAATGAGCCAGAAAAAGTGGTTCCTTTTTGCAAAATGTAATCCAATTGTGCTTAGACACCATGTCGCCAAATTTTAAACTTTTCAATCTTTTACGGAAAAACTGATCAACAGATCACTTGAAAATTTTACCTAATATTTCTTTCGCCATCAAGAGTAATCCCTGTTTTATGAAAGTGTGTGCAAAAGTTATAAAGCAAAATTAAAACAATATTGAAATGTCCGGCAACATACCGTCTAAGCGTTAATAAGGCTTGTGATATTTCGGTTGGAAGGTGACTAAGGTTTCTAAATGTAGGTACTAAATAGGGCCAAATTTTACTAAACCTGATTTAAAAGTCATGGGATCTGCGTATTTAATTATTATCTGGATGTAAATTCAACTTGACCACCTGCCATGCTGAGTGAAAATGCCGTATGAGTGTTCGAATTTTGCCAAAGTTCCCTTCAGAAAATATTTATTTTTAAGGAAAGCTATGAATATGAATATATTTTCTCGTAACTTTCAGACTTTTTAAATCAAATTACGAACAAATTTCTCTGAAAAATCAGCAGTAAAATAAATACAGACTTTCTTGAAAATTCGATTTTCGAAAGGAATTTGGCAACGCCTGATGACTCTTATCGCGCTCTTCTTTAGCACAGCAGACTTAATGGGATGTGTTTCATGATTTTGTAATAAGCGAAGGGTGACAGAGGTGAACCTCGTTAAGTCCTCTATCGCTTTGCTTTGTCACTGGTTAAAAACGCTGATTTTCAGCCCGTTTTGTCATGGGCCAAGGAGTCAGTTCTAGCCTGAATAGGATATCTTGAAGCTGAAGGCAACTTCCAAAAAGTGAAGTTTATTCTCAACTTCAGTAAATATTTTAGTCTCTGTAACTGTTGTAAGAAGAAATTTATGGGACCCAGGAATGTAGATCAATAGTAGGGCTTGGCAGGCTCTCCTGCTCTCATTATGCCATCGATGAAGTTGGGAAAAAATGCAGGGAAACTAGAATATGTACATAAAAAAAGCATACATTGCTTGTATGAGTAAAAATTATCCATGCATGGCCATCACTTTGATGATGTCACATGCTCTCTGCATGAATTGAGTGTGGTTTAAATCTTCAGCTATGGATTAAAACCAAAGGTATTGCATTCTTCTGGTCAAAGAAGCACAACATGCTCAAAATAGTCGCCCTCATTTTAGAGCAAAATATGACCAGTAACTATTTTGATTACTTGCACTCGTGAAAATCAATAATGGCTCATTCATATTTTCCATTATTTTGCGTGTTTAAATGGGCTATTCAGGTACTTCCAGCCCTATTTTTTTTACTCGTGTCGACTTTTCTAAGATTCATCGGTTTTTATTTTAGCATTTTGGTACTCAAAACCTAGGTCTCATTAAGTTTGAGCTAGGTATCTGATAGGTATTTGAGCAATGCCCTTTTGAATATACTTCAATGCATTCTCTTGTGTTTCAGCATGCTTTAAAATAGACTATAATTTAGACGTTAAGGACTGATCAAATTATATTATCAGTAGAAAAATTATGACATGTTGTAGTACAGTTGACACATGTTGCAACCGTACCGCCACAACATCGCTTTGAAAATTGAAGCTCTGAAATTTTGCCAACTTAGTCAAATTTTATGAATTTTAAGTTAAAATTATCAGGGTTAATACTTTGTACTTATTGTAGTCCCCTACGTTTCTAACCAATAAGTGAAAGAAATAAATTAATTTTACCGACATTGCCATATTTATGAAAATGTAAATGTTGACTACAGTTTTGCAAAGTAAAGAAAATTTCATTGGCTTTCACAAAAATGCCGAATTTTCTCAACACTGATCGATTTACGTAAATATACACTAGTAATCGGCATCGCTCAATTTCGTGGACGTTTCCAAATCTTATCAACGCTCCGAAATTTTGTTATCATTCCGAAATTTTTAAACGTTGCCAATTCATGAAGATACAGTAGTATTCCAACGTTACCATAACTTAACATAACCAGAAATTTATGCACAATCGAGGTTTATTCTAAGTAGTTTCCCTAAAAAATATTTGTGTCTGATTTTTAGTACCATAACATTTGGCTATTTTTTCTCTCTCAAAAAAGTTCTCAACTTTATATTTTGATCAATTTTCCGGAAGTATTGTCATATTACATTTAATTTTGACTGATGATAGAAGTGACAGTAAATGACAGATTTTTACCATCTATCTGCTGGTAAGAAGCGAGAATTGCTAAGTGTCACCCAGGATTGGATAGATTGGTCAGAGTTGTAACTTTACATATAGCTAGTGGATTCTGCAATAGAACCGTGACTGTCGTCACCCCTCAACCAATTGACCACCTACTTTAGGTATTGAAAAAATTAAACATTTCATAAACCTTTGAAGCAATTTGTTTCAGTTCAATTTTTTTTAAAACCTCAGCAAGAGGATATAATGTTGAGACAACTTGGCAATTATGTTTCAAATATTTTTCAATCAAAAATCAAAGTTTTAAATATGCGCCTTTCACCGAAAACTTTGTGCTCTTCCCTTATCTATTCAAATCTTCGCTTTTCTTCCTTTTCCCACTCCTCTTTATTAGGCCTGTGAGCGGCCTTTACCAAAATTTGAGTGGTCTGGAGAGTGATGGCGATGCTTGGGAAATGATTAATTCATAGTGATCCCAGTATTTGAAAAAATACTTCATATTTGCGGTGGCCGTATTGTCTCAACGACTGAAGCCAATTATTAGTTTTCTCTTTGAGGGAACATCTCTGTGTTCTTTGAGTTCAACTTTAAATCCTTAACCCGGAAAATTCACTCCATCAACAAGAAATCAAGTATTCTGTTCTTCCACGTAGTTTTATTATTAAACTCGTTGAATACATCTCTGCAATATTCAGGAAGCCCGTTGTTTGATGCTGAGCAAGCCAACGTTTAATGTTGACTAGTCTTTTAATCATTTCGGCTCCTCATATTCTCTCCTTTCTCTTTCGTTTTGAATCATGAGTGAAAAGTTGATTACAAAAAAGCTGCATGGATACTGAGCATGCCATAATGCACTTTATGAAAAACTGTTCAACTCGTTTTAAGTATTAGAGGTGAGGGTAAGGAAATAAAAAATTGTACCTAACAAAGTTCTTAGCACTTCAGCATTTATTTTAATTTCTAGCTCAATCAAGGATGATATAACAATTAAACAATTATTTTGTTGCTATGCAAAATGAGTTGAGTTAAATATTGGTATGTCTTCAACTAAACTATTATACACCTTAACAAAAGAGATATAAGCTAATTGTGGGGTATAGAACCTGCCAATCATGTCAACTATTTTCCTTTATCTTTTTTTGCCCAATCTTCTGCAATTCTCTTTCTCTGTAACAGAAAACTCTCCGCAACAGATAAATTCACTCGACTTTTCCTGTATTTAATACATGTATTACCCTCTCTGTCCAGTAGGTACCAGTAGGTATTCTCTGTACCAGATGAATCTTCGGGTCCCTCGAGATCCACTACAGAGAGTACTGTATTAGTTTCTCAGTAGATCCACGTTAATGGTGAACGATTATTGCATGCGAATATAAATATTTTGCTACTCAAGTCCAGGGTTTTACCTGTTGTACACACTTAAGGAGTTGAATTTTCTTAATTAATTATATCGTTAATGTTTTATTTTTGTTTTATTTCAGGGAGTATCTAGGACGCCAGCTGGAAAAAGAACAAGGATCAACAACTACTACAGCTAAATCTGCAGCTGGAGTACTTGCTGGTAAGACCGCCATGTAGCTTGACTGCTTCAGAAATTAATCAAGTCTTGTATTCAAAGATCATCATTTGCTTCGGTCTTATTAAACACTGAGATTTTTCCTTCCTATTATTATCAATGCACCAAACGTGGGCTTTACTGATGTGGCAGTCCATTGACCTGTATTAGCTAAAAGCCTGCTAATTAGGAGTATGGATTTTGGTGCCTTCAACGAAGACTTGTTACCAGAAGAATTACCCAGACTCTTATTAACAATGAGCCAGTGACACAGAATTCTTGTATTGCTTAATGTAAAATTAAATGGGTCAGTCGCGCTGGTCACAGAAGTGCGTTTTGATGGTTTAAGCTTATAGATTAACAAAAAGTAATAAGATCCATCCAGATGCTTAGTTCTACCATACAGTCTTAACGGAGATTTTCCCTTTTGAAAAACACAGTGTATGATGTCATCCACTGCGGTAGCTTATACCATGGTCTCCTCCATCTTTGATTAATCAATTAGTGATGTACACATTTGCATTGGTAGCTCCACTTAAATCACTGATGAAACCAAGGGGGAAGAAACTATGGTATGCACTACTGCTATTGATGACATCATTCGCCATGCTATTTGAAGAGGGATATCTCCGCTGGTATCGGACAAGAAAACTTAGGATTTGGAATGATTTTGTCATTTTTTGCTGATCTGTAATCTGATGTCATTAAAATACAGTTCTGAGACTAGCGCAACTGACCCATTCAACACTTTGAATTGTGATCAAGGAGGGAAGCACGGATTTGACGAAGCTAATCGGCAATGTAGCCGAAATAGTAATTTTGATGGCCAGCTTGTAATATGCAAGAATTATCTTCTCGATAGTTGTGGGTTTTGAACTTGAAGAATTAATACTAATTATCGGTAGTCTCACACATCAAGAGGATAATGATTCAGTAAAGGCAGGCAAAGTGTACAGCAGCCTGATTGTTGAAATTTTGTGTTTGTAGGATCGAAATAGAGGACATAGGCTAAAAGGCGGAGCGGGATTGGTCGGCTAAGTCTTATCGCTGCTTTGTCGTGCCTTTGTCAGGTGGAATGGACGACATACTGTCGGAAACTTAAGAGGTGCCGTTAGCTTGTCTTAAGTTCAATCCGACATAGGCACGACAAAGCAGTGATAAGACATAGCCGACCAATCATGCTCCGCCTTTTAACCTATGTCATCTATGTCGACCCGACAAATACAAAATTTCAACAATCAGGCTGCAGGGCAGCTGAGTTCCTCAGGTTTTTTCCTAAATTCTCGAAATTGACCTCATGTTTTCTTAAGGTTCCTCTCCTCCAGGAAATATGTTTTAGCCTCTTTCTACTCTATTTTATTTTGCTTTCATTGATCTTTATTGAAAGTGAGTATGCAGCTCAAATGAGGTTTTTAGGTTCTTGCATTTATTCCTAAGTTGCAAGTAATTTTTCTGAGTTCTTAAATTGCTATCTAATTCCCTGCCTCAAAAGAAGTGAAGCAATTCTATTCATTAATTGATTACTTTGTGAAGACACTCGCTAATTCCCTTTGATTTTCCTCTTGAGGTATAGATCCATCAAAGTCAGTATTTGTGTTGATACTCAATGTAAAGCTTATGTCTTTACCAATAGAACTAAATGAAACAAAACAGAACCTCAAAATTGACTCGCAAATTCATTGTCGAACGGGCTTTTATCTAGAAAACCAAGTACCTCACATCTGCTAAATTCTGTTTTTTTATATAATGTTCCTTACGACCTCTTGGGCACAACAAGCTCTCTAACTGAAACCTTCTATGTACCAGGCTCAAGGAAAGCAGGGCCAAACAGTGAATTTTGCAGCATTTTTTCTTGCAATATTAAGTAGATATGATGAAACATCCGACTGGTCCTCAAGAAGAGCTTTTGTTTCCTTGCTGGTCTGGAAGATAAGAAAAGATAAGGTAGACGAAAATAGTCAAATTTTCCGAATGATAACAGAGTGAGGCGTATCGTCTTTACACCTAGACCAGGAATTCCTCAGCTTCATTGGAAAACACATGTAAAAAGGCCAACAAATTATTTTTTCAGCCCCGCTTGTCTTGACCTTGGCATACTGAAATTTTAAGTTCAAAAATTCATTGCGCTTAGAAAGTCGCAAAGAATATAATATTGAATAATAATTTAATTTAGCCATGTCAGAATACCTTTGGTTCCCCATGCAGGGTCGCTACAGGTATTCTAATTTTTGTCTTTTGGAGCAACTTTTGTTGAATGAGTTCTAACTATTTCTCTTCTCTTCTTATTTGTAGGTAAAATATCATAAGATTATCTGGAAGAAGTTGGCTCCCAATAGTGGAGAGGAACAAATTCTGCTGTTATTTGGTGTCAATCAATTCTGGTGCCCTTTTAATTCTTTCTTGAGAATGATATTTCCTCAAAAGGAACTCATGCTGATATCTTCGCAACTAGTTATGTAGCAAAAAAGTATGATGGTGGCACTTTCTCAACTCATTTATTGAACGTAAATTTTTTAGATTTGTTGTTTTAAATAAAGTCATCCATGAAGCATGAGCTAAAATTCGCTTTAGCTGTAATTAAACAGTGGCATGAGGGTGTAATTAAAGCCTCTGAAAACATTGTAAATGTCTCCCCAATGAACGCTTAATTTAAGTACATGCATAAACAATTTTGTTAGTTTATGAATTGGTTGGAACTCACACAATTTACCATTCCCCACTTTGAGTATATTTTGTATAAATTCTAGTTTAGTCTTTTCCATAAGAAAGTTCTCTAAAGTAGGTTAATTTGAAAATCTGTAGTAGCATTTTTCAACTGATAGTGACTTCTTCAAGAGTTGCTGTTTTAATAGTTGTAATATTTTTATTCTTATTAGCCTCAACTCAACTTTACAATTGACAGGGTGTGTTGGGAAAAACTACACAAATCTAATGCAGCATTCATCTTTTTGCACCATGCCAGTCAGCGGTGCTTAAATTTTTTATCGCTGTAAACTGCATCTTATTTGAAATTGGTCACCTCTAAGCCAGTCAAATAGGCCAGACCAAATACTAAACGCAGGAAAGTTCAGAGATATTTTTTTTTTTTTTGCTGTTTCGTCCAGCCCCTGGACCCCTTAAAAACCAGTAGCTTTTCTCCTCAAGCCTTAGCAGTTAATCTCAAACAGAAGATCAAAGAAAAAATGTCAATAGGTCGGAACTTAAAGTCGTAAGATGCTAAACCTATTTACCATAATGCCTATGAGCGGCTGATATCACTTGATTTAAAATGACTCTGTTAATTGTACTTTTTCAACAACTCTTGTGCTGCAGTATTAGTATGTAATTCTTACGTTCATTGAAAAAAATCTCTTTGTGCTCCAAGCCACAAAGACGACACATTATTATTTTCCCCAAGTTCATTCCATAGCAATGCCACCTACCCATGTCTTTGTTAGATCATTCTATGAGATGTTGATGATGTATTTTTGATTTGTTAAATTTTATTATTGAAGTATCATATAATATTGTTAATATTAAATTAAATGTTAAAAAGTTATGCACTTTCATTTTATTTGTATTTCTCAAATTCTATTTTTTTNTTTTAAGTTCTAATGTATCAAATGGGAATCGATGTGAAAATGTGTGAGAATATAAAATTCGGTCGTAAAAATTTGGCGCGGCGCCCGGGAATCGAACCCGGGCCCAACGGATCACTGGGCGAGCGCGCTACCGCAGAGCCACCACTTAATAGTAAGTAGCTGCTGCTATACTGCGTATATAGACTCAAGCGCTCAAAGCAAAACTTTTCGGAATTTTTTTGGGGTGTTTCTGGGGGGCATTGGAAAAAACAAAAAAATACGGGTCAAATAAATTCATCCAAAGAGTTCGTACGAATTTTTTCAGCCCGATCGGAGGCGGCAGCTTGGGAAGTTCCCCTTGTAAGTTGAAAATCAGTTAATCTATAATTTGCCGCAAGGCCACAAATGGACCAGTTTAATAGGTACAAATTAACACATTCTGATACATGTCCTAATGAGAATTTTACCCAGAACACGATTCGGGCAACAAAAATGGATGAAACTAACTCTAATTAAGCTGTTTAACATTTTTCAATGCGTGAATTTAAACCTCGCGCTCATGAAAAAATCCAAGTCCAGTTGAGACAAATTCTGCAGTAAGCGTTACTGTAACAGTCTCTGCGGTATGAAAAGATGGCAACCTTGATTTTCAGCTGTCGCACGTAGTCAACACCTAGAACAACACAAGGCAGGAAGGAACATGGCTTGATTAAGAAGCCTGCCGAAACTGTTGTGGTATATGCGATTTGATTCAAGTAGACTATTGTTATTCTTGTGAGCGGGGAATTCAAAATTCTTGTGACCAATGTTAACTAAAAATGTTGATATCTTAGTTAGGAGTTGATTTCAGTAAGTCCCTTTGTGCAAATTGAGTTTAACGTGTTTTGGTTAAAAGCCATGCATCAGAACACTTCAATTTTTGCCTTGTTTACTGGTTCATTACAAAATATAATTCTGCTCGTTTCAAGGAAAATAGTGAAAGAGGCTATCACCTGGGACCAATTCATTTTTGATTATGACAAATGAGGGGCTTGGAGAATAAGGCACATTAGTGCAGTTTAAGCTATTTCAAAATGTACTTGTTTGAAGTTTCGAAATTACATGGATCCTTACGGCAGAAAAATAGTTCAAACTGACTTTTTGAAATTGAAAAATAGGAATTTGGGAGCAAATTTTTCACAGAATATGCATCAAGACTAGTTTCACTTGAAATTGTTAACATCTCAATTTTTTAAAACTGCACTCATGCACCTTGTCCTCCAAGCCCCTCAATTTTACTTCAATGCAGGAATACCAGAGAGAATTTAATTGAGGCCTTGTTGTTTATGACGATTCAGGAAAAAAGATTAACATAAAAGAATCTTAAGGAAGCAGAGTTTATATAAAAGTAGGAACTTTATTTACAGTAAGTTTTTTATAATTCATTATTTACAGTTGCCTCAGCTGGTTTATCACTTTGAAGTTTACCAATTTCATTCTTGAATTTAGTGATTGTTTCTTTAGCATTTTTAAGCCGGTCCTTGTACTCACTAATTTCTTGTCTAATCTTCTTTTTGGCATTTAAAATGGCTTGTAGGGTTTTCTCCTTCTTTTCATCAACTGAAACAAATTAGAATTAGAGTCACCTAAATTAATTTTGAAGCAACTTTAAGTTAACAATGAAAAATAAGAAAACCGAGAAAAGAATAATATTAAAAGATGAACATTCCAGATACAATAAAGAATACGTTTAATCTTGCAGCCAAGGCTTCGTTCTAGGCTAACCTTCTTAGGTCTGTTTCATAATCATACCTTTGATGTGAAAGGTCTTCATTTACATCTATTCTTGCTTCATGCATAGGGTGTTCAAAAAGTTTTGCACACTTCTGGATTTTGAGCGAACAAAAGCAGCTATTGATTTTCGGTTTATGTGTGCTTAAAGTAGACGTAATTACCACTAAAACAAGACCAAGAACAACTCTCTAGCTTAAAAAATGACGGAGATACAGGATTTTGTAAATGACATGTAGCGTGACCGCCTCCAGGATTTTTAGCTACAAATATGTTTATCAAGGGAAAACAAGTTAAGTGAGAATTGAGTGTTTTTATTGAAAAAACTTACAAAATCTTACGGAAATTGACGGATGACATGGATGACTCAACATTCGGCTGTTTTTCGAAGTATTTTTCACCACTTTGAACACAAAGCTTCAGCCGTTCTGTCCAATTCACAAGGATCGTCCTTTCGAAGTCCTCTTGACGGAGGGTTTTGATCTAGGCTTTGGAATGGATCTTTCCTGAGTTAAAGAAATTTCTGAGAGGCACACGGTTTGATTCCATAGCCTAGATCAAAACTGCTGTTCGAAAATGCTTCAAAACCCTCCGTCAAGAGGACTTCGAAAAGACGATCCTTGTGAATTGGACAGAACGGCTGAAGCTTTGTGTTCAAAGTGGTGGAAAATACTTCGAAAAACAGCGGAATGTTGAGTCATCCGTGTCATCCGATGAAGAAACTTGAAGTTCGTCAATTTCCGTAAGATTTTGTAAGTTTTTTCAATAAAAACACTCAATTCTCATTTAACTTGTTTTCCTTTGTTAAACATATTTGTAGCTAAAAATCCTGGAGACGGTCACGCCACATGTCATTTTCAAAACCCTGTATCTCTGTCATTTTTTAAGCGAGAGAGTTGTTCTTGGTCTTGTATTATTGGTAATTACGTCTACTTTAAGCACACATAAACCGCAAATCGATAGCTGCTTTCGTTCGCTCAATATCCGGAAGTGTGCAAAACTTTTTGAACACCCTATGTACTAACTAAATATACATGGCTGAGGTAAAAAAATGCGTAACTCTGATTGTGACAGTACTAATCTCCACACTTGTGTCCCTTTTTTAAGAGGAAACTAGCCTAAGTAAAGTTTTTTTTTACATTTCCTGTAAATTTTCCAAACTTGTTCATAACTATTCACCGACAGTTTTAAAAAGATACTGTAATTGGTTCTCTTTTACAAAAATAATACACAATTGGGGATTTTTAAATACTCAATAATATCGAAAAGGGGCCATCTTTAAGATTTTGACGAACTTACTTTCCTTAAGGACTCTACTCTTAATGGATACGCAAACCAGCCCCTAAAAGCTTACGACTGGTTTTTCCGCAAGACATCATTCAAGGTGGTCCAATTTTTCAATGATTTCTAGAGTTGGGCGGAGATGGATTTTCCGCATCACCGGATCCGGATATCGAATTTTTGTATTGGATACCGGATAATTCGTCAAGGTAACCGGATAATACCGGATTCGGATAGTGCTTTTTTGCGTAGAAAAATCTCCCAATTTCGAGTAAGAAAAATCTCCCGATTTCGCGCTTGGGACAAGAGACACATTGTGTATTACACCATCAAGACAGCCATCCACGATGTATGTACCTTCGCTCCGGCAACCTCCATATTTTTTAATGATACGATATGAGCCCGCTAAAACAAATACTAAAAAAAAAAGACCTGCCAGATGAGTAGCATGGCTTTCATTGGCTTAATGGTGTGATGGGCCAGATGAATCTGATGAATCTGATGATGGAGAGATATTATTAGAAGTATGCCTCTACACAAGACAAAAGCGGAAAAAGCGCTTTGATGCTGCAATAACAAGCTGCATACTACGACATTACAATAATTGCGGAGTTACACTCAGACTAAAAACTTTAACAGCAGGGAACTTATGCACATGTTGGTGGCATTGTTTTTTCTTATCCTCCACCTGCATCTCCGTCTTTAAAAGTGAAACACGTGGACTTTCGAAATTAGGTGTCACGTTGCATATGTGTGAATGTGCGGGAAATGTCCTTAAATCCGATGATAACAAGTTTCAAAAGGTTGAACGATTACATTGACTACTCAAAGTGTGCCAAAAAATGCCAAAATATCACCAAAATTTTCACTGCCGTAAAAGAACTATCCGGCAGGTCCATAAACCGGATATCACAATTATCCGGCCGAATACGGATACCCGCGAAAATCGTATCTGGCCGGAGCCGGATATCCATAATCGGGCAATGCGGATAATCCCCAGATACCCGGACCAACTCAAATAATTTCGAAAAGCAGCCATCTCCAGAGAGACCAGAAGTCAACCAAAAGTGTTGTTAAAATACACTTTTTATCTTTACTGACAAGCTACTGTGTTCCTTCGATTTGCCCTTAGCTAGACAGAGAACTGTTCAGCAGTTCTAGTAACACAAAGCAACTAAGTAATAATGTTGCCATTTGAATTTGATTTCATATGTTCTGTGTCACATATTAGGATGTGTTTCACTGGCACTGGCACAGAAAAAACACCACACAGTGATAATATTTTTCAGGAACGATCGCTGCACAATAGAAAAGTCCTTATATTTATGCCAAGATTACAGAATTAAACATGAAAAACTGCAAATAATATTTTTTTTTTTTTTATTTTCTTTTAAAATTCGTGTACATAAAAGCTGGAATTACAGCCGTTATGCAGGTCAATAACAAATGAAAATATTACAATAACAAAAAAACAACAAATTATATAGCATGAAGCATATCCTTTTAGCAGTAGTAATATCAAAAAGGGGCCATCCTAATTTTAATCTTTCAGTTCCAGTATTCATTTAAATTTCTGGTTTTGCTCTGGATTTCTCCATTTCTGTCATATGCAGTATAAAACCTTCAGTCTCGAGATTTCACTAAATATTCACTTTTTGAGCAGTTTTTTGGCTCTTCTGATAAATTTAAAAAAAAGGAGATGGCCCCTCTCCAAAATTATCAATTCAGATGTTACAATGAAAATGTAAATTTTTCAACTCTAGCCCTGAAAATGCAAGTTTGGTAAAAATGAAGCGGTAGCTCACAAAGGGTATTAAAAGTTGAATGCAATACTTACAATCAGTTTCAAGTTTCCACGGGCCTATGGTGGCTGGTTGAGGATTTGTTAATAACTTTTCCATGAACGCAGTTGGATCTTGAAACACTATTTCTTCATAGTACTCTGATACAAGAGTTTTTTTAGTAACTAAAACATCCGGATTTGTTAAAAAAAGCTTCAGCATGTGGTAGACTGTTACCTAAACAAAAATAAAAGTAAAGGTTACTCTGTAAAGTAAAGACTCGTTGGAGATTAAATGAAAAAATTCAATGAAGATGATATCGATTGATAACCACTCCAGAAACTGAAACAGGTGAATGATGATAATGATGTTTATTATTATGAGCCATACCTCAAAAGTTCCCTGACAGCCAGATTACTTCTTGATGGTAGCAAAGCTCTTTCATGGCCTCTTACACTTAGCTACACTGCTCGGCAGCAATAAAGGGTATGAATGCGTTATGTATTCCATTATTGTTTCAAGGCCACCACCATTGACTACCTATCTGGAAGTTGCTTTTAAAATGACAGCCAGATGAGGCAAAAAGACACAGGTCAAAAATTATGTTTTATTCTTAAATGAAGTGATCAGAAATAGTTTCTTTCCTGCATCATTGATAGGAGGAAGTCTCTTAAGATTGGTCCTGTCTAAGAAATAAACAATTTTTACAAAATGGTCATAAATAAAAATATGAGGCCTATTGCTCCATTCGATGTGGATGGGCAGATGCAAAAAAACTTTCCTTGGAAAAAAATTCCCGCAATTGCCAGTGTCATTTCAAAGGTCAGACAATCATCACTAATTATGCCCAAGAGTTTAAAGTAGGTGTGTTGGCGCTTTTTGGCGAAAAGATGTGGTTCAGTCCAGGAAAACTGGTTTTTGATGCAATAGGCCGCCTTTTGCCCACACCTGTCCTACTCTGACGAAACTTGGGTATCATGACGACATCTATCTTGAGCCCCCCAGCAGAATACTTGTGGCTCTACTTGATCTGGCGGAGCTGCAACATTTCTTCTACAAATGCATTCAAAAGTGTTGAAAAAACCACTTATTAGCCCAGAATTTTTCCATTAGAGACCCAAAAAAAGTTCCAGATTTAAAGCTGATAGTGCTCAGTGGGTCATACTGAACATCCTATTGAAAAACAGTACAATTTGCATGGCTACAGCTGAACCCCTCCCTTCCACAGTCAGTACCTATGGCATCCTTTTCCATATCATTTACACATGGGTAAGACTAAATTAGAAACTGGCTGTATTTGTTCCACTTACAGGCCTTTCATTTGTGTCATGGAAATATAATTTGATGACTATTTCAAACTCTCCCCAACCAGTTTCTGTGATCTCAAAGGGTGGCTTGGTTATAACACGATTGGGATTTTCATAACTCTCGTGCAGCTTGAAATGCACTTTCTTCACATAAATAGACATATCTTCATTGTTAAATGGTTTGACATAAACGGTCCATTGATGAGTGTGTCCATCCTCTTCTCTTTTTTTCCCAAATGAGTGAGCAACATTTCCGTAGACAATTGGTTTGACCAGAGTGACACCCTGAAAAAAAAAGAAAAAACCAAGATCATTCTCTCATTCAGGACTACAAAAGAAAAGAGACGCATTCTCATTAGCATGCCCAACAAAATCTGCTACATAATTCTCACTAGTTAATTAACCTAACATCATCTTAGAGAGAATTAAATGCCTTTTCCAAACCCACACAAGGCTTCATTTGATGGCTTTCATTTTCTGAAGGCCTAGATACACGCTCAAATTTCCGTCAATTTCCGATCAAAATGATGACAAAAATGGCGGTCGAGAATTATCTAAATTGTTACCTAGAATTAATTCAAACAGCGAGTTGACTGAAATAAGCATGAAATAAGCACAGTTGTGTGGAAATCAAATGACCGATGAGACCCACAGTTCCATCATCTACGATCAAATTTTTGCAGGACGCAAAAAATTGATGGTAGATGATGTGCACCAGTCACCATTTGATCGGAAATCGATGGAAATTTGAACGTCTATCCAGGCCTTAAATTAAAGTGTCTTTCCAAAGAAGAAGATAGCGAAACAAAGAGTTTACAAGAAAGAGAATATGTGATGAAATACTTACTTTAGGCAGTGATTCAATGTAAAATAAATGTCTCCTTGATAGAATGAGCAATAATATGGAACATTTAAGTTTTTAGATGTTTGAGGGCCAAAACACTACTGACCAAGTTCTTCAAAATTATTATTTGCCATTTTACACTTTAGTTGTAAGAGATGAACCAATAAGAAGTCGCTGGGCTGACAACAAAAGGATTGCCAATCATCTTTATGAAACTTGCTGCATAATACAAGGATTTCTTCTAGGAGATAACCTGAAATTCAATAAACATCTCTGGGGAGAGTCAAATCCCGGATAAATACCAGAAGTTACCTTAAGGCGGCCACCGGAGTCTGGACCAAATTCTGTGACAGCTGCCATTATGAACTTGCGTTGAAATAGGATTGACCAGTGCCAACAAACATCCTGAGAGATTAAGGGCTGAAAAGAATAAGACTAAATTCAATCCAAAAAGTTAAATACGAATTTTCATCTTTCAACTGAAAAGTATTACCTGATGAATTGCTCATCATGAAACTTTATACTCTGCAGGATTAAGATACAACTTTCTCCACCGTAACATCAGAGGTATTTCAGGAAAGCTGTTGTTACAGCTAAAGACGTAGACCCCGCCCCCCCTCCTTTCTCTCTTATATTTAACATTATGACTCTCATCCACATCATTGCCCCTTTTTGGTGAATTGCCTTCGGTTCAACTGATATATTTTTTTTCGTTATCTAAAATGTGATGATTCAATGAATCGGTCAATCTTACCTACGACTTTTGATTCTAATTCCATTCCTGATTCAATGTAATTTTTTTACCGGTAATACCACTTGTTTAAATTCTCTTTGTTCAACCCCTTGTGCTCTCAGGAGCTTTTAACGGATCAGTTACCGATGGTCACATAAGTATGCATCGTAAGTGATGATCAGGTCTCTGTCATTATCAAGCTTTCTGGCTACAGTATATGATAATGGATTAGTTGCACTGGTCATAGAATCATGTTTCAATGTTTGATTCTTGTAGATTAGGAAAAAAAATAAGATCTGTCTCAACTGCAACTTTCTTTGATCAATATTAACCGAGATATCGCCCTTTGAAAAGTCAGGTTTTTGACGTCATCCACCGCGGCAGTGACACCCTTGGTCTCTTCTTCTTTTGTTAGATCACTAATGCAGAGGATACAACGCAAAACTTCAACATATGAATTCACACTTTAAAGATACCTACTCATATCAGGAGATAACGCACTCGCAGCGATGAGATTAGGCGGTCAGTCAGTTCACCTCAGTTTGTTTACGTTTAACGTCGCTGAAACCTCGGCATCACTGTTCGAGCAAAAGAGGAAGAAACCAAGGGTGTCACTGCCACGGTGGATGACGTCAAAAGCCTGACTTTCCAAAGGGCAATATCTCGGTTAATATTGAACGTAGAAAGTTGCGGTTTGGACAGATTAATTATTTTCAGCTAATCTACAAGAATACAGCATCAAAACACGATTTAATGACCAGCACAACTGACCCATTATTTCATTGGAGCTAATGGCATGTAAGTTAGCAGGGCTGTGAAGCACTAACGCGACTTTGTTTCAAGCTGCTTCACTACACTACCATGGCTGTGTTGGAAAGCAGCTTCAAACAAAGCCGTGTAGGTGCGCAATATCTACTAGCGGTTGTATCCTTTCTGTCTGCAAGCAGCTGAGCTGTCATTATCAAATGGTGGTCCAGGATCAACTGAAAACGACAACAATGTTTTGCTTCTGATTTACGCAGGTACCCAAAAACCAACACCTTCCCCCAAAGGGATACTACCAGATTTTCCTACTGAATGTGACAGTCAATTGCAAACAAATGCCAACTTACCTGATGCGAATCTTACTCACTTTTATGTGATCAAATGTTACTAAATCAAATGTTTCAACAGAGATTACGTCCGTGAGATGAAGTTAATTAAAACTCAGGGAATCTTACCGAATCACGGATACTGGCTAATATGGTCAAACGAATAGAAGAGACAGGACTTAATTTGAGGTGTCAGTTTTGGCTGTCCAGTGCAATTTTTGAATTTAAATCGTTTGAATTTGAATTGAAAGTTATAAGATTCAACCATGAAAAAAATAGACTATAAATATATTTCTTCCATGATTCAACGAAGTTTTTAAGGTTATGTTTTGATTCGATTTGTTTTTTTCTGAGTTTTGGTGACGTCACATAGTGGCGCTACCAATCACCAAGCCCGAAGCCTAGTATCGCCTCCTATTGGCTGGCTTCTTTGTTTCAACTGCCCCCGCCCCCCTGCCCCTGCAGGTGACGTTTAGATTAGTAACCTCATAATTTTCATTTTCTCCTTTTGTTTTGTTGTGCACTCTGTATATATTTTAAATAAAAGTTGAGAAACTGTGGCGAATTCGTATTAGCAAGGTAATTTTCTCACCTTTTATCCTTTTGCTCATCATCTAAGTCTCCTATGTTGGAATAATTTTGCGGGACCACCACTGAAAATTTCGCTACAGTTCAGGAACTAGAGAGCAACCAGCTAGGGAAGTTGGCCAAATTTATACACACCATCTCTTATAGGCTCTTGAGCCTTGTTGTGGGTCATTTCTCATCAATTTGCCTCATAATCATTCCTAAATCACCTGTTACATCTTGCGCAAATTGTTCATCCCTTCAAAGTAATTACCACCAAGGCTCTTGCTCTGAACCCCTCAAAATCTTGATCAACGTCTTCCGCAATTTCTGCATTATGGTAACCTATTCACATTTAACATAAACTGACTGCATCGCAACATGTAGTTCTAGTTTAGAATTTAAAATACGGTAACCTAAGCCCCTCAATTGTTAGGAACTCACCCAATAAACATCTGCAGACCAACATTAAGATTCAGTGAATTGTTCTAAACTAGGTCTCGGTAGGTTCGGAGGGAAATTCGGATCTTCGTTAAAATTTCAAGCATATCTGGGTTTCTTTGTAATATCTGAGGATTGGACGTGAAATTCATCCTAATATTTTCATGATTTATGTATTGTGGTCCTTTGGCTGAAATACATGATGTGAGTGACTGACGTCATCAGCGATATTACTCATTGCATTTTTTATAAGTCAGATGAATCTTCTAACCTGCTGAAATTATTTCATCACTTTCTGGAGGTATAACTAATTATTTTTATTTACTCAGAATGGGGCATTGTTAGCAAGAGCCATCAAGTAGACCGTAACCTTAAAACCGTTCCACCTCCGGTCAACTCTGACCATTCATTGAACGTACGGAGCTGAATCATCCAAAACGAATCTTCATTTACAGACTGTTTCACTGGTCTTATGTAAAGTTATTTTAAAGTGAAGAAAGATTAATAATGGCAGAGAATCAATTTTTTACATTGAGGAACGAAAGCAGTCTGATTTGGTAACTAGGCTGAACCTTGTAGTCCTTCTCAGTTTCTGTAATCATCCAACGGTATCAATGATCAAATTCTCAAATGAGCAGGTGTATTCATCGGACAGCTCAATTTTACATCTGATTATAGCAGCAGGTTTTACCTATGTTTTGCTAATTAGTCGATGGAAAAGCTGATTGTAAACTGATCATGTTGATACCATTAAGTGAAATCCTGGCACCCCTCTCCTTCCAAATGACCTGATTACACCAAGCATTTGCTTGTAAATGATTGAATCTTTCACAATTTTCAGGTATTTCCATTGTTCCATCATACGTTCCCTCCTAAGAATTTGACAATGGATCTACTCCCTTGCAAGAAGACAATGCACATTAAAACCGGAGTGTTGGTCACGGACCGATCAGCCGGGTCATTGTACCCCTCTCTTTTTCTTTTTCTGCTTATCAGAAACTCTAATTTTCACTATTCGGAAGCATTACAAAAAGCTGAGCTTTTTTACCATCATCATCCCCTCCCCCTATGCTGTACTAACTCCCCCCCTCCCCTAGTGAATTAGACCCCCTCCTTGTGAGCAAATTACAGAATACCTTAGCAGTATGAGCCTTTTCCCAAGCATTTTGATTAATTGCCTCTGAATTCCAATGAGAATTGCAAGAACTCTCTGATTTAATTTAAATATAAGGCTCCAAATCTCAATAATCCAATCAGGTCTCAGCAGAAATTTTGGTAATGTCTCTTCCATTTTAAATTTGACGAGGGGCTCAGCTTTCAGTCGCCTCTTTTTTCCTCCAATCCAGTTTTTTTGACAGATGAGATTCTGTAAAATGGTTCAAATGCTTCTTGGCACCCTTGTTTAACCGTATCAGCCATTCCAGACATCAGGAAGAGAGGCGGCTAAGGACTTGTATCTCTTATGAACTATTTTCTAAGAATGTTCTGTGAAGATTGCTACTCATTCTCTTAAGCAATTATGTAAGCAAAGTATAGCAATTTCCAAGTACAGGTCAACGTTAACTACCAATGCCTGGTATCCAACAGATATTATTGGTGCGTCGTCGAAGTAAACTTGTCCGATTCCGTTCGGTTCTTCTGTTTGCAAATGCAACCTAATGGGCTCATTGACCTCCTGAGATGCTTAAGAATTTGGTAGAAACGTTAGGCTTTCATACACGTAAACACACAAGTCATCCGGTATTTCTAACGGAGTCCAACGGTGCCATTTGAAATCGGATAATTCTGTTTCCAAGCAGTTCCAAACAGTTTACTTCGACAGTGCAGATTATAAACTTTGTTTATGTTATGCACAAGCTAGTTCAGCAGCAGCTTGGCACAGGAGACCAGAGGATGTTTTTCTATTATGAGAACTTTAACTGAGGAATGTCATTTTCTTTTCTATTTATCCCTGAAACATGTGATTGTGTTTGTGGCTGCTGCAAATCTTTCTTTGAATGTAGATGTCTGCAATTTTATCATTCATTTTTTCTAGAAATGTTTAATTAATTCATGTTGATGTACCTCCTGGATTTTTGCAGACTCAATGTTGTGGCGGAGATTCAGTTTTAATTGCTGAAATTAAATCTGTATACGTTCATGTCATCTTGCAGAATATGATTAGTCGTCCATAATAGGCAAGTCAGTTTTTTGCTATCAATCTAGGAATCCTGCAAGTATGTACCAGAATAATTCGTGTATTAATTTTCCTTGTAATCCATTAATGGAAACACCTTTTTGGCCGAAAATTGAAGCTAAATTTGCTCAGTCATTATACTTGTATACTGGGTGTTTCAGAGCACCCGCCCACTATCTTTTTCTTGGAAATAGCCAAAAATTGAGCTTTGGGAAGAAAAATTAAAACTCAATTTTTGGCCATTTCCGAGACAAAGATAGTGGACAGGAAACATCGGTATATGGTATATGGAACATCGGTAAATGCCCACTGTGTAGCAGTTCAATTCATCATCCAGCTACCATTGAACTCAGGTTCATGGTCAACAAAACTTTTATTATTTATCTTTTGTGTGATAAAACAATCTCTTTTCAGTTTTTGTCTATAACAGTATCCTTATTTGGGCTCTCTTTTTTTTTTTTTTAAATCGAGATAACTTTCTCAATGTCACGCAGCTTCAAGGAAGTAAAAAATGGCTCAAAGAATATATTTCCAAGAAATTCAATGCTTCGGTGTTAATACCTTGACAAAAATTAGATTTAATTTTCCCTGGAAATGGACATGTGGCGTCCAAAACATTACACACAAAACAAATCTACTCTCATATAAGTAGTAGCGAAGATAGTGTTTCAAAGAAATGGTGATCGGCTGAAGAGACAGAAAACCAACGTATATTTACTGTCTAAAAATGTTACTCATTCTGAAAAGAAAACTTTTTAAAAAGATGATTTTTTGCTAATTTTATCTGATCAGCATCATATTCTTTTTACTACTACGAACCTAGAAGAAAAGGATTCTGAATAACTGTACCAACTTCAGATTAACCTCATTTAGAAAACTCGACGTATCTCAAAATCTCAGTCAATTTAAAACATAGAGTACATACATTAAAAAGAACTTGAATTTCTTATAGTAATGGTGTACCTTAACAAATAATGATTAATCATTGAATTTTTGGTCAAGTTTGCTCTAAAACAGTGTTCGAAACTCACTTTTGAGTTGTAGGAGCCATGTGGCGCATCAAGCCTGATTTGTAGGCGCCATTGAAGATTTTTTAGGGGCCAAATTCACTTTTTGCCCATATATTTCGGCGCATTTAGTGAAAAATTAGACGCAAAATGTTTTCGTAACACGACTAGTAGGTAGCTGTAATTTGAGGAAGACAAAAACACTAAGAATGAAATCGTTAAGAATAGAAAAAGCAAGCTTTCACTTGTATTGCTGAAAATTCTGAGTTTTTTCAATTAAAATACATTTGTTTTTCTTTCTTTATGTGACTTCCTGTGAAAATCCAGATTTTTAAGGGCCACGTTGGCGCAGAGCCTTCATTTTTTAGGCGCATTTGGCGCGTTGGCCTATGAGTTTCAAACTCTGCTCTAAAAGCACCTAGTTCTTGTATCACGTTAAATCAGACTGAGTAGTAATGCCCAGTTTCAGCATACCTAATACTCTCTCTTCCTGTATCCAGGTCGTTTTTATTTTTCTGATTTGAACTGTTTTTCATACTTTCAGAAACCAGTCATCACACGAATTGTACCAGGTGCCTTTGTATCATGAATGTATAAAATTTTCAAATTCTCTGTAACATTACTCCTTGCGCTTTTGTTGGTAAGACACCTTTCCGCTTCATTAGAGTTATCTTAATTTTTTTCATGAAATGTTGCCACTTGGTTTGTTAAGGAGGGATTCAGGTCATCTTCCGCAGGAAAAATTTGTAGGACACTAACAAGGCATCGTTAGTCATCATGAACATAAAGAGCAAAGCCTTTTTAGTGTTGTTTTTTCAAATTCAAGTGAGTAAACTATCGATACTGCTAGTTCTGATCACACTCTGATAAGGTCTTTCTTTTCCGGCACTATCGCACCTGTGAGAGCTGTGTTGTCCTGTATATGCCTGGCTGATGAGTTTTTTGGTAAAGCAAGAGTGAGCTTTTGAAAGCCTATCTTTCTCCATTTAGCCATAAATATTAAATTTTGAAAAGAGAATTGGCTAAATTTCCCAGACAAAAGAGAAATTGCACTGCTCCATTTTCTTAGCAAGCTCATGCTTTGTGTTTTCATGACAGCTCTTGGTTTTTCGAGTGTACTTAAGCTATTCAATGTTTGTCTCTATTTTCCAGTACTTTGAAAGCAAAATGAGTTATTTGGAATTACTAGTATTTGTCAGAACTATTTTGTGTTTATGTGTAATATTGGTTCTCTCTTTTTGATCACCATAGCTTTCAGTATTAAAATGAAAGGAGGCATTTTTTCCATCTTTCAAAGAGACTCACCTAGTTAGATATGGCTCTTTCTGGTCTTATTTAACCTGTAGAAAGTATTAGCTTTAGAATCAAATCTTTTATCATTATGATATTGAAATGTTTTTGGAATGTATGCCATTACCATGCATCGCATTCAGTTTATGACTCCTCATCAGTCAGCAATGTCTTCGAACTCTTGGATCCCTCGAAAATTGTAATATTCATGGTTAACATCTAGAAGATATCAACAATGATAACCAAGGTAAAATTGCAGTATTGTTAGATATGTATTAATGACTCCAAGCATTTCAATGTGCTCTGAAAGTATCGCTCAGTAGATTTGATCGTCAAAGAGTGATTAATTCAAGTAGAGTCTGGTTTTTCATTTGAACAAAAAATTCAAATTTTTCAGAATCAGTGCTCAATAGAAACCTTATTATCTTGTTTGGAGTTGATATCAGTAATGTTCGTTGCGCAAATTATGTTTTATGTGAAATTTTGAAGAGGAAACATAAATCAGAATGTTGAAGGTGTTGGGCGCTCTGTGGAAGAATCAACAGTTTGTACCACCGCAGTAGATGATGTAATATGTTTTCAGCGTCTATATTAGACGCAAAAATTTGGCATTTGAACAGATTTCATCAATTTTTGCCCATCCACAAACTCAAACCATCAAAACACGATTCTGTGTCTAGCCAAATTGTTCCATTTATGCTCTACCCAAAAAAATGGTGTTTAAGTCAGGAGGCAATGAAATGAATTATTATTTATGAAGCCCTGTGGTTGCCGGCTGTTAGGAAAAATGAGGAAGAGTCAGGGAATTCGCGACGATCGGGAAAAGTCAGGGCATCTCTGGCACATCTACTAATCCCTAAAACATCCCTGATCTTCCAACTGTTTACCCCTCTAGGGAAGGTTTAACGTTAACGGTTAAAGTTTAGCAAAAAATAGTATAGGTATTTAAGAAAAGAAAAAGAAGGTGGAATTTTTTTTAAAGGTCAGGGAAAGTCAGGGAATTTAAAGATAACGAAATGATGGCAACCCTGATTTATGAAACTATTATTGTTGCAGGAAAGAAGCTGTAATGTCTTACAACGATCAAGCGATGGCAAGTCACAAAAGGGATTGTAATCCTGGTCTGAAGCAGATTGATCTTGATCAAATATGGGACGATTTACGAGAAGGCATCGAGCAAGTTTACAATCGGCAGTTCATGCCGAAGCCACGGTACATGGAACTGTATACCCATGTCTACAACTACTGCACAAGTGTTCATCAAAAGGTTCAACGAAATGGCTCCACCTCAAAGCAGAAAAAAGGACCCAACAACCCGGGTGGCGCGCAGTTAATCGGTTTAGAACTGTACAAAAAGCTCAGAGACTTCTTACGTAATTATTTAATCAATCTGCTGAAAGATGGCGTAGATTTAATGGATGAGGATGTTCTTCAATTCTACACACGTCAATGGGAAGAATACCAGTTCAGTTCAAAGGTTCTCAATGGGGTTTGTGCATATTTGAATAGGCATTGGGTGCGGCGAGAGCATGAAGAAGGAAAGAAAACGATCCGAGAAATTTATCAACTAGCTTTGTTAACATGGCGTGATCATTTATTCAAGCAGCTTAACAAGCAAGTAACAGCTGCTGTACTTAAACTCATTGAAAGAGAAAGAAATGGTGAAACTATCAATACTCGTCTTGTCAGTGGTGTTATTAATTGTTACGTGGAGTTAAGTCTCAATGAGACAAGCCCTGTTGGCAAAGGATTGAACTTAACCGTGTACAAAGACTCATTTGAAAATGTTTTCTTAGAAGACACTGAAAGGTTTTATAATCGAGAGAGTACAGAATTTCTGAGACAGAACCCTGTCACAGAGTACATGAAAAAAGCAGAGCAACGCTTAGCTGAAGAAGGAAAACGAGTTCAAGTTTACCTCCACGAAACAACACTTGATCGGCTTTCCAAATGTTGTGAGCAGGTGCTAATTGAAAAACACTTAGAAATATTTCATGCCGAGTTTCAAAATCTCCTTGATGCAGACAAAGATGAAGATCTTGGAAGAATGTATCAGTTAGTGGCACGGATCCCAGATGGTTTAGGAGAATTAAGAAATCTGTTAGAGAGCCATATTGCTGCGCAAGGTCTTCAGGCCATCGAAAAATGTGGTGAGAGTGCATTGAATGATCCGAAAGTTTATGTAAATGCTACTTTGGAAGTACATAAGAAATATAATGTACTCGTGTTAACTGCTTTCAACAATGATTCTGGTTTTGTTGCTGCGTTAGACAAGGCTTGTGGTCGCTTTATCAACAATAATGCAGTCACAAGAATAGCAAACGCGAGCTCAAAGTCACCAGAATTACTAGCCAAGTTTTGCGATATCCTGCTGAAAAAATCGAGCAAAAATCCAGAGGAGGCAGAGTTGGAGGATACCTTGAATCAAGTGATGGTTGTGTTCAAGTATATTGAGGATAAAGATGTTTTCCAAAAATTTTACAGCAAAATGCTGGCGAAGCGACTGGTCCAGCACATGTCTGCTAGTGATGATGCTGAAGCCTCTATGATTTCAAAATTGAAACAAGCTTGTGGATTTGAATACACCTCCAAACTTCAGCGCATGTTCCAGGATATAGGAGTTTCAAAAGACTTAAATGAACAGTTCAAAAATCATCTTATTAGTTCAAATGAGCCGCTAGATATCGATTTCAGTATCCAAGTTTTATCATCGGGATCATGGCCCTTCCAGCAATCGTTCCTTTTCTCACTGCCAGCTGAATTAGAAAAGAGTGTACACAGGTTTACTTCATTTTACAGTGGTCAACATTCTGGCCGGAAATTGAACTGGCTCTATAACATGTCCAAAGGTGAACTACACACAAATTGTTTCAAAAATCGTTACACTCTCCAAGCATCGACATTCCAAATGGCTGTCTTACTCGAGTTCAATGTGCATAAAAAACTGAGCGTCCTTCAGTTGAGCGAGCACACCGGAATAAAGTTTGACTTTCTAATTCAGGTTCTCCAGATTTTACTTAAGTCTAAATTGCTTATCTGTGATGATGATGAAGCAGATATCCACTCTCAATCACAGATATCTGTCTATTCAGGATACAAAAACAAAAAACTTCGTGTCAATATTAATATTCCAATGAAAACAGAAATGAAGATAGAACAGGAAACAACACATAAACATATTGAAGAGGATCGTAAATTATTAATCCAAGCTGCCATTGTTCGCATTATGAAAATGCGCAAAGTATTGAAGCATCAGCAATTAGTTGGTGAAGTATTGACGCAGCTGGCTCTCAAGTTCAAACCAAAAGTTCACATCATCAAGAAATGTATCGATATTCTAATTGAAAAAGAATACCTCGAGAGAACAGAGGGTCAAAAGGATACGTACAGTTATTTAGCTTGAATTTTTAATTGCTGCTTCTTTTTGTGGGCTTCTCAATTTGTTAAAGATGTCTCAGCTCTATTCTCACCCCTCCTTCTACTAAATATTTTATTTCTCTCCTTCTTATTGAGACATCAATGTTTGTCAAAAAGTGAAATGAAAATAGGTTTTTAAATGCATTATTTTAGACACTACTCTTTGGTGGTCAATTAATACCAGGTTGTGCTTATATTTTCCATTCTCACATGTGATTCTTGGCATCTAAACAAGAAAATTTCATTGTTACAAATTGACCTCGCGCAGAATGATGATTGATTTACATTAAAAGAATTTAAAAAAACCGAATTAATTTCGCATTAATTTTAGCAATCAGTTCTTTTATTTCTTACTCTTCATTTTTTATCACCTCGTGTTTGTGGCAAGAAGTATATCGATACATCAAAAATGGATCAACTGTGCAACATCATTCTTCAGTTTGTGCACTAAGAGCTTAGCAAGGAGAAGTCATTCTAACTGATCTTAAGACAAGCCAGACTAATAACTGAGCGGTTACAGTAACTCCTGCAAGAAGGTCATTGTTCTTCAACGCTTAAGTCTTCTTCATGTTTTTAGCATTCCCATTCCTCAATGAATGGAGCCAATCTTCAAAATTTTAGTTGCAAAATCACTGGATAACTGGACAGGAATAGAAATATGGCATCACAAGATATGTCCTTTCATCGAAATTTCACTGAAAATAAATTTTTTTGCCAAACTTGTTGAATTTTCCAAAATTACCCCATAAGTAACTAATAATCATTTACTACTTACCTATTAACTAGTTCACTCAACTGCCTGATTTTAAAAAAAACCAAATTTTCAAGTATGTCAGGTTTGCTATTGAATACAAACATTGACATTTGACAATCAATTGAAATTCAACGATTAATTTCTCCTCACCTGGTACAAGATACCTGCAAACCTTTTAAGATAAAATCAGCTCACCCCAAAAATAATATCATCATAAGGCACACTTAAATTTGTTCTGTCCTCATTCTGGTTCTCGGAAGGCTTTCTTTTTATAACTAGTAGAAAGCCTCAATTGATGAGCACTGTTATCTCCAAATTTTAGTCAGTGTGTCCAATTTTGAAACCCATCATATGTCTGCAGTGTTTTTCTTAAAATTTAATACAAATACATGTGTCGTGGAGCATGACCTAGAACCCTGTCTAGTGCTCCACTAGCCTGGATGCACGGATTGGTAAGAAGTTGACAACCCCCCCCCCCCTTCCCTGCGCACACTTTCTGACAGCACATAATAAAGGTTATTTTAGTGCTACACATTATTAAAATCCACAATAATGACTTGATGATAAAAAATTGTGTTTTCTGTTAACAACTTATCTTGCGTTAATCTACCTTTAGTAGCATCTATTTACGTTTTTTTGCAGTGGAAAGGATTTTCTCACACAAATGAAAGTTTAGCAGCAAGGAAGAATAATCAAGTCGATCAATCAATCTATTTTTTTTTTTCACCTTAAGTCCACGCCACATAAGTTTATACTTTTTTAGACTGTAGCAGAAGATTGCCTGGTGTCATTTTAGCATGGAAAATAGGTGCAACTGTCAAGATGGTGGGTTTTCTGTTGCAGTCTAAAAGTGTGTAAATTTATTTTCAATGGATTCTAGGATTGTTTTTTGTCAGAGGGCTGTAATCATCTCCAGCTCTTTTCTTTTTTAATTATCCTACTGTATTTAATCAACTATTCTGAGTATTGTTGAAGCGATTAATTTTGGCACAACCAGTTTGACTTGAAGTGGTTCAATATCAGTGGAAGTTGTGAGCAAGAAAATAAAAGAAGAGAAAGGAGAAATGAAGTCTTAAAAAATCAAGATCTAAATGTGGAAGGGTTATGACCATTTTTGTTAAGTTCTTAAAATACTTTGGTTGAGGCCATAATCTCGAATTGTACATCATGTCAAATCTTGTCCGACTTTAAAACTGTTGTCAACATTTATCGTTTGTATTTTTTGTCTCTCTAACAATATTCCTTTTTCTAGTGGGGCATTTCTTCGTCATTGTTACTAAAAAAAGAGAGGAAATCAGCAAATTAATTGTTATCAATTTTTAGTTGAATTTGATTCTCTTCAGTTAAAATTGAGTGCTTTGTAAATAATTGGTAGGCTAGTTCATTATTTTTTTCCTCCCTTTTTTTTTCTTTTTTTTTTTGTTTTCTAGTTTGTATCATTTCTCCCTCACTCCATCTGTATGAGCTGTGTAAGGCTCTTCACTTTGCTACGCAAGTCACTAGCCATAACTCCTTTCTCCCTTATTGTTCCCTTTTCTTTTTTGGTCAAAATACATGTGGGAACCATCATTTCAAACTTGATCAGAATGGTAGAAAGACGCAATTTTTGGAGAAGAGTTTGGTAGGCATGCAAAGCACTATCCGTTGTACAGTTTTATCAATCTTTGAGTCTTTGAATTGAAATGTTAATACCCTCAAATCTCAATAAATATATTTATATAATACTTATATTTGCATTTTTTGTTTGTGCAACAGCGCATCATTTCCTTTCTTCAATTGAAATCAGCATTAGTAAATTTACGTGGAGCGTCTTTAGAACTTCTAGAACCAATTTTCATCTGAGGACTAAAATTCTCACTATACGAACAGGTCACACTAGTTATTGATGTCAGACATACATCAAAGAAAGGGAGTGTGAATTTTTAGCTCAATAACTCCTCAAAAATTGGTGTGAAAATGAGAAGTTTTTTCTGACATCTTTAAGTGTGCAACCGACAGGTAGAAACTTTAAATTCTCATTTCCACAGTTTGCCTGCAGCTAAAGCTAGATGTCCAGAATTCCTAGAATGAAATTCCAAAGATAAAAAAGAAAAAGCTAATCCATCCGGTCACAAATTTAAAAGTTTCCTCCTCTGCATGGGGTGCATTTCGAGTGGGCTATGTTTTTTATGTTTCTAGCAGCAGAGAACTGATAACGTCTCAGTATACTTACCCAAAATTTTACAAAATTTGAATTTAGTGAACGTTACCACTCAAGTAGGACAGTGATTGAAGTATTGAAACTGAATTGCCATTTAATGCAATGAAATTCTTCTTCTTTTCTCTACTGTGTAACAGCAAAAAGTATTTTTACATCTTTTGGTTATTAAATGCCAATTTTAAGTGATCCATAGATGACAAGCTCGCCAATGTATCAGAATAATAGGCTATTTGCAACGCCAAGAAAAATTGCAACTTACTTATGTTTTATTGCACTAAACTGTGAATGGCGTCCCTTCAATTAGTAGATAGGGAACATACACAACAATCTTTTGCTGCAGCATTTAGTTTACGATGTAGGTAGGTATAATTTGAGGTTTATTGCAATCCATCCTTTTTAGGAGTTTCATAATAATCTAGGAAAATCTTTGATTTAGTATCATAAAAAGAAAAAAAATCTTAAGTTGCCAGGCTAATAGGTAATGGGAGGAGATTGATTCTGAAATGAGTCGTAATTTCATGAAACTTTCAGTTGTTTCATTAATTTTTTCAAATTTTTGTGAAAGACCAAATACTAGGTATACCATGAATCGACAGAAACCGTAAAATCTTAATTCTGTGAAGGAAATAAAACATGAATCGACTTTTGAAGTTTCTTATCGAATTCGAACATTCATCTGAAAAATCGATGAAATATGGAAAATGAAATTTTATTGCGTGTCACTGGGCGCATGGCCGTCTGAAATTTTTGAGGGGCCTTGGTACTTCAGTGCATATCTATTACAACGACCTTTCTTCTCATAAAATCTTGTGCTCCTACAAATAAAGCTTTATTTTTGGATGCCCTAAAAATCGTAGATGGTGCAAGTGTAAGTGTGGAGAATCTTCAGAAGTAATAGATCTATTTTAAGAACATATGATTAAATTTTAGAACGACAAGAAAGAATATCCCTTTTTTGTCTGCCTAGTATTAACAAAAATATTGCACAAGTAAAGAATTTTACTTTTTAAATTTGGCGCGACTCAGTTGTACCTCAAAGTAAGTTGGGTTGCAGCGTTCCGCGGATGTCATTTGTTACTTCTACCCCATTTCATAATTCCTTCTTCGACCGTCGACGATGGGATAGGAGGGGGTCGGAGGTGTCGTCTAGAAAATCTCCTGCCTTGGGCGTTGTGCACTCTGACCGTGTAATAATAATGGTGTTATATACAATACATACAATGATAATAATGTTTTTGGTGAAGTAAAAGTGTCTGTGTTTCTGTGATTGTGAATATGGCTGACGACTACTGGCAGTGGTCTGATGATGGTATAATTAACATAGACGAACCAGTGAAGAAAATCGTATACCATCCCACATTAAACGTGTTGTTGGCCTTATCCAGCTCACAAATATCAGTTGTTGATATCAATTCTGGATCTGTCCTGCAAAGAAACTCGCTATCAGGTTCGCTCACTGTTATACCTGTAATCTGTATCAATCACTCTTTGTTCTATATCATTTGAATATCTTCGCTCTACCCCTTGTTGCGGAATATTTCATGAAGTTGTTAGCTTCATTGGTATTGATGGCAGACGTAACGCAATTGCCAGTGTCTGAAGCGAGAAGGCCAGCTGCTAAACCTTCCGTTGTTATGTATTGTAATGTACCTCATTCTATCACCCAATATCAATAAGGTATTACCAAACTAAGTATAAACGTATGAATCAAATGAAGCTGACCACTTCACCTCAGTATTACTGCAATATAGGTTAGGTAAATATTTTTCCCTTATGAAGAACTCATCAGGGATGAGTTTTGAAGGACCCAGAATCCCCGTCAGAGCTATCGTACAAACCAGTGAATAGTTACTGGTGCTCCAACTTTCAGTAGGATCCTCGCAACTAACTGACATCCAACCTTAAAAATCCCTAATATTACGAATATCTACCCTGAGTTAGTCTTACACATTTTTTCCCAAGCCCTTGAGTTTATCTTGGGGTATCAAGGGTGGTTGAATGTCCAAAATATCCTTAATATTGAGTAATTCAGCTGTTTGGTCATATCAGTATTTGTATGATTTGCAAGACTCTCTTGTCGCATCCCAATGCATCGGTCTTATCACAATGGAGGGGCTTGGAGGACAAGGCGCATAAGTGCAGTTTTTGCTATTTCCAGAAATATGTGTTTGAAGTTTAGAAATCACATGGATCTTTATGGCAAAAAGAAAGTTCAAATGGACTTCTTGATGCTTTAAAAGTGGAATTTGGGAGCTAATTTTTCTCTGAATATGCATTAATACCAGTTACACTTGTAATCATTAATACCTCAATTTTTTTCAAAAACTGCACTTATGTGCCCTGTTCTCCAAGCCCCTCACTTTATTCCCATTTATTCCTGTTTGTTAGTTTATCCCTGTTCATCTCTATTTATCCTAAGTTATTCCTATGTATCCTTATTTTTCTTCTATACCTATCCCAGATTTAACCCTCTATCAGATTTGATTGTTCTATCCAAGATTAATTTTTGGCTTTGTTTTTCAGCTGATGAAGATGGCGTTTTACAGTGCGAATATTTAGGGAGCCATGATAAGCTACTCATCACAGATAATTATAGCGTTGGTGTAAGAGGAAGTTACAATGGAATCTTATTTTTAAACAACTTCCTGCAAAGACCTGTCAGTGATGTACACCGAATTATCAAAATCGAGTTGCTTGTTTCAGAGGTAAGTCTGAAAGTCCAACTGTGCCTAAGATAGGTTTTTCTCATATCAAGGTTGATTGATGCAGTATTTATGTAGCAACAGGACCTTCTAGAAGCATAGTTTCACGTTATAAGTACAGGATTTCATCTTCACCCTCTTTCTGGAAAATTTCCTCACTTTCCCCAATTTTTCAAACTGATGGTTTTTTTTTTCTCTTTTATTTTCCAGAATTTTCTCTTTGAACATAATTTCCTCACATATAGTGAGGTCTAAATGGACTGCGTTAAGCAGAAAGGAACCAAGCCCCATCAGCTATTGCCCAATTTAATTTTTACATGAAAACGGTTGTGCAGATTTTCGTGCCAATTTCAGTGAGAATTCTCCATGGTACGAAGCAAATTCCTCAAAATTTTCAAAGAAATCCGAACAAACATTCTCTCGTTAAAAATTTAATTGCCCAGTTGCACTTGGCAATAGCTGATGTGGCTTGGTTCCTTTCTGTTAAACTCGGTCCAAATGAGTTTTTCCTCATATTTCATGCAGCCCAGAATACCTATGTTTCAGGTTCCTTCTCAGCTTTCTCTTTGTTTTTCCCTCATTATAACTTGCAACAAAAATTTCCTCATTTTCGTTACAAGTCTCAACATCTAAAAAGTTGACAAATTGATAAATCTTCGGAATCTTTCTGAAGATTATTTTAATATTTGTTATTATATTATTATTTACTCATTTTATTTTTTTGCCACCCTTGCTTGTTTTTCTGTCAAAAATTTCCTCTCTTTCCCCGGAGTAAGACATTTTCTGCTCTTAAGATTCAACTTGGGCTTGACAATTTTTTTTTTTGTCTCATCATCAGAAAAAGATCATGTGTTACAGTTGTCAAGGATTCCAAAACGTCTCCTTTGAAGATTAAAAGATAATTCAATCACACAAATTTTTTCTGTAACATTTTGGTCAACAATTTCCTCTCCAATCATGCCTACTGAGGACCACAGGATCAGGCAGATTTTGTGTCTATAATCGTTTTGCCGTAATTTTGTTCTCATTCATGTAAGCAGGGGTGCAGAAAATTCTCTGCCTTCACATTTTTGAAGCAGCTTTCAAGATGTTTGAGGCCACCTTCACATAGTTGTCCATATGAGTCTACTTCTTTTTCAAATTTTTTAAGGCAGCCCTCTCATCACTGTCGATCTAAGACTGCACGCTTCATTATTTTTTTCGCACAAACGAGCGTGCCTCATTTTTTCTTTGCATTAAAGAGTGCAGTACAGTTTCCCTCAGAAAAATAATGTATTCAAACAAGTTACAAAGAAATAGTAATGAAATTCAAGAAAGAAAAATCTCGAATGCCTTCTGCCCTCTCATTTTTTCCTCCTCTTTGGGTGCCTTCACATTTCTCCTGCGATCACCTTGAGATCGGCCAATTGAGCACTTTCTGTAACATTGGTAGGAATGCTGTGTTTATCTCGTTGTCAAATAAGTTCAACTATTCAAGAGTATTCATTTATTTTTCTTTTCTAGGCAATATTACTGCAACAAGCAATCAAGTCTATGGAAATTGTTAGTGATCCAGATCACATCAATGAACTTCTTAATGCTCTTACGGTCAAACTTGAAGAAAACCACAGTGATCAGCAGTCAGGCGTTAAGGCCCAAAAAGTACTGTCTATTTTACATAATTTTTTCTTTTGCTTTTATCTGAATTTCTAGGACATGATAGAAGAACCCCTCTACATTTCCTACACAAACTTTTATGAAAGCAATAATTAGTGAAGAGGATTATGTTGATACTCTGATTTTTGTCTGCAAATGCTCCCTGTTAGGATATAACTGCAATTATAAAATTTATCACGACCCAAGTAAAGTATTTTCAATGTGGTCATAACTATGTTTATAAAATTTAACAAGACGCAGTTAAAGTATTTTCAGGGCATCTGCACGGACTGAATGCTCTCCCTCTCAACTCTCTGGCCCTCCCCTGGCTCCCTCTGGCTGTCTGCCACTCAAACAAATCAGAGTCCTTTGATTTTGCATCCATAATTCTAATTTCTAGTTTTTCTTGGCTGTGCAAGACCAATCCACACAGCTCAGTCATTGCGCATCTTTTTGAGATCTACTCCCCCGCCTGGCCCTAACTCGGCGGCACTCAATGCTACATCACAATGGGTGCTCTCATAAGAAATACATTGCAGGCACTCAATACTACATTACTGCGCAGTAGAGTTCCAAAACTTGTCCTCAGGAATGACTGATTTGTGTAGATTGGTCTTGTGGCTGTGTTTTTTCCATTTTGAATAGTGTAGACCCACTACTGTTCTACCGTTCTACTGTTCTGTTACTCACAGTAAATGACTTTAATTTATTGCAGCAAAAAAATATCAGTATTTTTTTGGTGCAATTGTAAATTATTATTATTGCTGAAGAGTTAAAATTTAATCACATTCCTATGCAATGGTCTTCATAGATGCTTCAATCTTGCATTTTTTTTTTTTTTTTTTTTTTTTTTTTTTTTTTTTTTTTTTTTTTTTTTTTTTTTTTGAAAATCGATGTTCTCTACTCTTAACATATGAGTTGATTCTTTGTTGTTAGATTTTTAAAGGGATGAATTCTCTGAAAATATTAAGGCTGAAAGCAAATTTTTTCCTTACTGTAGCATTATCGAATTTAGATTTTCACATGTATTAAGTGAAAAACAACATGAGTTGCAAATAATGGTAATCTTTTTAAAAGTGGTATGTGCTTCAAAAGAACATGAAAAATTTGACTTTTTGAGTCAATTCAATTTTACAATAATGCCGTTTTTCTTAGTAGGCACTTTTTTCCCCCTTCTTTTTTTCTTTTTTTTAAAATTATTTTAAATGTGTCATCTTGAAAAATGCCAAATTTCATTTATTACGACTAAACCAGTGCATTTTTGTCTCCTTATTTTTTCATATCTGTTGACGCACTTGTCATCGTGTAGAAACAATTGGTCTACTGACTAGTAGTGAGCCTTTTACTTAGTGTCTCTGCACCGTAAGACATTTGAATCATCTTCTAAAACATACTAGGTTGCATCTGTCTAATGAATGTTTCTGTTCATTTCCAGTGGAACACTGTCACCATCGCCATGCCCCTCTATGCATTCAAAGTTGTTTGTGTTGGAATAATCAATGAGCTGAAAAGATTGAACAAAAGTGTTCCAGTGTTAACGATTGCTAGCATTATTCAGGATCAAATCAACAACTACCTTCCTTCAGACGACAATGTTATTGACAGAGGAGAAATGTTCAGTGAAGCTGCTCGACGCAAAACTTTCGAAAAATGGCCTCATATGAATTATAAGTGAGTTATATCTGTAACAAAAAAACCCCAAATGTCGAACTGCATAAAAACTGTCAAACCTGTACTTTTCTCTCTCCAAAGATTTCAATGATTTCAGTTTAAACAATCCAATGTTGAAAGTAAGAAATTGAGGGTTAGTTGCGTTTAACCATGCAATGTAAGCAGATACCTTTAAAGAATACATTTCAAGAGCGAATATTCCTCTATCAGATAGATTAATGATTTATTTTGCTCTTGCTTATCTGGCACTATATGTACTCCTTGTGAAGTAGCAGTCTTAGACATCTCGATCAGATTAAAATTGAGTGTACTAAGTTTTCAAATGCAATTTATGGATGGTCTCAGGGCATCGGCAAGAATGCAAAGATACAGGTTTCATGTAACCATCCTTAGGGACAGAAATTTCTTGACCATGTGTTTGTGGTTGCGTGAAGGACTAGGACTTTGAATACTCAATTTAAGCCTTAAAAATTCCATTTTCGCTTGCTGCTTTACTACACGCTGCATCTAAGCCTATGCAATACCAAACTGGCACTAGCTTAACTTTCGATTTTTTGACGCCTCTGTATTTTTGTGAATTACCAATTCAATTCTGCCACTGGAGCAAATAACCCAAGTTGTCATTTTTTGAGAATATTTCCTGGAATTTCCAGGGCTTAGTCGTGAAAGTGGCAAAGTACCTCACCAATATTTTACTTTTTAATCGAGAAGCTTTTGGCCTTATTCATATTAAAATCAAGGTAAAACTCTGATTGACATCCTCTCGTAAATTATCAAATTATTCCATTTGATGAAAGATTATAAACTTAGTGCAATTCTACTTTTATTTTGTCTCATTTTTTTTTCTTTTTTAAAACCCATAGGTGGGCACTACCAGACCAAATGGCTCAAGCAGGTTTTTATCATCAACAAAACAATAAAGGAGATGACTGTGCTATGTGTTTTACCTGTGTTGTCTGTCTAATCTATTGGGAACCAGCCGATGAACCATGGTTAGTCCAACTGTGAAGTGTCTTTATTCTTTTTCTGGTGAAGCAAGCTTATCATTGATCATCAAGGGTCCAAAGGAGGACCAGCTTTGTCGTCAGATTTCACCCTGACAATGGGCCTGTTGCAAACTTTTGCTAGAGCTAAAATAAGAGTTGTTACTCATAGAAAGTGTCTCAAAAATCACAATGAGCGCATCGGCAAAGTCTGAAATGCTCTCCTTACTTCACAATTTACGTAAGAAATTTGCGTTTTTTCGAGCTTCCCTCTTCAAAAGCGATATCATGGTACAGGTGAACATTTCGTTAGAGGAGTTGTTTCATCCAACCCCTGCTCACAAGGATACTACACAATATTCAACATAGCCGACGCCAATCCGCCGAAACACATGTGATGGGAGGATGACTCTCACCACCTGATAACAATCGCCGTGTTTATATTCACATTTTTTTCGGGTTGATAGATATCGGCCTTGATTGACCTCGTGCTATTCTCAACTTGCACGCGGAAGCGTCGGCCATGTTGAGCAGGGATTGAATGGAACGACTCCTCTAATGAAATGTTCACCTGTGCTGTGGTATCATTTTTGAAGCGGGAAGCTTAAAAAATCGCAAATTTCTTATGCAGATTGTGAAGTTAGGAGTGCATTTCAGAGTCTGCCAATGCGCTCATTGTGATTTTTGAGACATTTTCTATATGGAACCACTCTTTTTTTTTGCTCTCGCAAAAGTTTGCAACAGGCCCATCGGGGGAACTTAGGCAGGACGAGACAACCCCTTTTACCTTGCCTAGTTTGGAAGTTAGAGCGTTTGTCACCCTACTCTTTGAACAGTCTTTTATGCCAAATTATAACGTAAGATGGAAAAATCACCATCTCTCTGTCTAAATGACTGCTGCGTTGAATCAGAATCTGTTGGTAGAAGTTTTTCTCATGATGTTACATTACAATTACGTATTTTAATTCTTGCCCGACAAGTCCTAAATGTCAATTGTTACTGGAGACACCTGACACTATAAGTGGTTGTATCAAACTTTCAGTGAGCACCAGCAAAATGATTCTGATGTTTCAAGGAATTGGCGATCTTCATAGGAAATGCTAGTCTACCAGAAATTGTTTGATCATTAAAACCTGATTTTTCCTCTTTTAACTTCATTCCAAATTTGCATTGAGTTCAGTCGATTTCCACCTGATTCATGCTGCAGCGTCCCATCCCCCCGAAAAACACTTTACGTGTTTTTGTGTAACCGTGTAAGAATATCAGGAATTTTAAAAAAAAGACTGGGTCATTTGAATCAGTGAGAACGAAAACACACCAACTCGGAAAAATGAAAAGAATCGAGACACACACGAAACCGAACAGTAAATGAAGAAATTAGTCTAAGAAAGAGATTTTTGGTGCTAAAATACAAGCACTAAAGGGCATTTCAAAGGTTCAAGTTGGAACAGATGCGCTAACTTCAATGACTTTTATAAAAATGAGCAATTTCGAGTTACCGAGTTGGCATGTTTTCGAACTCACTGACTCATTTGTGGTCAGTTTATTGTCTTTGCTTTTTGGGTTTTTGTGGTGCTTTCAAAGCACTCTTATTGACAAAAAGGAATTTTAATTTCTAGGTCAGAACATGAAAGGCATGCTCCAACTTGTCCTTTTATCAAGGGGGAGTACACGCAAAATGTTCCGCTGTCTGTGAGTCTAGCAACAGCTCCTGCTTTACCACTTCCGCTGAATGGAGTTCCCATTGAAGTTGGGACAACTTCTGCCCCAGGTCTCATTTCTACTGTTAGTGACGTTACAGGCATTGTTTTTGTCTGGAATTACATGCGAATGTTTAAAGTAAGTATGCACATTCTTTTTCTCACCTAATCCTAACCTTTCACTTAAACCACCATTTCACGCAGCCCTTTTTCATGGCCAATTGGCCTGGTTTTTTTTACTTTCTCACTCAGCTTGTTTATGATTTTATTTATTTTATTATAATCAGTGCTGAGAGGTGTATTCAGCCTACCAGTGCATTTTATGACAGGATAATTTAATTTCCTTAACATAGTATCATTTGTGATATTGACCCTTGACCTTTCTTGAACTTACAATTACATGAATCTATCTTAGTTATGGGAGAAATGTAGCTCAAAATAGGCCAAAATTCAGAAAAGCCATTCTCACTTAAGCCTACGTGTGAGGAGTGTATGTTGCTTATGCATCGAGCATGAATATCTTTAATTGTATAGAAATAGAAGTTAAATAGAAGAGAAAAAGTCCTGCGACCAGCTTTGAAAAATCCTTTAATGACAAGCAATGTTAACTCATCTCTCGAATCATTCTTTTTTTTGCAGATGGAAGTTCGTGTAGAAACTGAAGCCTTAAGAGATGCCGCATTTTTAGAGATCGTTGGAAGCTTAAATTCTGATAGGCCTGTTTTATCTCTTGTCGATGTACCTCAAGAACAGCTTGTTGATCTGAGTATGTGTCTGCTTTTCTTACATTTTATGTGTACTGTCATCGTATGTAATGGTGAATTTACTAAGGGATGTTTGAAAAAACGGCCACAAATGCCTCTAGGCCTTTGAAAACCTTAAACTTTTGGCACGATACAGTCTCAGGACGCCTGTATCTGGTCGTGGTTTTGCTTTGAGGGTTGTAACTTGGTTGTAACTGAAGTTTAGGAACTTGTATAATGTGAGCTATTCCCAAATCTCAAAACTATACTTAGTCTAGCAGTATCAAACTAATCTAATTTCTTTTGAGTTATAAATTTTTTCCTTAAATCAAAAGTTAAAGGATTCATGTAGTCATCCCCTTTTCCAGAAATATTTTTACTCATTTTCTTTCACAACTTAAACCAAATTATCACCTTAAACTTAAAATGATTTAAACTATGTGGAATGCAATATTGCTGATTTTTGTCTTCATTTGCTTCATTGCAGTGATGTACATGAATCCAACAACCAAAGTGAACATAGGAGCATCATGTGTGTTAGGGAAACTGCAGTCCTCTTGTGAATTAAGTCAAAATAGTGACAACTGTGATAATTCGGCTGCTGAAGTAATCCGACCCAGCCTTTTGACTGGGGTCAAAGCGTTTCCACAAAGTATGCCAATCATGAACTGCTCAGAAATGTCAAGCAACAGAAGCAGTTTAACAACAGAAGCCCTGATCAAGGCTGTAGAAACTTTAAGTAGACCTGGTCGCGAATTGGATTTGCTGTTAATGTTCAAAGAAGAAAAAACAAAACATCAACGGACTCAGCTGTACATGGTTATTTATGATTTTCATTATCATGACCCGGAACTAGCTCATAGAAATAGCGCACAAAAAGGTGCTTCAAAGAAAAATGTCTCTGGGACTGGCACAAGTGCCTCTCGATTAAATTCATCGACGTTCCAAGAAATTTTCCTGCCAAAGAATCTTGGTCAAAAATTTTATGAAATTGTGGGCAACCAGGCGGATATCTCCTGCCCTGATTCTCTAATTGACTCACTTGATCCTCAAGTTGTTGCTGCTCACACTTTTGGCAGTGGTAAGCCTTCTTGAATTTTTATTCTTTTATTTCTTTTGCACCGATTTTCATGAGAGAGGGTGGTTTTTAAAAGAAGCACCGTTTTCACTCTTCTATTTAACTCCTTTTCTTTAATTTTTCTAAATCATCTTGATCATTTTGTGGAAAAACACTTAGGGACTGTTTTCCCCCTTTTGTTTCCTGTATTAATATTCTCCTTTTTCTCTCTTTTTTCTCGTTTTCCCCTCGCTATTCTCCAGTTCGACCCAGGTCAGCATGTCAAATATGTATCATCTTATTTTATTTAATTATTTGGTACAAAGTAGTCAGTTAATTAGCTAAGATAATTGTCGAGTTTTACATTCGTAATAAAATTAAAAATATGCAGAAAACTCAATTTTTGTTGTTACAATATTCTGTTTTTCCCCCTCTCAAGAGACTCACGATGACAATACTTATGAAACCTCTCATAAAAGTTATCCAAATGGACAGAGGTCACACAATAGTCTAAGAACTCATAGATACTCTAAATGCTGCCTCTTCTGAAAGATGCTCAGGATCAAGAGAAAATTATGCCAAATCTGCGTTTTTGAATTATTAGTATATTTAATTTAATTCAAATAATCAAATTGAAATAATTTTTTTTCTTTGTGTGTGTTTATTGTAGGTCTGTTACCGTTAGGAATTTTGCCCACCGCGGGAGGGGGCACTCTCTCAATGTCCGGTGGTGGTCTCTCGTTTCCGTCAACATCCAACAGCAGTGCGAGTTATTCCCTCAAAGCGTTGAGAGATCCTAAAATGGATGGTGACTGCTCTAGCAAAAATTCAGAAAATAAGAACAGCAGCAGGCATCACAAAATGACATTCATCCAGTGTTTCCCTATTTTGTGTGACCAGGACACCGATAATTTACTCATCAAAAAATTTATTCCTTCTTTAGACGGTAGTCATGTATTAGTAATTATTGCTCCTAAAAGCTTTATCCTTGACCGACCTGATGTTACGAGTTCGAATCAGGGTGGTTATTTATTACTATTCAAGGTAGTATTCAATGGTGCTGTAGTGAAATTGAAGGAGCAGCCAGTGGCTGTTCGATCTTTCAATTTGCCCTCGTCAAGTCCGAGTGATGTTATCCTACTGCCCTTCTCTGATAAAGAAGAGGCAGCTCGGCGATTTAGTTCCCGACCCCTCGGAGTCGGAGTCATTCTAACTTTTGATGGAAATTTGGAACTCTTTGATGTTGCAACATTGAATTCTATCAGTAAAATGACTCCCAAGGATGGTGCCCGCTTCATCTCAGTCACGTATTGCAGTAGTGAGTATTTGTTACACCTTATAACATTTTTAATGAATCACAGACAGACTAAGGCTACCAGATATAGGAAGTGAGTCACATTTGACAAAATACAGCTCTCCGTAAAGAACAGAGAAACCAATCATGTTAAATCAGCAGATCAGTAGGAACACCCATAGGCATCTCTTAGCGTTTTGTTATTCAGATCTATCTTCTCAAAAAAACTGATTGTCTCGGCAGCCAAGTTCAATTAACATGTCTGCAGAGCATGATGCTGTTCATAATTACACCAGACAGATCAATCAAAATACAGGCACTGTATTCTTCTTTTCGAAGTCTTTTTAATTTTCTTGGTAGTACATATTTTAGCTCACATTATTCATACAATAAATATGTTGGAATTTTTCCTGGTTTTTTTTTTTTTTTTTTTTTTAATTGTTATTTGGTAGAAAGAATTTTTAGGGACCTAATCAATTATCTGTCTTTATTTTTGGCAGCCCTAATCCCTGCTACAATAACATCAGTACTTTTAAAGGACTATGTTAACTATTTTTGAATTTTTTATTCCATGCTGAAAGGAATATCGACGGTGTAAGTCAGCAGTCACATAACTCGGTTTGCAACATCGCAGACTTCCTGTCATATTTTATTTTTTAAATGGAAAAACTACTCTACACCAATTCTATAAAACTGCCATGATTTTTCTTCTCTGTGCGAAGAAAATTCTCAAAAACTTCAAGGAATGATGTCAATTTGTTCTCCTTTGAAAAAATAACACAGAGGCAGAGATTTTCAGACACCGCAAACGAGATATGTGATTGCCGACTTACACTGTCGATATGCCCTCAAAGGCTTTAACCTCTCAGTTTGCAGTATTTATATTTTTTCTCCAAGCCAGGAAAAATGGTAATGCTTTCACTTCTCATGCAGATCTCACTTTTTTTATTTTACCAGTGGTATTAGTATAAATGTGTGAAGTATTAAGAAAAACCCTTGATTTTATCTTTGGTATTAATTTAATTTACTGACTTTTTCACATTTCACAGGTAAAGAACAGCTCTGTGCTACAACAGGGGATGGAGTGCTACATTTCTTCTCACTCAACCGCCGGGAATCATTCGATGATCCAGCCGATCAGTTTTATCCCAGTCTTCCACAAACTAGTTCAAATTCATCTCAGCCCCAGTAAGTAATACGAAGATCAGGTCATGAAAGATACAAATTGTTTGCTTTTCTCAAGTAACTTACTTCAGCATTTGAAGCATAGTTGCTACCATTTGATATGCTTATTATCTTCCCAAAAAATATAAAAAAAAAAGAAATTAGTGCACATGTACTTAAATAAGATAACAGGAATATACAACTTATAGTACTGACTTAGCTGCCCGAGTATTAGATATAGGAAGAAGACTCTAGATTGTAGAGTCCACTGGCTACAGAGCATGAGACTCTTAAAGATGGTTAGTAATTACTGGCTATGCCACCAAGCTAAGGAAAAACGCCGTATGAACCTTCAGGCGTTGCCAAATTTTCTTTGATAAAACACTAATTTTCAGGTAATTTTTGGACATTTTTCTGCCAATGGGTCACTAAACCTTGTTTATTTTATTGAATATTCTGAAAGTACAATGTGAGTAGATAACGTGGTGATTTTTCCGCATTTTTATGGAGCCGAAATCGCGGAAAAACCCGCTTTTGAAAAATCTAAAAACTGCAAGACATTTCAAACGCACCGGAATGGTGGGAAACTGACGGTGTTGACGCACTGCGGTAGTCATATCGCAATCTTCTCTCATTTTCCTATGATGTTTGTTAAAATAAAACGTGTTTCAATGCGGAATTGTTGCTCGTTTATGACAGCGAACATATGAATGATATTCAAGTCTTGAATTCAAAAGATATAATTTCGACTTTAGTATTCTTTTCATGTATGAAGAGTAGATAGACATTTGACGGAAGTCGTGGAAACCCGTGCCCGCTTCTGATTGGTGCCGGATGACATCATTCGGTGCGGCGCAAAACCGGGGCGTTTTAAATTTGCGTATAAGTTGAGCGATTTGAACTGCGCATTTCTCGGTTATTGAGTTACTTGTTCGCGTTTTTAATGTGCGCATTGTGTTCTACGCGTCATTTTCCTTCAGAAAACTATATTCGCCAGTCAAAATTCGTTCATGGTTTAGTGACCCATTTCTCTGATAAATTTGTTTGTAATTTGATCTGAAGTGTCTTAAAATTGCGAGGAAAAATATTCATAATTTTTCTCCAAAATAAACATTTTATCGAAGGAAATTTGGCAACTCTCGAATGTTCATACAGCGTTCTTCCTTAGCACGGCAGTATGAGAAATGCTATCTCTGTCTACAGACTCCTTCAAAAACCAGCAATCTTGACCGGACAAAAAATGCTTTTGTGTGTTGCGAGTCGCAAATTTTGTCAATTTTCAAGCTGTAACTTTTGATTCAAAGTGTTTTCATATTGGGATTTTGCTCTTAGGTAGACAACAATCTAACAAAACCTATATAATTTGTACATAATTTGAAACATCGTGTTTAGAGTCATTTAAAATTTGAAATTGAAAGTTTTTTAGTAGTTTTATCTATAAAGACCAAAGGAGACTCCACTAGCCTCTTGGTAATAGGTAGAAACTTTTACTTTCGGGGACTCGACACTTCCTTTTGGACGATTACAAGGGAGTAACAGTCATCACCCTTTTTTCAGCTGTTGATCTGCTGACTAGATGGATGATGAGCTTTGGGTGACATAATGAGTCAAACTTTAGTATGTTTGCGAAATTGAATATCCAACATGTTATTCAACATCCACTTTGTAAGTAAGTCCAGAGTTAAATGTTTGAATCCCGAAAGTAAAAGTTTCTACCATTGCCAAGATAGCAATGGAGGGTCTCTCTTTGTCTCTGCGTATTCTTTTTTTCATAGTTTATGTCACATCAAGTCATTAGCTTTCAAAAAGTGTGCTAAACATTACCTTAGGATGAATAGTTCCAAGACGTGGTCATCTTACATCTTACGTAATACTTGTCATCTAATTTTATCTTTTCTCTTGCAGTTTTAAATTCCTAGCTGATCTACCTGAAATCAGTTCAATGTCTCAATTGAAATCCTTGTACGAGCTAACACGTTTTGAAATTTTAACACCATGTTTCTCTGCGATCGTCCCGCCATGTTGGACAGAGCTGATGCATGCTGTCAAGCAGCGGCGTCTCCCTCAACTCCTGCGTAATTCTGACATCAACCAATATTCTCGAGGGTGGAAGTTGCAAACTGATTTGTAAGTATATCTCTATTTTTTCTCTTATTCTATTACTTTGGTATTTTTGGAAGAGTCTAAGCTGGTCGAATTCCATACCTAGTGGAAGAAGGAATGCCCATTCATTCCACACCTGACTGCCCATAAGTTGAATGATTATTCAAAAGCTGTTAAGGGGGAGATTCGGGCTCATGTAGTTCCATTCAAAATTAGAACCACTGGTATGACACGGAAGTCCTTCAGTGAGTAGGTATCTTTAGCAGCTTAATTTGTCCTTGAGTCATCACACTATTATTCATAAGGTCATTATCCTACAGATCTGTATTACTAAAAGGGTTGAGTGGCTTCAACAAGCCAGAGTCCTTTGAATGTGCCAATATACCTGCAAAAATATCAACAAAATAAACCATGAAAGCAAACTAGAAAAATGTCTGATGTACATAGGCTAATTGTAAATAAATCGGTCCGACTAGCCAGTTAATTAAAACCTTTAACTGATCAAAATCTCAATAAATCTAAGTGAAACCTTTTTTTTTACTTGGCAAGAATACCTTTATTTAGCTTTTTTTGCTCAATGCTTTAACCAATACGTACAAATTCATTTTTACAGTTTCTATATCTGTCACATTATATTGTAGATTTCTGTCCCTTTTTTTCTTTTTTCAAGCTTGCCAGTAGGGCTCGCTTTTTGAAATCACTCGGATGTACCATAGTACAGCAAACCGATCAACCAATGCTATTCAACAGGCCGTCCAAATATTTTTTTCCTCAGACCTGTTTTTTTTTTGTCTTTGAACTGTTATACTGTCAAGCTCTGATGGTCTCTTACCTAAAAACCGAATGAACTGCTAATTGGAAACCCTTGAGAACATTTTCCTGTCAAAATCGTACCTATCATTTCATTTGACAGAAACCTCATATAAGCTTTTCCGTGATGAGCCTCGTGACTTACTATACCATGTACTAACCATGGCCTCTGCAGTTATCTCCCGATATTGCTTTGGGTGTCCGGTTTTAAGTAAGGCAATAAAAGACAGCCAGGCAAAGGACCGCTGTCAAACCTTATCTTTCACGCCCAATTAACCATTCACCGTGACGCCAGGATCTACTAAATTTTCACAAAAATTGTTCTCTGTCTATTTAGCAAGTTTTTACTTACTCTCCGTTAAAATACAAATATAAAGAGACCTCATTGTGAAAATCGGCCAAATAGGAGAGAAGTTACAGTTCGAAAATCAAAAGGATTAATTTAATGCGATTTCGATGCATGGCAGTTCGCTCAAATCGCGGTCGTGCGTAAATGCCGCATATCAGCTTAAAATCAAGATAATGGGACGGAATCTTCAAAATAAATTTACATTTAACGTTCATGAATCAATATTTTTTCCCAAATTTAGTAAAAAGTACCAATTGATACAAATAGCAAAGACGTGAAAATAGTAGGTATGTGTCCAATATTTCAGTTATTCGGCAAACTTTCCCAACATATTCATGTTGGATTTTTCTTCTTGTTTTTTTTTTGAGATCGTTACTGCCAATGTTAATCAATATATATTATGTCTTTATTTTGTTTTGTTTCAGAAAAACAAGTTGGAATGATCATATTTTTGAAATAACACTTTCAAGGAATGCAAGTATTGGATATATTGATGTCAAATTTTCTCTTCATTATCCATGTGTCCGTTTACCAAGAATTCAATTTACTTTATTGAAGCAACATTCATCTAATTTTCCTAAGTGTCAAGGCGCCTCTGTTGATAGTTTTATTAATTTTAATATTGCAAGCTCAGCTCACAAACCGAAGTGGAAGCAGCACACTGACTCAGGTGGAATGTTTGTTTAACTTATGTTTATTTATTAGGAAATATTAATTTCAACTAATCCGGCAAGTTGCAACTTGCAGCCTGCTGAGAATGATAGACAGCAGCCTGTTAAAATCTATGTCCATTTAACAGTAAGGTAAATGAAATTTGAAGTTTTTCAAAAATCACGTTACTTTACACGCAATCATAACGATTCTCCTTGTTTATAAAATAGTACTCTTCAAAATTAAAAGTAATAAGCCCAAACAGAGGAGGATTAAGTATTTCAGTTAAATTACTCCTAGGAGTCAACAATTAAAGTATGTTCGGAAGTGCTACAAATAAGCTTGCCTATCAACTTGTACAAGAAGGAAGTAGGTATGTCGGAAAGTTCAATCTCTTAAATGAGGTTATTTATCAAGCAGCATTGCCTAACCATTCTTGAATGATGATCCATTTCCAGTGCTTGGCTTCAGAGGGACCTAAAAACTCAATTCAAATTCTTTCATGAGCCAACCAGATACATTCATGCTTTTTGAGCTCATTCTATCATCTAAGCTAACTGTCTCACATTGTATACATTTTCTCTTTCTATAATTTTTAAGGTTATTCAACCCTCGTTTTTCTTATTTATCTTCAGGACCTCCAGAGAACCCTGTCATTTCAGAAGAATTTTTGACGTTGCACAATGCTGAAATTCTTTGTGGCCCTGTTGACATAGCAGATTGCTTAAATCTCTCTGAACAAGGAGGCTGTGTGAGATTCTTGTCACCTGAATTGTTGAACTTGAATGGGCGGACTCTTCTAATTCACATTAAAGCTCTTCCAGATAATGAATCAACTGCCACAAGTGTAAGAGATTTCAATATTTTAAAAAAAATAACAGCTCTTATGAGGTAGCACAAGTCACTCATTTATCCATCCCCTTTGTAGGTCTAACACGGAGAGGGTGATAAATGTTCATTGCATTTTACGGTATATGCCCGTATTTAACCAATACCCCAGATTTTGAAAGGGCCAAAAAAGATAAAGAAAAATTTGTGCACTTAACCCACAATTTTTGGAAAGGAAATTAAGGTTAGGTTTTGCGTTGGCCCCTTAAAAGCTTGAAAATTTTATTCTCGGGAAAGAAAAAAAATTCAATTGAAGCCTCGTAACAGTGAGTGAAAAGGTGTCGGCAAACCATATTTGCTGAATGGAGTATTAAAACAGCTTTTTTGTAATTTTTCAACATTAGAGTTGGAAATCTAATTCAAAATATTTCAGAAATGTTTGAGTGCTAGAACCATTGTGTATTCAATGGATACAGCAAAATAAAACCCTGATGAATTGTATAATTTGTGTAATAATCTGCTCGTTCCGCTGTAGTGGTATTTGTGGGATAAAAGAGACTCGAGCAGTATCCATCACTAAGCTAATCATCTGCTCTCTTACATATGACTATTCTGAATGCCTTTAATATGCTTTATCTTTTCTGGTTGATTTTCATGCCATTTAATTGCAATTTGCGAACACTTGTTTATCTTAACTCATTCTTTCCTATTGTCATCTAGCATACACCAAAAAAAAAGGATGTAAATAGGCCCGTGAAGAAGAAGAGCTGCAGCAAACTGGACTTTTGCTGGAAAGGCAAAGAGATAGGCAGGATGGGTATTAAACCAGGACAAACAGTTGAACGTGTTGCAAGCAGTAAGGTGGTTGAAAATTTTGTTGGCGCCGATTGGCTCCACGAAGTTTGTGTCACAATTTCTAAAACTAAACCAACTAGTATTCAAAATGAGAAGTAAGTAACGATTTCTTGTCTTTCTTTTTCAGGTTAAGACAAAAACCTTTTTGGAATTTGAGGATATTTTTTTCCACGTCCAATTCTTTGTTTTAACTGTGAGAGATCTCAAATTATTTTTTTAGCAATGGGTCAGTTACGCTGGTCACAGAATCGTGTTTTGGTGCTTGATTCTCATAAACTAGTTAAGAATAATGAGATCTGTCCAAACGGCAACTTTCTGCGTTTAATATTAACCGAGATATCGTGCTTTGAAAAATTTGGTTTGACATCCTCCACTGCGCACTGCCTTAGTGAAACCCTTGGTTTCTTCCACTTTGCTTTCATCAATCGGTGAAACGCACATTTGCACTGGTCACTCAACGTGGAACTCGGATGAAACTGAGGTGGAAGAAACCAAGGGTGTCACTACCGCGGTGGTGCGGTGGATGACGTCATAAACCGAATTTTCCAAAGCGCGATATCTTGGTTAATATTGAATTTAGAAAGTTGCTGTTCAGACAGATCTCATCAATTTTAGCTAATTGACAAGATTCGAGCATCGCAACACGATTCTGTGACCAGCGCAACTGACCCATTGAGTTAAAAGACCCAATCCTCACTGACACTGCACCAACAATCTGTCAATAAATTTCTTGCAAAGTGCTGTGAACTCTTGTTTCTAGAGTTGATTGAGTACTGCCACCAGTATTACTGAGCTGATTTTAATTACTAGTATTACTCTGTTGATTTCCATGATTCTTGCTCCTCATCAAAGTTTCAATGTCCAAAGTATAATGTAATTGCAGGCGTTTAATTTAAACTTTTTCTCTCGTTTTAGGTTGCAGAGGATTGCCATGATTAAATCAAGCAATGTAGTTCAAAGATTATTGGATGTTGTGTTCAATAAAAATATTGTCATGAAATTAATGGCCTTGGATGTTTTAATATGGATTGCTTGTATTCGACTCGGAGGAAGAAAACAGTTAACTTCTAAACAAAGAGATTTTGTGAATATTATCAAAGACAATCTTCCTCCGCTGATGCAACATTGTTTTATCTCAGCTGGACGCAGCATTGCACATAAATGTGTGAAGCTTTTAGTTATCTGTAGCGAGTAAGTATACCTAAGATTTTTGAATCCTTTTGTAAAACTAAAATTCTCACCTGATTGGAAGGTCAGATTGCCCTGTGAAGAAGGCATTATAATGGACCAGTAGACGAAGTTCCTATTTAAGGATTCTGATCCATGTTTCACAACCAAAATCTCACATAGAACACGATTCGCATAACAAAATCAACTCATATTCCAGATACTTAATGTATTTGATGCCTAAACCTCCCACTCATGTAAAAACAAAAGTCTATGGGAGGCAAATCGTACATTGAATGTTACATAACAGTCTCTGTGATATGAAAATATGGCAACCTCAGTTTTGTTGCTTAGGCTGAGCTGTTGCACATTGTTAACACATTGAACAAAGCAAGGCAGGAAATGAATATTGTCTGACTAAGAAGTCGGCCAAAACTTTTGTAAAGCGTGATTTGATTCAAGTAGACTATTGTTTTTCTTGTGACCACGCAATTCAAATCTTCTGTAATCATCAATCAATGTAAAATAAACACTTTAATATCCTAGTCAGAAGTTGATTCCAGTAATTTTCGTTCCGCGAATCAGGCTGTATGTGAAATTCTGGTTGACAAACATTTATCAGAATACCTAAATTTGTATCTTGTCTCGGGGTCCATTATATTTAATACTTTAATTTACCCACATTGGAAGGAGATGTAGAAAATGCCCAGCGAAATCGTGTATAGGTGGTATTCAAGATGTAAGTACAAAGTGCAATTTTCCAGATGACCTGTGCTTTAATAGACAAGGATGGCAATTAGGTGTCATAGAACGCCCGGGCGCGCTATAAAAGCAACTTGTATGTATTTACATCAATAGCCATGAATTTGTACCTTCCTTTTTCAGATTCACATTACTTTCAGGAAAAGTTTGACATCAAAAAAGTCAACGAAATACTACTGTACTATCCAGTATAACTGGAATAGAAAGTAATCATTTTACTTAAATTTTATCTTTTTTTTTTATCAGGACAATGAAATATTTTGGTGATGACTCTCAAAGTTTTGATAAAAGTTTATTGGAAGCTCTAGTTGAATGGTTACCGAGCACCCCTCAGTGTTGGTCAGCGGGTGCACTTCATTGGTTCTTCTCATTACTTAGTCAAGTAATCGTCCTGGACAACAACGCCATAGGAGTCAGAAAATGTCTGATGCTTTTAAAACAAATTGGTGCTCAACTTCAATCTCGGCAAAACATGCACCATTCTTTGATTAAAACCAGGTAAGTCAGTTAGTTTACCTTTTTAAGTTTTTGGCGGATTGGAGCTTTCAAAATCTCCAAAGAATGATATTATTTTGAAATAAAAAGACTGTTTTTCTTCCCTGAAACTATTTGATAGAGAAACGGATTACATTTGCCATCATTGGGTCAGTTAATCTTGAGAAGATTAAGTTTTTAAATGATCGTTTGCTACAGTTTTTGGTATGAGACTAGCAATGTGCCCGGTAATATTGCACAATTTATCTACCGTATGGAAAAATAAAGCTTGCTTTTGTGGGGTCTTTTTACACATATTTGTTTCGTCCTAGTGTCCACCACCATCTAAATTTAAGTGTACATGTCATAAATGTGCGCAATAGCAATTTTTCATGAATTGCAGCAGTTTTGCTTACCTGCTACGTACCTTCAAGCTGTCAGTTGAATTTTTGTTGACATCTTGTTCAAGGTTAGGTTAGTTCTGTGGTTTTGTACGAACATACAAACGACTATAACTTGAAATAATAGAAACCTTCGAAAGAAAGAATTTTGGCGAACGTGGTATTGGGAAAATCCGTTAAGTACATTAACTGATTATCAAACTCTGCAAAATTGCTTAGCCAACCTAGAATGCCATGCTGATCATCAATACACAATACGTCAAATGACAGACATCTACCTGTATTGTGATTTTACCGCCATATTGATCGTGACACACACACTTAAAAGCATCAAGTGCATGACTCAAACCCCGGATACGGTCACCCTAATTTTTTGCTCTTTTGAGTGAATTTTTTCCCCAGATACTGTTATTCTAAGAAGTTGAAGAAAAAGTAAGAAGCGTAGTTCACTCAATACTTTCATGTGACACTATATTTATTTAACTGACTCATTGTGCCCACGCAAGAATTTGTCATTTCTATACTTAAAGGTCAGAAAGTTCCGATCATGTTTTTACTTTCTTTGTGCCGGTAATTGTAATTAGACAGTCCATAATCCTGGCGCCATCTCTCACAAAGCTAAGTTCAGTTCAAAGAGGGTCGTGTCAAATATTTTCAGATTGACTTATTTTATCCTAGCACTTGCAATTTGAATTCAATCAGCAATCTCAATTGAAAAAGAGGATGGCAAGGTTAGGTTTAAAAAAAGCATGAAAACCAAGAGAAGAAATTACCTAAATAAAAAAGCAACAAACAATCAGTCAAGAAGGACTAGTTTTTGTAAAGCAGGAATTAAAGCAGTGCAGTAACTGGGTATTACTAGACCTGATGAAAGTTGATTTGTCTTTTACTTCACAACTAACTCAACTTTTAGAAGATACAGGGCTTTCTTAATAGCCTACAGATCTCTGACTATAATCAGTTATATGGTGGAAACAGGAGCATTCTATCCCCTACAACTAATCTCATGCCTATTACTTCAGGATTGAGTCATCACTTTTTATTTTTTAACAGGAGCTTGAGATACGAGGGCTGTCCCAAAAGAAACCGGACTTTTGTCATAAAAGGCGAACCAAGCGTTGTAATGAAGTTTTCTTGGGCTTGTTTGAAAGCTGATAAGATACTGGAGATGCTTGTTTTTACAGAATGCAAACATTCGTCTTGGTAAGGAAACTACACGCTTTGGAATAAAGGAAAGTCAAACTCGAGTTGCGATTTTTGTCTTTATTTCAAGAAAAATTTAGATACAACTTTAAAAAAAAACCCAGGTTTTAAGGTAAAAACTTCGTTGCTCTCTCATTCAAATGCTTAAAAATAAGGAAATCAACATTTTAAGCAGCTTACCAAGTCATAACCTATCCCTTCATAATACTCGCCAGCTTTGTCGATGCATTTTTGCCACTGTTTCTTCAATTGGGAGAAACACTGTTGGAAATCCTCAGGTTTGAATGATCGCAATTCCTTCAAGGTGACCTGACCTGGCTCCGTGTGATTTTTTCTTATTTCCATGACTTAAATCTACCTTGAAAGGTCGACGTTTTCAAACCATTCCGGAAATCCAAGAGAACACCTTGTAGGAATTGCAATCATTCAAATCTGAGGATTTCCAACAGTGTTTCTCCCAATTGAAGAAACGGTGGCAAAAATGCATCGACAAAGCTGGCGAGTATTTTGAAGGGGATAGGTGATGACTTGGTAAGCTGCTTAAAATGTTAATTTCCTTATTTTTAAGCATTTGAATAAAAGAGCAACGAAGTTTTTAATTTAAAACCTGGGTTTTTTTTAAAGTTGTATCCAAATTTTTCTTGAAATAAAGACAAAAATCGCAACTCGAGTTTGACTTACCTTTATTCCAAAGCGTGTAGTTTGCTTACCAAGACGAATTTTTGCATTTTGTAAAAACAAGCATTTTCAGTAGCTTATCAGCTTTCAAACAAGCCCAAGAAAACCTCATTACAACGCTTGGTTCGCCTTCTATGACAAAAGTCCGGTTTCTTTTGGGACAGCCCTCGTAATCTATAAATTAATGATTATTTATCTTTGTTATTCAATGCAGGTACGGATTGTACAACTCGCCTTTTGAAAGCGAATTATTTGACCTGGAGCCTCCAGTTTTAGCTCGTCCTCTCTCAGTGCCTGTTTCTTTCACATGTGTGGGTCACATTGAACCTGGTGCTTGTGCCCCTTCAACCAATACGCTATCTCATCACTCAATACCCCGATACTCCGCATCAGAGCCAATTGATCTACGCCAGCTACTCGATCTCCCTAGTTCGTATCTTATTATTTTCTATTACATTAAAAATCAAAATTAAATTCATTGTTCTTTTTATAATGTATTGAAAATTACTCAGTGGCTGGAGACTTCCTAACGATGGCTTTGTGAAGAACGGTCGATGTCATCATCAACTTGATGTTATATTTTACTTCTAAGCTTAGTGTCTTAAATTATTTACAGATATTTCACGAATTTCATTAATAAAAAATTAATTTGTGGGAAACTTGATACAGGCTGACCGATTTGGATGGAAATTTTTCAAATTTTAATGTTTTAAGGGGATAATTTTAGCCAGCTAACAAGCAAAATTTATTGGAATTATTTTGTTTGGATCTGGAGCTATCTGCAATTGTCCATTACTTTCCTTTCAGCCCTTGTGGAAAGCTGTGAGCAAACAGCAGTTGTGTTTGCATACTGGCCTTAAGCTTCAAAAATTCAAAAGTAATCTAGGTGGAATTTTTGCGTTCTTTCTCATGGTGAGACCTAATTTCCTTATTCGGGAAAGAATACTGAGACATTTTTTGGAAGGTCCTTCAATACATATTAATTTTTCATATTTTCTTTTTGAAGAAAATGAAGAGAGTAAGTAAAAAGCAGTATGTTTGTAAGTTTTTATCTCGTTCAACATTATACTCAATTCACCTTGCTATATTTTTCAATGTCTAGGAGCTTCATCAGATGAGTCAATTTCGATCAGTTCAAATAGACTCCGGGGCTTAACAGCCAACCACTTCATGAAAGGATTGCTTGAGGTTGAACCTCTTCATTTCACATGTTTTTCTGCAAGTGATGGCACAAAACTAGAAAAAATAGATTCGGGTAAGTCCTTGCTGCAGGTGTTACTTCCATTAATATCTATCCTGTTTTGTATTCTGAACCATCTAGTGTTCAACAACTTACAGAAACCAGACAAGTCAAGATTTAACCCTCAGCCCTAAGATTTTTTGATTTTTTTGCCTCCTGCACCTATCTCTGTTATTTAATTTGGCTCAAAACAGTAACTTTTATACTTCTGAATCGTTCTAAAACGTATCCAAACATGTATAAAATTGAGATGCATATCACACAAAATACAATCTGTCAGATAGCAACAAATATAGTTGTTACATTGCTTGTATTTTGCCAAATCAAGAAGAACGCAACCAAAGCATGAACCTTACTTCTGAAAGCCTGTTCATGGGTCTTCTATCACCTAGGAATGTTTAGTATTTGATCGCCTTTTGCTTTTTTATTTTTATTTTTTTTCTGTTTTAAATTTCATAGTTTGAAATGTTTAAACTTTCAGGAAATAGTACCTCAAACGTGAGCTGTCTCTTGGACACGTGGTCCTCTCCCTCCTTTAACCCAGTTGAAGAGCAGAAAAATGATTGGGTAACTATGAAATACTTCTGACGATTTCAAGTTTAAGTTTGCAGTATCTGTTCATTATGTCCTTTGATTTCATTCTTGCCCTCTAAGTAACTCTCAAACCAAAAAATACCTTATCAATCAATGAAAGACAGTATCATTTTTCGATAATTTTATTTTCATCGTAGTTTATTTACCTTATTTGTGCTTTTGTCCAAATCAACTCTTCAAAAAAATTACAGGCAAAGCTTTTCAGCAAAGTTTTTCAGGCAAAGCTTAATGACAAAGTCTTTTTTTTTCTTTAATAATTAGTTTAGTTAATACTAAAGTTCTATTGTAAAACCCTAAACACAAATGAAAGTATTTTCACGGATGAAGACAAAGCAGTGATCCATCAATATTTAATCGAACATTTAGAAAGGGAAAAAAGAGGAAAATAAAAATAACCAAGATTTTTCGTTAGCTCCCGGAATACACTATTATTATAAAACAATAACTTGTTTTTTCTTCAAAGTTTTCAAAAATCAACACCTGAAGAAAATACAAGGATTTACAATCAAATATGGTTAAATGGTCTGAACACAAATAACATCTTTTTTCTTTATGATTTGTGTTCCATTACATCAGTATTAAGTATACCTGTCAACATCTTGCCTTACAGTTGACATCTGAATTTCCTGTTGTGTGAAGTGCCTCTTACATTTAATTTCGAAGAAAAAACATGAAACAAGGTGCTGCACTTTATACCTTGTTAGGTGGCCTATCACTGAAATTAATGAAAGGCAAGGCAAGACTTAGCAAGACAGAACCAATTAACGTAACTTGGAACAACTCCTGCTGGTTGCACAACAAAATTATGTTTAAGCATTCACATTTTTCCTACATCTTATCTTGCAGGGATGCTCAAGTGATGAAAAAAATGGAGAATTTCCCTGGCAACAGATTCTTACAGCACCATTGCAGTGCATGATTGTAATCGAAAGAATGCACAGTGGAGCCAGGCGATTTGTCGTTTTAGATCTAGGAGCTACAGTTCTGTTGACTGATATCCTCATTCCTGCTTGTGCCGAACTTCTCTCTTTATCGATCGATATATGGATCAAGGGAGAAGATGTAGATGGACAAAGGCTGATTCTAGCAACTGATATTGGCTCAAAAACTCTCATCATGAGCGACATACAGCCTCCTCCTCTTTGTCGATATTTGAAGGTTAGTTCAAACTGCTCAGCAAACTTCCATCCTTTCCAAACTTTCGTCTCTGTTTCTATCAAACCTATTTTCTTTTATCTCTTGTTTTATCTATACAATTTTGCTAGATTTATGAATTTCAACCCCCAGAAGTTTTTCAGAAACACCATAAATTTTAAGGATATGAACATACTTTCTACCTTCCTGTCCTTGAAATTGCTCTCTGGGTTTTTTCATAGTTTCATCAGCAGGTTTGCTTGACTTCATGACATCAAAGTAGCCTTATCAGGCGAATTTCTGCGAGTGGCTTTGGTCAAGTTTTTGACGCACTGCCAACTTCTGTTGAAACAAACCAGAATTCCCTCTGGGAGACAGTGCGCCTTTAACATTTGGTTTTCATGTTGGCAACAATGATGAGCTTATTCAAAATTCTGGACCCACCTTCTAAGTTGGTTTGAGACATTAATAGTTGCAAATATTGACAAAAATTAATCAAGCAGCTAAGTTTAGTTCTTGACTTCAGCAGAGCGTTTTGCTCCTTAGATGGTAACTCTGCCAGTCTGGTTGGTAAAATTAACTCAATCCAATTATGGAAATTTGTCTATTAATTGCTTATTTGAGGTCCAACAAGACTAGTCTCTTAAAAACTGCAATATACCACAAAAATACCTCCAGCTCTTGAGCATTTTTCTTGAAAAGCAGTTTTCAGAATGACTACTGGTCAAGGGGCAGCTTTTAGAAAAGGAGAGAGAATGGGAGGAGCATCAAGGTGTTTAGGGTCTATCAAATTGAGATCATAATTACGTAAGGGTTTAGACACACTCCGATCTACTCAGAAGTAAGGAGTACTGCCTCTCACACATCATGCTCACTGCCAGCCTGTTTGTGCAAAATTGCTCCTGTAGGGCCAAAAAAAGATGCTGAGGAACAGAAAAATACAAACGCTTCAGATGCCGATCCTCGCGGCACCAGGAGTTCCATTGGTTAAAAATAGAACTAGTACTGTGAGAAAACCCAATAAGCAAACAATCTTTGTGTCACCACCGATTTCAGTCATTTTTAAGCGCTTGTTTCCTCCTTATTTCTTTGTTTTGCAAAAACAAAAGCTTTAAATCATCAAAAATCTAAGGAAGGCTAGTCTCTAACAGTTCGTGGTTTATTGTGTCTTCCTTTAGGTAAACCTGATTACCAGCCATTGAAAAAAAACTGCCCGCAGACACAGGAAATTTGAGAAAGCATACTACATAATATGCAGATTGTACATTAAAGAATGGATTTCAAACTTTTTTGATGTGTTTTTCTGATTTTCATATGAATTTATCCAAAGGAAGTCTGTTCGCTTGACTGCATCTCCAGGGCGCAACAGACTTATTGGATGAATAAAGTATCTTTTAGGGCACAATATGTTTTCATTAATAATAGATTAGTATGCCTGAAGCTTTGCAGCAATATCCATTGTCTCAGTGAAAAGCATGTAAAATACTCCTTTTTTGAAACTGCAATGCAGCAAAAGCTATAAACCTAACCTGTTTCATAGCTTTTGATACCTTTCATATAACAAACTTTGCACAGCTGATATTGATTTGGATTTTTTTGGATTTTTAGATTACCACAATTGGACGTTATGGAATGAGCATGACCAAATGCAAAATCCCTGTTGGATCATTCTTTGGACATATTGTTGTGTTGCCTGATGAAACTTATGCTGAATCTTGTTCAAGTTCAGCGCCAGCTGCGGACGAACTAAAAATTAATGTATGAATTCGTAATTTTTGAAATTTCTTTTAAAAAGTACTTGTGTTTTCCTTTTTCTCTGGCAATTATTTATCCTTAAGTGAAACTGGTTCGTAATGATTCTTCGCAAATGGGTTGGAATTGTCATTGTTTGGAGGATTTTGCTAAAATGAAACAGACCAAGAAAATGCTGTCAATGTCGTTCAAAGTTTATTCCTCGAGACCTCTCAAATCTCAGCTTTAGATTTTACTAAATATTTGTTTAAATTATATTTGTGATTACTTGTGTATGTTTGCAAGGCAAAACATATTAATTAAGCATTCTATTTGATTTAAATAGCTAGACATCAGCCTGGCACCTCAAGCTGGAGGGAATAAAAGTTCAGTCAATTTTATTCAACGTTCTTGAAAGCATTTCGTTTTAAAGAGTAACGGAACTAAAGATCTAAGGTTATACCAAGCTGCTTCAAGATATCAAAAACAAAGTCTATTTATCCTCTATTTCAACAAGTTTCCACCCTAATAATTTTTACTTGTGTTACAGAATCAGCTGAATGTTCTTAACTCCATTTTAGAAAATATTCAATGTCGTTACGCTTTGTGCTGTGCCAAATTAAAGGAATATCTAAATCCTCTGATATCAGTGGAGCCTCCTAACATTTTACACATGCATCAATATTTTAACAAGGTTAAAGAAGATAAAGATTATGATGACATGGAAAAAGTGACGGCTATGTACAAGGTAACCAATTTTTTTTTTTATATATAATATGTATATTTTTGGATGCTTCTGATTGAAAATACAATAATTAATTTTCAATTGATGTCGGATCTGGACCAGTAGGATGTTGCTAATTTTTGTCCTGTTGGAAAGTCGAGTTACAACAGCTACTAATTGGTTTTATTCATAAAAATAATAAGTTAACTAAAATGTAAGTCTATTTGAATCGTTTTTAAGTAACCTTCAAAGCGATCCAAATTGTGGAAAAAACTACATTGGTTCAAATGGGGTAAAATAAGCCGATCTGCGAAAATACGTTTTTTTGGCTATGAAATACGCCCAACTAAAAAACACCCAATAATTTCCTAGGGAAAAATCTACAGTCCTATTTTAAACCAAAAAATCACACTTCCTACCCATTGGTGAGTGCAGAGGAGCTTGGGCGCAGCCAGTTGTGAGGCACAGTGTAAAGTAAAATGAACGCACTTCAATGTTTCTCATCAAACTCGACCAGGTCTTTGTAAGTTCAGGAGACAAATATATCTCACAACTTCTCAATAAATAATGTACAATAGGTTTTTGCACCCCTTCAGAATCATCTCTGACCCTTCACACTGTTGCCAAATCAAAAGATTTTCGAAAATAATTTTTTCATTTTAATTTTTTAACAGGAATGTGTCACATATCAATATCAATTGAACATTGTGAAAAGCATTATTCAGAGGCTACGGAGTTTAAATCCCTCCAAGAGCACCAAAGCTGTCGGTGATTCCAAAGAAATGTTGACCAATGCGTGTATTGATAAACTGTGTGTCCTCGGTGAAAGTGTATTAGATCTTCTTTTATATATAGTTTACGAAATTGGGCCAGTTTCCAAGGTATGTTATCCCATTTTACTCTTTACTTATCTGTTTCCTTCTCTATAATCATTGGATGAAGATGAAGATACTCTTTTTAGCAATTTTTTGTTGGTACTTTTATGATTTAATTATAAATAATCGCAAGAGAAAGCATAATATATGTTTTTAAAGTCTCCTCATACTAACCACTTCATCATCCCTTCAAATAATTTTCAGGTTTTCAGGTCTATTTTTCAATTGTGTATGGGTTTTTTTTTTTTTTTTCCTTTTTTTTGGAGGGGGAGGCCAATTATGATTTCCATTTTTAAAAAATCTCATCTCTGAGAGAAGATAAATTTGAGTATTGCTTTTTGTGAGCCGAAGATCTTATTAAAAAAAAGTAGAAATAATTAGCTCTTTTCTTAAGTGGCGAGTTCTATAGAACTGTTTACTGGTATGACAGCCGATCGCAGTTCAGAATCGCTGAAGATCCTCATGAAGTTAGAAACTATAAAATAATTTTCTTAATCATGTGAATCAGCCTCAGTGCACAATGACAATTTTCCCGTCATTCAATCCTAATTCCTTTATCTACCCTATTTCTACCAATAATCCAGGAAATAATGAAAGTATCATTGTATTTTCTTAGATGGTATTAAATTCTTATATTCTTGTTTTCCAGGTTCCACAGTCATTTTACAATTCCTTAGATCAAGACATGTGTGAGAATCTCTTCTATCAATTCTGTGTCAATGAAAATACTCGCATTCAGATATCAATGTGCACTTTTCTTTTACGAGCGTGCAGTTATCAGACTTGGTGGGGGAAATTCCTTGTTAGTATTCTCACAAACCTGTACTCATCGACGCAAAAAAGGATCTTTCCACAGGACAGGTAAGTTACTATAATATAGGATGTCGAGTTATTCTAATGAGAAATTAAAATTTATATCAGAACTTCCTCTTATAAAGGAGCATCAATTACTGAACCGAAAGGTGTGTGAAGGCAGGGTTGACTGTTCGCCTTCAAGAATAAATTTTTACGATTGATAGATTTTTTCGATGGTATCCAATCCACGCCACGCCCTAGTTCAAAAATTAATCATTGATCTACTAATTATGAGATAGAATATTATTAGGGCTGTGTGAATATTCGCGATTCCGACTGTTCGCGCCACGAATATTCGGCGAATATTCGCTTTGTCCGCCTCGCGCACTATTCGCAAATCGCGAATGATCGCGCCATCGCGAATAGTGAATTTTTGAACTGACATATTCAAATATTTGCGCCGTCACGAGGAACGAATTCTCAAATATTCGCGCCATCAAAACTAACAAATTTCCGATTGGCAATCGTGAAACGTTGCGAGGACCTGCATAAGACCTCTCCTTCCATCTGAGACATCGCGAACGGCGGGTCTCCTTTGATCTTTACAGACTTTGCCAAGTTTACGAACAGCGAGCGCGATTGGGATTGGCCCACGTATCTTCGTTGCTCCATGAGTACCACACATTGAAAGTTAAATTAATAGCAATATCTGGCAGGAGTATTGTGGGAGGGAAGGTTGGAATAAGCGAAGAGCCCAAATTAAGGATTGAAAGACACAGAAATGTCTGAAATAGGAAAAACAAAGTTCTAAACACATATTCATCTACACCAAAAAAAATAAAATACTAAAATGTGTCTGATGATCCTTCGATACTAGCTTGACTGCCCGCGCAGTTAACTTCAAATCCTGGGAATGCATACGTAACTGCAGGGACAGTCAAGCCAGCATCCAGGGATCTTCAAACACATTCTTAACAGCTTAGGCTACTATCATAGCATTTCATTGTTTTCTGTGCAGGTGTATGAGCAAGTTCTTAAAAAAATTAATCATACTTTTTTTGTCGACTTTTGTAATATTTGCAAATTTTCACACTTAAAAAAGTCTTTCAAATTATTCGTTTTACTATTCGTAGCTGTGAATAATTGACTTTAATTATTCGCTATTCGAGAATAGTTGCCGAAATTATTCGCTATTTGCTTCGTTCGGAAAATTCACTATTCGCACAGCCCTAGATATTATTGCATTTGATAGAACTTATAGCACTTTGCATCTTTTGGGTATTGAAGAGAAGTGAAAAAAAGGATTCTTTGAAACTCTGAAGCTTTGGATAGTAAAACTCAGGATGTCCAGTGACTGGAAAATGTCAGGTAAATTTTTTTGTGTCAAGGAAATCAGGGAAAATGTTAGGGAATCCGTGGAAATTCTGCATGTAAGGGAATTATATTTTGCAAGTGATTTCATGTCAGGGAAATTGAGAAACATGGATTTTTTGAAAAATGAATCTTGAAGGGTGCTAATATTGATTAAAAGTTTTTTTTTAAAAAAAATTGGTGATTAATCAAATTACAGGAAAATGGAATCGAAACCTGAAGTTTTAACAGAATTTCTGCTGATGTCTTTTAAATTTTAAAAATGAGGCAAAAATATCTGCCACAAGTTCAGGCACCATATGTTTTGCTCTATTCATCACATTATATTCGTAAAACATAAAATAACTTCTAAGTTCCGTCTGATCAGTTCAACTGTGTCAAAAATTAGGAATATTTTTCCTTTTTGTAAGGGAAATGCCAGAGAATTATTTTTTCCGACTCTCATGGAGCTTTACAGTTTTTGCCGGTTTTTTGGCCTTTTTTGTCCCAGAAATCAGGGAAATGTCAGGGAATTTCATTTTTTTCAAACTGCTTGTCAATCTGCAAACGGAAAGAATTTTTCATGAAATTTCGATCGCCTTGCACTTGATCTAAATATTCTTCATATTTACTTATGTCCATTCCAGATAGCTCTTTATTTTAATCGATTGAACTGACTGCCACCCAGTGTGACTCAACTTTTAAACGTGATTAAAATGGACCACATTTTGCTTTAAGGAACCACTATTTCTGGCTCATTTCAGGAACAACTTTTATGCCATTGGTTTCCCCATACAGAAAGGTGCTTTTATAGGAGAGCCACAGACAGTGGTTATTGCAAAATGCAATCCAAATAAGCCGCACCTTGTTCATGAGTGAATGTATTAGGATGAATATTCCCTAATGACTCTAGAAGAAGTAAAACATTAAAATTTGTATTCCTCCACTGAGGGTTTTCAAAATCACTCTCTTGCATGAACAAGTTTTTTATCAGTCAACTGAAGAGTTTTCATTATTTACCCTGTCATCCATGCGGGTAATTATTGGAGCAGCCACCTCAATATTTGTGTATTCTTTGAGTCAAACTAATTATTTTCTTTTCTTTTTTCCAGAGTTTTTGTTTTACTTACATACTTGGCTCAAAAGTCAATTGCTGGTCGGAATAAGGAAATGCGGAGAAATGTAATAGAAACTTTGTTAATGGAGCTTGTAACTCTGCTGTCACCCTTAAATAACCAAGAACCTTCTCCTGGTTTTCTACCCGTTCATATGGATCTATCTCTCATAACATGGCTTCTTCTCTATCTTATTCAATGTCTCGACTCAGTCACTTCCAACAGTACAAATCTTAAATCTGCAAAAGGAGGTATGTTCTTTTAGTATTTGAAGCTTTTTCAAGAAAGAACGTATCTTTTTGAAATCAAAATCGATTAGATGGCAATTTGGAGCGGACATTCTCTCTTGTCCCTAGTCCATCCCTTGACACTACCATGAGACGCAATGTAAAAAAAACTATGATTAAGATGAATTCGTGACTTTCGTTGCCAGCGGAAAGTTGCCTATGTGGAAGAAACATTTTCGAAAAATCCAATAAAAATTCGATTTTAAAAGTGAAAAATCAAGGGAAAAAAATGTATGAAAACCACAGCAACAATAAAATGAGGTGCATTAATAGCTTACTGATGAAATATTTGAAGGCAACCGTAGAAAAAAGCATTATGTATTCCATGATTTATTAGAAAAAGAGCATTCAGCAAGGTGAATCATATGTGCATCAATAGTTTTAGAGTTATTTTTTTTAAAATTTTATACTCTTTAAGGTAAATATTGCTGAAAATAGAAAGTGTTCCCTCAGAAATTGATATATGCTTTCAGGAAGCCCTGTATCTTTAAAATGAAGATTTTGACACCTTTTGGATAGGCCTTGTCTCCACGGGACGTTTTCATGGGATTTGTCCCAAGTTCGAACCGCAGGAATAAAACTTCCAGGGCTTTTCCTTGATTCGGTCTCCACAAGACAGGAAGTTGGGGCAGGAAGATAAACTACATAGTAAAAAACAAGTATTTAACCGGGACCAAGATAATGATTGTACAAGATTAACAATGAGACAAATTATTAGAACCAAAAAAATATGAACAGTGGAGTAAAGAACAAAATGTTGCACAGTTTGCTTTCACTTCTTCTTCCTCTTTTAGTTGGTCCTAGAGGTACAAGGAGCATACTTGGCACTGGGAAAAGTATTGATTAACCCAATATTTTTCCGAACTTCGGCATTGGTATTTTTCCCCGGGACCAATCATGTAAAACAGCCTGTGGAGACAAGGCCATAGTCTGGAAACTTCATCAAGTTGTGTGTCTTTTTTTTTGTTCCTGTTATTTAGCTAGTTCTTCCAGCACTGACTTTCAGTTCAGTTGCAGCTGTTGCACTAAATGTCATTTTCATCTGCAATTCAATTCTAAATTTTTGAGTATTTTATTTTTACTGTAGAGACTTTCCTCTGCAAAGCAAAGCAAAATCTTTGGTGCAAACTGGTTTTATTTTTCCAAGCTTAATCATGTATGTATATATGAAGTCGCTTCACAACACACTCTGGCGTTCTACGACACCCAAACGCCACATATGCCTGTCCTCCCAGAGGTTATCGGGCAACTGACACCGCAACATCTCTTCATCAACGCCCTGCCGCCAATCCTTTACGGGACGTCCCTGTCGCCTCTTCCTAGGTGGTACCCAATCCAAAACTTGTTTGGGCAACCTCTCCTCCGACATTCTTTGCACATGTCCATACCAGCATAACTGCCTGGACATGACGTCATGCACGATATCTTTCTCAACCTTCATAACCTGGCGAATTCTTTCACTACGGACACGGTCCCGTCTCGAAATGCCGGCAGATCGCTGCCAAAAATCCATTTCAGTTGCCCTCAACATTTCTTGTGTTCTTTTCGTCAAAGGCCACACTTCACTAACATAGAGCACGATACTTTTAACGATGGCGTCATATATCCGGTGCTTGTTTGCCTTTGAAATGCTCTGATCCCAGAGCACCCCGTTCAGCATCGCGATGGCTCTCCTGCCCTGGACGATCCTGTCCTTAATTGCTCTATCCATCCTTCCATCCTGATCCAGCCAGACTCCGAGATACTTATACTTGTCACACTCTTCGATGCGCCGTCTATCCTCAAGCTCTATGCTTGATCATGTAACCTCTTACAAATGGACCTTTCAATTTTTTATTTATATTATAGGGCTTTCTAAATGGAACTTCATCCAAGGAGATTACACTCTTCAGAGGAAATTATCAACTGCTGATAATATAAACTCAGCCCGTCACTGCCGCCGCAAATTACATAAAAAATTAATGCAGCACAAACAACAGTTGGAAGATTTAGAGGTGGCAAAAGAAGCTTTTCAAGCCTCAACACAGGTACTCATCTCTATTCTTTTTTTTTTTTCATATTATTTTCCGAATATGTCCCTTCCCCCTTACTCACCCTCTTTACAAAAATTACTAATTTTCTGAAACTGAAGTTATTAGCAATGCACTAAATCTACCTGACAAAGCCCATACTGATCTGATCCAATCCTTACAAAATCTAAACTTCATCCTTTCTCTTTTGTCTCTATCCCATTCCCTTTTATAAGTTTATTTTTAAGTATCTGAAACTAACTTGCTCTGAGCAGGTTCAAAGTTTTTCTTTTCAATTCTTTTTCAAATGATTCAATTTTTCTTGGTCGATCGCAACCTGAAATTGAAACTCCCGCGAGCCTTCAAATGAACTGATTTATATTTTCAGGCTGCATCTGCTCTTTGTAATCAAGCAAACAAATTATCAATTAGAATCAAATTCAAGGGTCAGCTTTTAAAGAAGCAAATGAAAGCATCGTCTCAGGTTTGTTATTTGCCCTTCATAAATATTGATTATCTTTTACTGACTCATAATTTGCCGTATTGAATCCCTTAAAAGGAAGAAAGAAAGAAAGAAAGGAAAGACGATTAATTGGACGTATTTCTGTCAAACGGAACTAAGCGCCATAGGAGGAGGAAGGTAGAGGGGGGCTTGGATTGGCGGTGGAACCGGGCGTCGGGCTCATTCCGTCCTATACTTGCAATGCTTTTCCATGGCGCTTAGTTCGGTTTGACAGAACGCACTATCCGGCATTCTAAATTCCTCAAAAGGAACTCAAATTGGCGCTTAGTTCAGTTTGACAGAAATACGTCCAATTATAAGACTGAAGAAAGTATTTTTTCCTTGCTTTAACCTTTTCTGAATGAGCTTAAATAATGAGTGTTATGAGCCACAAGGATTTAGAAATTGCTCACAATCTGAGAGCCTTGTAAAATCATAACTTGTTCGTTACATATCAATTTCCTTTCCATATTAACTGAATTTCAGTGTTACCGTTCTGCGTAATTGAGATTTCTGGAGGGTTGCTGCATAGTGGCTGTGTAATGCGTAATTCTAAGAAATCTGTGTAATTAGTGTGTAATTGAAGTAACTTCAATCTTTTGCTGCGGTATTTACATTTGAAATGTCTTGCTGATCTTCGCAAAAGGTCGTCGTGAAGATAGTTTTTTATCTAAAAGCAATGTTGCAAACTTTGCTTCTAGATCTCTACCTTACATGAGAAACAAAACTATCTCAAAACTTCAAAACAAGCCCAAACTTGTGCTTATTTTGACCTAAAATGCATAATAACTGCGTAATTGCTGTGTATTCTGACAATTTTTCCTTTTTAATAGGGCGCATAATTGGAAAATACAAAGTAAGCATGTAAGGCTGTGGTCAGTAGCTAGGGTGGTTTGACTTTCTATTCTTTCTTCGTTTAAACCTGTTGCAAGAGGAGTGGAGAAAGTATCACAAATTTTCCATGAAAGGTTTAAATTAGACCTTCAGATGCATAAGAAAAATCAATTTATTGTGCTAAATGCATTTTGACCCTGTAGGTCATCTTCAGTAGCAAGTAAGAAGAATTTAATGTGTAATAATTGCAAATTAATCCATATCGTAAGTATTACAGCAATATCACAGTTAAGAAAATATAATCATTGATTAGATATCACAATTCCTCATTACAATTATTCCTATTATTAATTCCTTAATTAATTACTTATTTATTATAATAATTGTAATTACGATGAATTGTGATATCTAATCTGTGATTATATTTTCTTAACTGTGATATTGCTGTGCTACTTACGATATCGATTAATTTGATATTACTTTACGTTAAATTCTGCTTACTTGCCATTTAAGATGACCTGCAAGGTCGAAATGCATTTACCACGACAAATTAGTTTTTCTCATGCATCTGATGGTCTAATTTAAACCTTTCATCCAAATTAACAGATGTGACATGCATCTACTCAAACACATTTTGTACTTATCTCTAATAATTTAAATTTTGACCTTTCAGAGTGGTAAAAGTTCCAGTCAACCCTCAGTCTCCGGATCCATTGATGATTTGCAAGTAAATGGTGCAAGTTGCGCAAATTTATTTAAGAAATCTGAAACAAATAATCACTCGTTTTGTTTGCCTGTTGCTCATTGCTTGCCTGTTGCACGTGCCCTAATTAAATTCCTTTTGTACATGGATTTGACTGTCAATATAGACTTATTCCTTCTAACTTGTAATGTAAGTACTTATCATATACTGAATTTCTCTTTTTCTTCCTCATCAATTTTTAGCTTTTTATGAAATGTCCAGATTATTATGGACCAAATTAATTTAAAAGATTATATCATTGTTACTCCCAGTCTGTGAATACAGTGGAATTTCTTCAAACCAGACAGCCTTCGGACTGGACATTTTGCCTGATTAAAGTGACGTTTTGACTTTGCCAATATCGACATGTGTCCAATATTTCCCAAAAAAAATGAAACTGATCAAAAGTCGACTGTAAAAAGCGATACTGAGTGGTAATTTTTGAACCAGACTGAAATCAGTAATCAGCAAGTTTCTGCAAAATATTTGAGATCAATTGAAAATTATGGAGAACCCACCATGCAGCAACATTGATATCAATGCTGAGTTTTAAATGCAACAGTGCCTCTCATTTTTGGTATGCGCAGCAATATGACACATTAACTCGGAACATATTCTGCCGAAACTGATCTTTGTCAAAGCAAAATTCAGCCAACTTTATTACTTTCATTAAATAAAAGATGGCTACTACTCACTTTTTCTGATGTGTGAACATATTGTGCGTTTACCTGCTCCTTATTTTAACAATATGTTGTCAGCAACTCCATGATTTTCCATAATTCCAATTTATCTCAAGTACATAATAAAAGTCGGTTTTACTGTTCTTGTGTGGAAATTGACAGAACTAGCAACAAACTCTAATTTAGCTGAAGATCTGACTTATCGAGACTCCACTGTGCCAATGTGTAGATCAGGAAAATTTTTATTTTGGTTTGTGAATGTTGCATCACACGCAAGTGAAAAAGTATAATCATTTTTTTTTTTACCATCATCATTAGCAACTGCTCTTTAAAGAAACATTAACCCTTGATCATGAATTGATCTTCTTTGCGGGCCAGCAGTAACTCTTATGAAAGAGTGTAACCATATTTTATTCAAATGGACAAGTCCAACATGGTAATCTAACACAAGAAGAAGTTTATGGAGGCTGCGATCTCTGAAAAACAGTAACTCCATCCAAATTTTGAGATTATTTAATCAAAATAAAAATATATTAAACACCTTGACAAAAATTGATACAAAAAAGTCTATAATTGTTCACATCAGCTCAAAAAACTTTCTTAAGGGGACTCATGGATTTCTATTGCAGTGTCTCGTCCCCTTAAATCTCCCTTGGGAGTGAGGGGTCCAAAACCCCTAAATCTAAATTCTTAAGAGTCGATTCTCCGTATATATATCCCAAAGTATGCACTTCAATTAAAGTTTACTTTCATCGTTGTAAATTTTCTTTACTTCTTTCCGTAATCGTTTAATTTATTTTGGGGGTTAAATTTGCATCAATCACTTGGAAATTTTATGGTAGTGAAAAGTGTGAGGATACCGTTTTATCAGACATCAAATTTTGATCTACCCTTGCAATTTGCATAAAATGTCTAATGGCAGTTCTCTCATCTCTCTTTAATTTTTCCTGATGAACAATCACAGGGTAAATAGGGTATCCATTGTTAAAAAAAAAACTCATTCTTTTACTAACTTCGTTACAAAGTAAAGTACAGTCAAACCTCACTAAGGTGGAATGGATTGGGATCAAGAGTTCATTTTGACCTAGCAGGATTTTCAGGTTAAAAGTACTTTGTATTTGCAAAACGAAAAAACGGGACCTGTATTTTTAAGTGTAAGGTTTCCATTGTGTTTGTTATTCTCATATTTCATGTCAATTTTGTTGTTTCTCCAGGTTCTGGCACGAATAGTAGAGGTTGCTAGATCATGTGTTTCCCTAGGTGAATTATTTAATCAAAATATGCTTTTGAAGCTTATCAAAATTGCGACTAATGCTGGGCAACATCGTCCGTGGGCCACTCACGCTATCACTTGCTTGCTCCAAGACTTGCTGCAAAGTAAGTTCCAATGACATAATTGTATTTGTGAGGTTTCCTTCTGTGCGCCCAACATATCATAGGTCAAGATCAACCCTAGATCCTTAGGGTATCCCATTTTTGGGTGTCTTTCAAAAACTGTCGAATGCTAGCGCTGCTGTTTCTTTCATTCCCCCAGATCCTTGTGGAATGTACGTGATTCAGAAGCTCCTCTGTTGAATCCAGAGCTTCTTACTAGCCCCATTTTTTTCCCAGTAAAAATTGTATTAGTGTAGTGAATCCAGCCAACAAAGACTCAAATTTGGGACAAATTTGCGCACACTTCTTTTGGGTTGTTAATCACTCTAAAGCAGAATGCAGGCATTACAAAATAAACAATTAATCCTAGTTTTGAAAATCTTGCTGCAATGCCGCTCTGCCCACTAACTTCTTGTCTGTAGCAGGCTTTTGCATTTTCTACACTCAATTAAAAAACAAGGTGGTCCCATTTACCCTACCTTTGGCAGTAGTAATATCATCCAGCAGCCTGATTGTTGAAATTCATGTCAGCATGACAAGAAACGAAAGTGGATACATTACACGGCCCAGATAGAGCTCGTCTTGCGTTATCTTGCTGACAAAGCCAGAAAAAGTATCAACAATCAGGCTACAGTCCTGCAAGTTGTGGGAAGATGAAGGTGGTTTCAGGTGGGTCTCATGTTTTCCAAGAAGAAAATACTAGTAGCTCCTTGTTCAAAACTTAGTTTATTGAATGAGGTTTTTTCTGTCTTTAGATGCAACCAAAACTATGTGCTGTGCCGAAATTATCCCTGAGCCTGCTGTAAATACAAGCAATGATAACGCCAGATTGCTTGATGACATTGATGAGGAGGATGTCGTTGATGCAGGTAATATTTTAAAGATATCAATGGTAATTGACTAAAATTATTCCAGATATATTATCGTTGGTAATTGTACCTCACTAAATAAGAGGACCGTATGATGTATTTGGAACAGTAGTATTCTTGTATGTTGGTAATATTGTTTTTCTCTGTTTGAATCCATCATTCACAATATATTTTAGGTGAGGCAGTCTCGGAAATCAAAATTTCTCAGGAAAGTCAAATGCTGAGAACAGGAATGACCCCAGTGGCCCTTCAAATGTGAAAGATCAGTAGTCCAGTCTTTTGGTTCTAAATGAGAATCTATCACTAAAACATTATGGGAAATCCCCACCTCTAAAATCGATGAAAACTGTTGAATAGATGTATTTCTGCCAAACAGAACCAGAGACAGGTGGGAAAGAAGAGGTGTGCTTGTTAGTCGAGGGCTGTAAGAATGAATGGGAAGTAAAAAGGGCCGGTGACATCAGCAGTAACAAGGCCGGCGCTGCAGTCACTCGCTTAGATTATTAACTCATGAACCCTGTATACAACTCTTTCGTCCCATGCCCATGGCTCATCAGTGCCACATTCAGTTGGCACATAGTTCTGTTTAACAGAATGTGAAATCCTGCTTTTCCATTTCTCCAATGGGAATCATGCCCACTTTTAAATTGTCTTTAATACAGCTTTTTAGTGCTTACCCTATCTTTCCCACTCGTCTATAATTCCGTTTTGCAGTAATATGTCCGAATATTGATTGTTTTCTCCTAGGTTTTTGCTGATTACTGGGAAAGGGTCACTATACTTGTATTTTCAGTGGTGACAAAAGTAGACCAAATAATATCTAGTTCAGCCCAAAATTTTATTGAGTGAAACACAAGTTAATAGATGACTTTATAAGGTTAAATGGTAATTATCTTGTTTTGAAGACTGATTTATATTAAAGTCATAAATAAGCCATCCAAATTATTTGATCATAAAATGTATCATGTTTTGCGCGTATAATTTGAATGTAATCCAAACTCTGCTGGCTTGGTTAGTTACATCAGTATTTTTTGGGAAAGGGGAGGTTTACTCAGAGCAATGATTATTAAAGTGCGTAATATTAAAGAAAATCAAAACACTTCATCGACCTTATTTTTTTACCTATCTCTTTCCTGGCTCTAAATATCTCTTCACTGTTGATCATCAGGTTCATCTTGGATTCAGGACCATTTCCTCGCCAGAAGTCTGGGAAAAAATTTTCTGGTTCTAATAACTGTTTTACCTTGTGTGTGTTATCTTAAAATATATCAATCATCTGATTTTGATTTCAAATAATGTAGGACCGGCAAGCTCCTCCAACAAACTCTCTGCAGACCGTGTCCTACCACCTTTGGTTACAATCGAATCTGATGACAGTGATTTTGAAGAATTCCTAGAAAGTCTAAACAAGGAGAAAGAAGCTGCTAAGAAAGTCTTCACCATTAAAAGTCCTATCACTGTCAATTCAAGGTAAAATTTCATGAAAATCCTTATTCTCTCAACTTCATGTGTAGTATGCCGAATAACAATGACCATTCACCAAAAGTGCAGAAAGTTCTGAGCCTTCCTCCAAATTCAACCGGTCTTCCTCCATTTTTAACTTAAATTCATGATCCCCCCCTCCCCCTTCAAGACAAGGAGAAAAAAACCCTTTTGACTCCCACAATCGGCCTTTTCAACCCCTCGGTAAAACGCTTTAAAAATGAGAAGTTTGGAAAAAATCTACCAGGCTTTTCCCAATTTTTTTCCATTTTTTTAGAGGTTTCCCCGTTTTTTCCTGTTCTCATTTTGGTTCGGAAGTCTCTGCATCCCTGCATTTCACTACTGGTTTTAAGGATGTCAAGATGAGGAATTTGCTACCCTCAAATCTGAAACCCAGAAACTACAGTGAGATACTTCAGAAAAACAGATCTGGAGAAATGAAAATGATTCACTAAGCCTATCTCTTTTTTTAGTGAAAAATCTGTTTTTGCACTGTATTTTCCTCAGAAAAATTAACTGTGAGAGTTTGGGTTCAATAGTATGTGTGCAATCATCGTGCTACAATCATGTATCAACTGTATGCTACAAAATAAAATAATTTATCAATTTGTTGTATCAATATAAATGTACAGATTTAGATGCGATTTAAGGCAGAGAGACTTGTGGTTTGCATCCACTCATCTATAGTCTTGCAATTGATAAGACTTTTCGTTTTTGATATTTGGATACTATCGGACCAGTTTACCTCGGTTTTTTTTTTTTATTAAAAATCAAGATTCTTGATCTTCAAATGTCTTTGCTGAAACCATCATTGCATTGTAAGGTCGTTTAACTTGCTTGATAACAAGAATGCAGGAAGCACAAAATATATGATTTAAGAAGATATATTTGGCAAGCATTTGCTTCAATTAGATATCTGGGGGGGGGGGGGTCTAATTTCAGATGTTAAACATCAAGTAATTTTGAATTCAACTTAACCTCTTATATGTGGTATCTGTTGTTTCCAAGAACTGTTTTAAATAAATATTTTCTTCTTTTTTCTATGAGTAGCAGTATATCAACTGCCATGGATTCAAGATTAGAGTTCAGTATGGATAGCAACACTGAGACCTCTCTGCAAAGAATGACTGTTCAAAATGCATATAATTTACCTATAAGTGTTCACACCCCTATTTTGGTAAGCTTTACTTTGGTTGACATTTGAGAATGTGGCATTTGCAAGCCAGATACATGCTTTTTTTTCGCATTTTGTAGTCTTAGGGAATCAAGTGCTGATAATTCACAGTAGAGAATGTGTTATTAATTTTAAAACAATTTCTAGGAGCTCTTAGTTAATGTTTAATTGGAAATGCTAATAACTTCATCTGCCTTGTCAACAAATTGCGTTGGATAAATTTCAGTTTTTTAGTCAGTAATTCATCTTTTAATATCTTACTGTACGTTCCCTTTTTTGTGTAAAACTATGGAGTGAAGACATGATGTACAATTTTATTTTCCACCTTGTACAACTAATATTTTTTGATTTCTCTCAAATTACGTATAAGACAGCCTTGAGAGTTCAAAATCCTGGATGGTTTACCGAATTACAGTTTAGGTTAAGCTTGGTTCTAAAGTAATGAACTCTTATACTTCCTCTCATCTTTCTCAGGTATCAGAGGAAGTGGCAAAATTAATCGAGCCAGTTCAATGGGATGAAAGCATCACATCCTTATGGCACCCTCCTGTTCATCCTCCTGGACCAGTGCCTCGGAGTGCGCAGCTGTTCACTGCCTGCTTTGATCATTTATTAAGCGTGTCTTCCCCACAGGTAAGAAAACTAGTGATGCTGATCAAATCTTTTGCCTTTTTCGTGAGCATGATCATAATGTGGTAAAAGTGTTTCCCAATGCATCTTAAAAATCGTACTTCTTTTAAAGCAAAAATGAGCAGTCCCTCGCTTTATTTTATCAGGTTTAATCAGAAAATTATCATCAGGTATCCCAGAAACTCCTTCATTTCTCTGCAAAGTATATTTTATGTTTTCATTATTTTATACCTAGTCCTCAAAATTGATTTGCTTTAGTACACTGATCAAGTCTCTGAGGAAGTCTCATAATCTTATCAACTTTGACTTGCTGATCAGAATCAAAGATTACCGTGAAGCAGGTGTTCAATTGTAACACAAATCTCTTGTTCCAAATTAGGAAGACAGTAAATTTGACACAACTCAAAGAAAAATCCTGTTGTTGGTACGTCAGAATCACTATTATTTTTGAACATGGATTATACAGCTCTAATTTTCGTTTTATGTTTCAGCCAATCGGAAACTTGGAACTTATTCTTCAGCTTTGGTTGTCGCTGAGCGCTGATGGCAACGATGGCGAAACTTCCACAATCCCTCTTAGTCCAACAGCCATATCAGGTCTTATGAAGCAATTTTCATGGTACGTAAGAAAATGTTCTTCTCTGCATCTTGTAATTTTTTGTTTGTTAGTTTTGGGTAAACAATTTTTAGGGTGCAGTGAATTTTTAATGACTTGACTGGGGGGTTAATTTGATTGCATTTTACAAAAAGGAACCAAGAGCATTCCAATGTCGTGAAGATTTTGCAACATTTTTTACCTTGCAAATATAAACTGATCATGTAAACAAGTTTTAGCTTTACTCCCAATAAACTATTAATTCAAGATGAAAATTACCTTAGTAAATATAATTTTTTGAATGATGTCAGTATTTTATCGCAAAGAATGTAAGTTGCACAAATCTAGCAACATTAGAATGCGCTTGGTTCCTTTTTGCTAAATGCAATCCAATTTTAAGTCTGGAAGTGTCAGTAATCATGGCTCTAGATCATTAAGATCTGTAACCCTTCATTGAGAATTTTATCATCTAAGTTGTTAAATTTTAATGGTATGGATACAGGTTGACAGGGAGAAATTTTACGTGTAATTAAAAGTGTTTAAAATAATTGGATTGCATTTTGCAAAAAGGAACCAAGAGCATTCCAATGTTGCTAGAATTGTGCAACTTATATTCCTTACAATAAAATTACTGAAACCTTGCAAAAAATTAAATTTACTATGGTAATTTTCGTATTGAATTTATAGTTAATTGGGAGTAAAGATAAAACTTGTATAGTTTATCATTTTAAATTTGCAAGGTAAAAAAAGTTGCCCAATCTTAGCGACATTGGAATGCTTTTGGTTCCTTTTTGCAAAATGCAATCGACCCCTGCTAAGTCAAATTTATACAGGATCAAGCTTGAGTTCGACTTATAGACATCTGATTGTGTTGATGTGTGATGAAATAAAAGATTTGATTTAGTGCAATGTAATATTTTTCGAATTTATGAGTAACCGAGTATCTCTGTCACTGTTCTTTACTGACTTATTTTCTTCCTTTGTTAATAATATTTAATAATGTGTGGTTTAATTAATATTTTGCAGGCACCCTACATTTACTCTGCGTGTGTGGTGTTTAGCGTTTCAAGCTATCACTTTAGCTATGAGTCTACCAGGAAGCAGCGAGACTGATGCGCTGTTCGAAAATTCCACTGTTCCAGAGCCTGTGAAATCTATGACCAATGTGATAATAAATAGTCCAAATCTGATCACCATGCTCCACTCATTTTTATCATCTCCTCATTTCAGCATGGTGAGTTCTGCTCCAATTCTATTTAAAGCTGAAAAGATGAAAAAGCGAAACCTATGAGGCTCTATTTCGAAATAATCTCTTATATCATCTAAAATTCGCTCAATTGCCTCCTCAGTGGGGTTGATTACTTTTAAGCACCAAAGAAAGACGAATATTTTACAGTGCAAATTTCGGTGTCAACTTTCAGTGGTAATGCGCTTTAAAGCATGGTGTCTAGTTTTTTAAGAACCGGGATTCATCAGGGAATGAAATTTTACCAGGAAAATTAGGGAATCTGTTCCAGAAACCGGGAATCTCTTCTCCAACTACCTAGGGATCATTTCGTTTTCAAATTTGGCGGTTTAATCTGGCCGAGCGCTATTCGGCTAATTTCAGCTCTAATTCGCTATTGTGTTTTAAATTTTTTATTACAGACTAGAAGAGAAATCGAACAATTTCCCCCTCTAACTTCAATTTAATTTTCTGCAGGTTATCTTTAGTTTTTAGTACAGTCATTTGCTGAATAATTATGAATGTAATACTAATCGTGAGTTTGTTTGTGCACAAAAGTGAGTTGCGGTAAGAAAATTTTAAGTATCTATTGTTATTAGGGCGAATGTTATTGCACTTGAGCTGCTTTTTTTAACTTCCTGAGTGCTGCATTTAAAGCTTCAAATCTTCAAAATAATGTAGCAGCTTCCATTGACCAGATAATATCAACATCAGGAACATTTTTTGAATTACACGGAAAAAAAAAAGAATTGCTGATTCAGCAATTCAATTGCTAAAAACAGTGAGTGCAATGTTTCAACGCAGATTTTACAACAAAAAAATGCTACTTTAACCACATTGTAAACTAATTTAACCACAAGGGTGGTTAAAGTAGCATTTTTTTGTTGTAAAATCTGCGTTGAAACATTGCATTCACTGTTTTTAGCAATAGAATTGCTGAATCAGCAATTCTTTTTTTTTCCGTGTAAAATTTTGAATGTGCGTCAAAGAAATGGCTATAAGATTAATTGAAATCGATATTCAGATCTGAAACTCTAGTAAATCGAAAATCCCAGGAAAGTGGGAGAAAACTTTGGTTTCTCATCAGGGAATGAGCTCCTGAAAATCAGGGAAAAATCAAAGAATGAGCTTTACCGAGAAAACTAGACACCATGCTTCAAAGGAGTGGCGGCAAATCCTCCTCGCACCTTGTCAATTCACCATATCTTATTATCAAGCAGCATGGCAATGTTACCCACTGCGGATCATTGCAGGACTCTCGGCTTGCAAAAACTTGGGCCGCCACCTCTCGTTTCAAGTCATGCACTCACTTGAGCCTTGTATTACTTTCAAGTTAAGTCAAGTTCGTAGGACTCGACTCATCTTGTTTGAGTACTTGCCTAGCCCGAGTTTGTTAGTATGCTGAAGTACGGACTACTCTTGCAACCATTTGCAGGAAAATAGTGAAAAGAAGTATAGATTCTGTTTTCGGGGAGCTCGTCAATTTTGAAATTTTATATATTTCTTTCAAGAAACATGAACAGATTCATACCACCTGAAACTGATTAGAAATGGGTGTTGGACACTCATAACGAAATTTTATTTTTTACTTTCTGAGAGAGCTGATGTTCACGCTTGTGGAATTTATCGCTCTTAATGCAGCTACTTAGTTTTGAAATGAATAAGATGAGATGAATAATTTGTTTAATTTCTTTGTTTTCAGGTGGGAACTTCGGTGTGTTTGGCCTTACAAAAGATGTTAATCAGATTGGAAATGCACTGTGATGTTGAATCAGAAGAAAGTGAGCTGGGAATTGCTCTGAAAAATATGATGCTTCGCTTAGTTTTACTGCTAGTCACGCCCTTGACGGGTGCCATTCCATCCAGAAGAGGCCCACTAGATGCTCAGAACAGTCTCATTCAGTTGATGATCCACCTCAATTTCTCAAATACAGATTTATCGACTGCAATGAATATTGTGGAATCCGTTGGTAAGATTAATTCTCTCTTTAAATTATTTTCACAGTGCCAGAATTATGTGACTAAAGATGTTCTTCAAAATTTTATGTTCGCTTGGAGAGAACAACCCCCAAGACTCTAACAAATCTTGATAAAAGCTTTTGAAGGACTTCGCTATGGGTTGCAATTCATGATATTGGTGGTTTTACTGGCTTAAAAGGGCCTAAATGGTTGCAAATTGCAAGGAAACCCTTGAAATCCTACATTTGTGACAAAGGAGTTTGTAATTAATACAGCAGATGTAATCATGAAAATTAATTGCTCTACAACTGTCAAATAATTACTTCATTGTTTTTCAGTAATTGACAAAAATTCTCTCACGGTTTATATCAGTGATACAATCATCACTCATCAACTAACTGGTAGGCTCAATCCCAAGCTTTTGTAGAATGAACTTGGTAGTTCAGTTTCACAATACAAAACAAAGTTTTAAGTTAGCAGATGTGAACCCTAGAAAATATTGAGTACACCGTTTCAAGGCTCAGTAGTGTAGGAATGGGAATTGAGAATTTAAAAATAAATTAATGTACCGTAAGTTTAGGAAATTGAAAATAGACAAATTAATTCACATATTGCAACTTTACATACTTTTTAATGGATTGGAGCTGTATTTTGAGGGTTCAGGAACAACACTGTCTAACGAACGATTTTGGCGAAAATGAGTAAACAACTTTACTGCATTTTGCAGTATAAAATACGCAAACTGATGTTTATAATTTTTTCCAGTTCTCCATGAGAGCGTTGTAATGACTTTGTTGTATACAAATATCGCAAATCTACTCCCAAAATACAAAAATGGCAAAGTTTTTTCTGTGTCCTACAAAATCGTCAGTTTGTAGATAGGCGGTACTGTTCTTTGCAATAATTGCAATGTCCTCATTTTTTGAGTTATTTTTTAATATGTATGTGTAAAGCCGCTTTTATAGGGCTCTCTGGTGCTCTGCGACTCCTAACCGCCAAAGTCCCCTATCCTCCCAAAGCCCTTCAGGAAGTTGGCAAACCCTCATTTCTTCTAAAGCCCCCTGTTGCCACCCTTTCACTGGGCGTCCCTTTTGTCTCCTCCCGGGAGGAACCCAATCAAGCAACTACTTTGGCAGCCTTTCGTCCACCATTCTATCTGTATTTTTAATATACCGTCCCAAAACTATCTTTAAAATCCCTTCCTGCATTAAATGTACTCCTATACTTTTTTGTTCTAGCATCTTTATTACATGCGTATGTTCCATCAACAAAAATGATGCAGCATAATAATCCTGCCCAGTGCACTTACAGTTCAATGTCCACCGAGTTTGGGGTTCTAATAAATCACATCACCAACTTGGACACTGGAGAACTGAAGCAGAATAAAATCCCTTCGTATGAAAATTTGCTAGTCAATCTCCTTGAATTAACGGCAAAGTTAATAAAAACACGCTTAAACAAAGAAAGCCAACAGAAAGCCAAGAGGGATGAACAAAATTCATCAAGTCTTTCAACCGAAGACGCCATGCAAATGAACAGTCAGACTGATGATCACAAAATAGCGGAAGAACAAGGTCAGTTATCTTCACCTAGGTCAACACAAGCTCAACAAAACAAAGTACCGTGTCTCGCTGATGTTGGTAAGTTAGCACATCAATGTTTTTTCTACAAGTTTTTTCTTTTTATTTTTTTCCATCAACACTTTGATGAATTCCTAGTTACTTTCGAAAAGTGAGCAATAGAAAATAGCAGGGGTGCAGAAACTTCCCAACCACGTGCCTGGCCGTTCGCGTGAAGTGGGGGATCCCATGTGAGGACAAAAAAACTGGGGAAACCTTGGGAGGTTTTTTTTTTTTTTAGGTTTAGGGGAAACTTGACTGTTGAGTGTGCTACTTTGAGGAAACCTAACTGTCAAGCGCGTTGTTTTTGGGGGAACCAAACTGTTGACCGCGCTGTTTTGATGGAACCCAACTATTGACCGCGTTACTTTGTGTGTCGGGCAAAATTCTGCAGAAACTTAAAATGGAGGAACCCTTGGAAGTTTCTGCACCCCTGGAAAATAGTGGCAGCATTTTTCTACAATCAGGAAGTGTAGTCAGTAACTTTTAAGTAGTTAGTAACTGTGCATCAAGCCAATTTAACAGGTGGAGGAATCAACCTGAGAACCAAGATGTATTCATTCTATTTTCAAAAGTAGATTGCAATCACTCGGATACCTCAAACGGAACAATCGTGTCATGTTGTCAATAATATATATTCAGAAGTTTCTTTTAAGTGTGGGATCACATCATCTTGAAATCTCTTTTCTTTATCCAAGTGGATTCTCAACATAAACCGGGCCAATTTTCATGATTTTTGAAGATATCCACGGGTATTGATTTCTATTTGAATTAGCTTACTTCAAAACGTTTCATCCTAACATAATTTTCATGTCTCCTTAATTTGTCAGTTCGTTCATCGATGCACAGTAAAACCTCGAATTATCGGATTGCGATTTAACGGATTCCGCGATTTAACGGTTCGATCCTCCGGTCCCTTCAGCAAGACCGACTAGCGCGATTTAGCGGATTCTGCGATTTAACGGATTCAGCCTCCGGTGCCGTGAAATCCAATAAATCGAGGTCTTACTGTATTCAACTTAGCTTTACCAACCTCTGTTTTTGCCTTTTTTCTTTTACCACTCTTTATATTTCCCCTTTCCTCTCAGAAGTTCTTTAGTAGGAGAATTATTGGTCGCTAATAGAACAATTTTCATGCAGATGGTATTTACTACAGCTGCCTCTAAAGAGTTCTACCTTTAATGCATTTTTCAACTCCAACACCGACATATTAATGGACAAATCCTTTTCACCTGATTGATTTCGTCCTAACTCTAACATGTAGATTTTTTCTGAATTCTTCGCTGTCTATTTTGAATCTTACTAGTGACTTTTACTTCCTGGATTACCTCCATTTCCAAGTTGAAGGAGATGAGTAAATGATTAGAGGACAACTCTTTTGTTACTTCTTTCAGCTCTTTTTCCAAGCTTTTGGAGGGAATTTTTCCGTCCAATATAGTCCGAATTAGTCCACCATGTCCATTTTTTTATAAGCCTACCTAAAGAAATAGAGCCTCTATTCAGTGTTGTATAGCTGCATCCAATTGTTTGCTCATGTAAGTGTTGATTCATACCTTCCAGGAGCATTGACTATACAAAATTGCTCTGGCAAAAGCAGTTTATCTGTACAGTTTTTTTCTCCTTAGAACTATGGTACTTAATTATCTCATCTTAAATTATAATATATATCTCATTCATCTTTTTTTCTTTTCAGTGATGCAACATGAATCAACTGTACTTCATTTGATGCAAGCTCTGTGTGGGTGCGGAGGGGCTCCCTTTACTCTTTTGGGACTCACGCCCTACTTTGATCCAATTATTACTCTACTCGAAAATAGTGATCCATTCTCTGTAGCAGATGCACTCTTCCAGCTGACGACCACCCTTGTAGAGAATACCTCTCTGCCGACATTCTTTTTAAGGCATCTCATGTCTTATCTTTCTGGTATGTATGCAAAATCCATCTCTCTTCCCACTCCCTCCCCCCCTTTTTATATATAAGGTCTTCTTCGCACCCATTTTTCCAACTCATACTCCTCCAATGGATGTAAGAGTGTCTCCGTTCTGTTTTGAAATGATATGTATGTGAAAAGGAGTCTTCTTCAAAATGCTTACATCCCCAAAAATTTGCATTAGCAACAAGAGATGGAGAGGGCCACTAAAGCACATGAACTACCAGTTGAATTGACAGTATTAACAGTTGACTTATCTGTGACCTCTGTGCGCAGCAATATCGTTTCAGTAACTGATAGTAGCCAAAGATAACAATCATACTGTACGCCTAAGACAGTAAAAAGACGACACATACAGTCAAAAGTAGACAATTACTAACTCATGAATGAGAATTCTGTTCAAAATAATCAAATCCTCCTCCCCTTCACTTCGCGGTAGCGTACATTGCTGTTAACTTTAAAAGGGGAAATATTAAACTAACTCTTCAAAAAAATTTGCATGAACTTTTAAATCTTCATCCTAAGACATTTATTCCATTTTACAAGAGGTAAGACACACCCCAGACAAGGGGCGATGTCACCAAGATACCTGGCATATTTGATAAAATAAGAGGTGTTTGTCATGTTCGTTTGTAACGCAGAAGCTCAATCACCTGACAGCTATTATTTTAAATTTTGTTGACCATTTTTACTCATTTTTTGTCAAGACTCTAATTTGTGGAATGTTTGTTTTCCCCTACAGGCAACATGGCAGAACCAAGTGTTCAGCTTTACCGTCTCTCAGAGCCACTTCTTTGTTTGTTTTTGCGAGCTTTGAAAACGAGCGAAAGCGTTGAAGAGTTTGAGAAACTCGGTGGATTTAGATTAATCTGTAGTCATCTCGTTGCTAGCTCCGGTCATCTCATCAATGCTCATCCTTCAACTGTTTCACTCGTCATGCAGCATCTCACGCACCCGCCCGTTCACACTTGGAACTTACCCAACAAAAAGTTAGCCCTCTCAGCTCTGGAAACTGAACATCTTCTTAATTTTGCACCACTGGGTAAGAGCACTATTACCTCTTGCACAGATTTACTCTTGATAGCTGTAAAATCACTCTAGTAATGCCCTCAAGCCCAATTTGTACCAATCAACTTTTCATCCAACAAAAGCGGACGAAAAGTTGGATGGAAAGTTGAATGCAACAAAATTTGATTCAACTGCCTTCGCCATGTGACATTGTCCAACGGAATTCGGATATCTCCGATAGCCTCTAGTTCGTAAAGGTACAGTTCCAGCTGATGTTGATTGGAAGTTTTTGTTTCTACTTTCCATTCAACTTTTCATCAAATTGTTGTGTTCTTGGATCAGTATCACACGATCCAAAAGTTCATTCCACAAAAGCGGAAGAAAAGTTAAATAAAAAGCTGAATACATAGTGCAAATTGAGCTCTCAGTAAGTGATGGCAAGTTCGCGTGCCCAGATCCTAAAGTTGTTTTATCAACGTCTCAAAGCTTAAAAGTAGAAAGTCAGGTGGCTATTCTGCACTGACGATGAATCCAGTTAGGCCCAGATAAGCGTAGTTTCGTTGATGATCGGTCAAGCCAAAATGGGTGGATCATAAGATTTTGTATTTTTCTTTGATGCAATCATAATTTTTTGGAACCAAATCGGGACTCTCTATATAAATATAAGGTAGAATTCTTGCAAATGTAGGAGTCAGAAGTAAACCCTCCAAAAAGGAGCCGACCAGCTTCAATTTTGAAAGCCAAACCTCAAATGTTCATGAACCCGATTCTGCTCGCCACTATTGGACCGCAGCATTTTACCTTGACTGATCATCAAGAAAAATATGCTTAGAAACCGTCATCAGTTGCCTTCCTATATTGTCCTGCCTAGTGTTGCTCCAAACAGGGTATCTATAAAAGGGAAAATTTATTCTGAAAAAGTTTTGCCTGTTGAAATGAGAATTTCTGTTCTACAGAAATGAGCATTGATGGCTTTAAAATTTCAACATTTTAATTTCTAATCTGAGAGATACTTTATATCCAACGCTCGTTTATTGTAGATAACTGAAAGATCTTCATGATAAACATGATCTTCAATAGGATCAGGGTTGCCATAGTCAAAAAATACTGGGAAATCTCAGGGAAATTCATTTTCTAAATTCTCTGACAACCCTGCAGGACATTCAGATATGATTTTTCATATTTCAGCAAATGAAAACCATGTAACAAAGATCGTAGATAACAATAGTTTCTCATGAAAGTGTGTAAGTTTTATCTCAAGCTATTTGAATATTCTTTATTTTCACTTTACAACAGGCACCATAACTTGTAGCAACTTCTCAGCGTCCCATTCTCCAGATGTCCTCATTCATGCTAATCCACCCCATCGCAGAGCTCGAACCCCGGCTTGGTCGTACAACTTTTATCCAGATGAAGTATCCATCGATCTTATACTCACTCTTCCATGTGCAGTTTTGATCCATGAAGTCCATTTACAACCACATTTGAGCTCTCTAGCCAGTGAGTAATCAGTTTTTTTCTCCATCATTTTGGACTTAAAATAGTTGGCATGCTTTTGAAAATTAGTCTACAAAACATAACCACATCGATTATATGGACATATCAATCTATATGAATAGACATATCAGTACTTTTTTGTCCTGTGAATTTATGATGCTTAGCAAAATGGTCCTTCCTATCACTTTCTTTCCTAAAATAGCTTAAACAATTCACTTTTTGTCAGACAACGTAAGGCATCCTCTCTTTCCATAAAATCGTATACAAGGGGTGGAAAGTAAACTTTTTTGCTGAAAAGGGGCGCAAAGGGCACACATTTTTTTAACAGTTACTTCTGTATAAAATTCAAATCAAGAAGAGGATGAGACTTGTAAATTGGATTGACAAAACCAACTTAATTAAATGCAAGGAAACAAACCCATTGAATATTTGTGCATTATGAGACTTCTTCTTTAAGGTGATAGACCTAATTTTTAAAGTTAACAAATCGTCAACAGGGGTTTCAAATCATCTGACACCCCATGTAAAAAACTCACGAATGAAAAGAAATAGTGGTCAATTGGCGTATACTTTCTAAGTTCAAATTTGGAGAAAAGTCAAAAAATTTCTAAGAATCACAACACCTGGCCAAAGAGTGAGTGACTGATCTCTCGCAAAGTATCTCTAGAATTTACATCTCAGGTTACATACTTCAAAGCCTTGACTCTGTTTAAAAAAATCGTCAGTCCAATTATTGTTGGCCAAATTATCCAGAGAGAGAATGTTGAGGAAATTTTCAAAATATATTCTCAGCCAGCTTCATGATTAAAAATAAAAAGTTTCCAATCTTCCTCTAGAAACAAATTATTTGGATACCTGAAAATTCACTTCAATATTTGCGGCAGAAATTTTATTGAAATTTGTGTACTAATTACCATAATTTCATGTATCTTTCTCATAATTTTTTTTTTGTATCTAATTCAATGTTAAACTTTTGAAGTGTGCCCCAGTAGCGTTGGAATTGAAATAGGAACATCAAATTCAGGATGGTTTATACCTGTGAGTGTACCAATTGAAACTTCCGGTCGAATGTTCATACGACTAGCCCTACCTCAACCAGAAGTTGCTTCCGTTGTCTTACTTCGCTTATATCGACCGAAAGAATCCAATAACATCGGTCTCACCCAGATAAAACTTCTGGGTACAACCTCTACCTCTACTTCCAATGTATCCAGCAGTAGCGACGGCAAATGTGAAGATGATATCACTAAGTCTAGGTAAGTATATGCAAGTTTTTTTCCAAAATTTGCCCTGTGCACTTCTATTTTTCGATTTTAATCTGTGAAAAGGATTTTAATTTTTTTCGTTCTGATGTTTCAAAATATGCTAACATTTTCGTTTGATATACAATAGATAATTTGGAGGAGATTTTTTAAGTCAACAATGGTACATACAAGTATTTTCTAAGGATGAACCAGCTTTTCATACCTCCAATAAAATTTCATGTCTTGCATGGTCATTGAAAACGTTTTTTCTTCAACATCCTTTCAAGTTAAAACAATTTCTGCATACACTCCCGGGAATATTGGTATCTGCCACAAATTACTTCTCTGTGAGCAAAGCAGCCATGTTTGCATTTTATTTATGTCTCTTCATTCTTCCTCATTTAACCTTGCATCTCTTTTTTTTCACAGTTTTGTTGGCTGGTTGTGCTTACTCCATCATTGTTTGGAAGTTTGCAAGGACAAGACGGAAACTCGGCAGCAAGTAATGAGCGCCATTGCCAATTGTCCAGGTGTTGTTGAAGCTTGTTGTAGCCTGTTTCTGACCCGTAATATCAACTCTGACCCACCTTTATACACGCCTTACTTACAGAATGTTTTGCTCAGCCTTGGACTTCATTCACGAGAAATAGGTCTCCTGGAAATAAATGTTCTACTCCACAATGCCTCGGCAGTTTTCCTGCAAGGTAATCCAATTACGTGTCTTTTTCATGCTTGTAAGGTATCAGACACTCTTTTGCCTGGGATGAGTAGAGATGCAGCAAATCCTGATTAGCAAAAGAATCTTTGATCTCAAATCATTTGAATATTCAGGAATATGTCGTGTATCCTTATTATTGAAGAATACTTCACAGAATGCATTTAAAATGTGTTAAAACAACTGGCAACAATCACACAATTTTTATTTGATTTCGCTAGTGTTGATTATCTCATTGGGAATTTACCTCAGCCTAAAAAGTCCTCTAATGCTTTGTAATAAAAACCTTATGATTTTCAACAGCCTCTGACTTACAGAGGTTTTTTTATTTAGTTCTTAAGCAGGAAATTTTAACATTTTCAGCTCATTGATCGCAAAACGTGCAGCAGGATGCCACAAAATTTAGAGAGAAATGAATCAATAGATCCATAATATATCGACGGTGTAAGTCGGCAATCACGTAACTCGGTTTGCCACGTCGCAGACTTCCTGCCATACTTTATTTTTTAAACGGAAAACTACTGAACAGCAATTCTTTAAAACTGCTGTAATTTTTCTTCTCTGTGCAAAAACTCCAAGGAATGATGTCAACTTGTTCTCTTTTTAAAAAATAACATTGAGGCGGAGATTTTCAGACACCGCAAACGAGATATGTGATCCCGGACTTCCGCTGTCGATATGATGAAGAGGATTTCGAATTAAATCGAAAACAAACGTACCTTAGTTTTTTTACTTAAGCAATTAATTAAAATGACAATGCCGTAGTGCCTAATTTACACTGTTTTAAATCAGGAGTTGCTATATGACTTGTCCTGGGCTGAAAATGTGTGTTTTAGCAAACGTTCCACATTTTGGTTCCACTTAGCTATTTCATGACCAATAACTTTTAGAAATATATCCATACTTATCATTAAACACTTCAGACTTTTGTTCTCCAGCAGAACCACTTAGATTTTAAACCCTTACCGCAGCTTTATTATCTCCAGCACTGATTAAAAGTGATTATTTCTGTGGAAAAAATAATAAATTGTTACTTCTAATTCAGGTAGTTCTGTGACTTACACGTTTAAACATGCTAGACCTGGAGCTATCTGAAAAAATTTGAAGCACAAGCTAGCCTAAACTGATCAATCAAGTTTAAGTTTTTTTGTCAATCATTGATACCTAATGAATTATGTTTTCCTCTAATTGCAGGTGGATTTACCGTAGAAAGTCAGTGCTTCTCTTCGATTGAATTACTGTTTTTGCTTTGCACCAAAGAAGATAAATATGTTGAAGAACGAATCACCGCACTGATTACGTGGCTTCAGTGTATAATTTCAAACGTTAGTATTTTTATTTTCAAATACCTCTTGACAGTCAATAAAGTCTTACCGATGCCTGCAAAAAAGTGAAAGCAAACTTGACTCTCAATTGGACTGCATTTTCAAATTTGGAACTGCAATTCTTCACATTCTTCAACTGGAACTTCAAATTCTGCAATTTGGAACTATAAGTTCTGGCTCTTCTGGAAAAACACTTAAGTGCAAACGGAAACTAACGGCACATATGTTGTCTCTAAACTAAGCCAGGAATTGTAGTTCCAGATTACAAAATATGGTTCTGTTAAAGGCTTTGCTTGTAAACATAGACCTATTGACCTCCCGGAACTGTTTAAAAAATTGTTACAAACAATATATTCTCCTTTTTTTCTGTCTGATGCAATGTTTTCTTGTTTTCTGGACAAACGATTCTGATTTTTTTTCTAACTTTGTGAAAGAAGGAGGATATATACGTAGAGTTTTTGCTTGCGATTTGTCAAAAGGTTGAAACTTGTTCAGGCATGCTGTGCGACGAGCGTAGTCTACCAACTTCTTTTCTAGGTCACTCATATTTTTTCGTGGTAGAAATATTAATCTCCGTATGATTTACCAGACTATTCAGTTTTCCTGCGGTTTTGTATGTTCATGCTGGCGCTTGTTTTTCCAGAGTGATGATGTAGCTCAATCTCTTTATCCTTTCGTCCATTGTGTGGCAGCTGTTCTGTGGGCGAGTAAAAGTATCCTCAACAATTTGTGCGAAGGAGGAAAATCTGATCATAATAAGATTGTAACACCTCAACTTTTCAGGTATACACTAAATGATCCTCTTTCAACGGAAAGCTTAAAACCAAACACCAATATTTAACCCAAAAATTGTCTCAAAATTAAGTGCAGAGTTTTTTTTTTTTTATTTGGAATAAAATCATTGTTCTATGCAATTGATAATAGCTCATAAGAAAATAAGTCTCCCATTTGGTATCAAATTTCCTGAAACATAAATTGAGCACAGCCAGCGGGCTGATTGTTGAAATTGATAGACAAAGCTACAGACAAAGAAGACAAAAGGGATAAGGAGGGATACTATTTGTGGAAGTGGGTAGTTGCAATGGACAAAGAAGGTAGGTGATAGACCAACTGATGGCAACGTACATTAGACCCTACAATTAGTCCATCAGTTTCACCCTTAGTCCATAGGAACCATCCATTTCAACAAATAGGATCGCTCCATACTCCTTATTTCTTCTTTGTCTATCAATTTCAACAATCAGCCCGCAGCTTATTGTAAGCCTGTGTACATGGTATACCTCCCGATGGAGCATGCATTCGCTAAGATCTGTTGAAGAATGGGTCCATTTTCATGTACATATTCAGATTAAAGCCCGATTGATGACTATCATATGTTCTTTATGGACTCAAAAAAGGGCATAACTTGCGTTTTTTCCAAAAATGTTTTCTTCAGTTTATAAACTGGACCCAAATATTTCAAGTTTTGAAGTCAAGTTTTTGTGCATTGGGGTAGCCTGAATTCTAACCTTTTCAAAAATTTATTCAGATCTTGGGTGTTGATAGTTTTACTACGCTGATACATTAAGCATTCAATTTCCAAAAAATTGAGGGAAATCAGATGATTCAGGTCCTCCCGCAAGTAGGGTTAAGTTGCGGTGAGAATTTCAGGGCAGTGACACACTAGCGTTTGGACGCAATGGACTTAAATCAAGTTTTTTAAAAAATATTTTTCTTTTTTCTGATTTTTGAACCAAAATTATTTGTTCTAAAATTCAAGTATACACTTAAAATTGGCAGACAGGGCTCCTCGCATCTAGCTGGCTCCATGGAGAAGTCATTTATCTTCAACTGAGGTTACCAATGTGTAACTAACCCGTCATGATTCACAACTTAAGCTCCTGGGGTCAAATTAATTTATGGAAGATAAAAATTTTCGAAAATTGCTTGCTATACCCATTCACAAGGAGCTTTGGTTGTCAGTGTTTAAACTCTACCCTACAACCTTTCAAAAAATCGATCCACCTCAACCTGCAGTAACCGAGAAGAGCTCAAAATGGAGCGAATGGAATATTGAGTGAATGGCCAATGAATAGATTGAGTATAGATAATTTTTCGATAGATTGATAATTTTTATCCTGACTTACTTTTCCTAAACCTGTATTTGTGTCTAATCATTTGCCTTTTTTTTCAATTTCAGCTTGCTCTACGAGTGGGGCTCGAAATTGTCTCCTCACAGTGCCTTGAAAAAAGCAGTTGATTCAATTCTTTGTGCCATGTGCTTTGTGGATCCCTCACTCTTCAATACTTTCCTCACTCAGATTGGATTATTGCCTGCTCTTAATTTACTCAAAACGTAACTACCGCATAAATATTTTCATTTCTTTAATTTTTAAAACAAGAGTTAAAATGTATGACTGAATTCTCTTATTCAACTTTTTTACATTATGAATTGGGATTAGACCAGTTGATGAAAATGTCTGTATCACCACTTACAAGTTTGAAATTTTTTGAAGACACCAGTGCTGTAGTGCCAAGGGAGAGTGACGTTTGAAATTTCAAACATTGTCAGATTTCCTCTAAGATCCTGTAAGATACATTAAGAAATTCAGAGATTTTTGCAAGTACAACTTTTAATTTTTTTCAGAAAATTATATTTGTGGTTCTGCATTTGTCACAGTTTGGAAACAGTCACAATTTAACAACAAGTAAAACAGCTTCTAGATTTGATGCATTGTGAAACAAACTGCTTTAGATTAAAAGAACCCTGCACAGAGCATGGGGTCAGCGGCTCTTGATGAAAGTCGATGAAACTTTAACAGATTGATATAAAGGTCATAATTAAGGGAAAGCCAAAAAAATTAGCTCACTTTTGCGAGTAGAAGCCGAGAAATTCACGATTGAACCCGGACTATTTTCTGTGCGGCGGAGGTAAATTCTCCGTGTCGCCTTACCTTGTTTGAGCACTTCGGTCAGGAAACCCCTACTCCCCACCAGGTAACTACGATGTCGCATTGTTTACACTCACTCCTTTCATTAGGACGCTCCGTTTGGGCTGTGCGATATGGAGTTCCCTGCTTCTCGCACCTCTCCCGTGTCAGCGCTGCCGGTCAGTTTAATCTGAAATGTAGTTGTTGAAACGGAATTGACAGATGCGGGGAGAGGGAGGGAGTACTGCATTTGCACCGGCCGAGCGCATAAGCACCTATCTTCACGTGAGTGATGTGAGGTCTGATCGAGAACGCCGAACAACGAGAGGAGAGGGGACTCTGAATTCTTCCACCATGCTGCAGCATGATAGAAAATAGTCCGGATTCAATTGCGAATATCTCGGTTTCTACTCGCAAAAATTAGCTAATTTTTTGGTTTTCCCTCATTATGAACTTTATATCAATCTGTTGAAGTTTCATCGACTTTCATCGAGAGCCGCTGATCCCATGCTCTGTGCGGGGTTCTTTTAGAATAATTAAAGTGCCTGAAGCAGTAACTCACTTTCACATAAATATAATACTGAAATCTTACCAGTTTTGAGAAGTTTGTCTCATGATCAGCAATCCCCGGGATGATCACTCGCTGATGATGAGACAAAGTTCTCGGAACCAGCTCAATTCTCATTTATGTCTTATTTACGTGCAAATGAGTTAACATTTTAAGCAATCTAATAATTAAAATAGCTCATAGATTTACCTTCTCTCTTCAAGAGTTTAAGTTTCAATTTCTGTTCCAATGTTTCATCCCCAGCTTTTTAGTATGTCTAAAACGTTAGAATTGTAGAATTTGTTAACTCCTTTCAATATCATTCAACCACTTTTGCCTCTATGCACTATCTGCCAGTGAAATTGATTTATTTTTAATTTTCAGGTGTCAAGGCCAGAAGAACAATGATTCAAAAAATCGTTCGGCTGGCTCTGAACAAGTACCTTTAACAATTTCGGAGGCAGATTTAATGTCTTTAGCTGTAGTTTGTCAATCCCCACCAATTATTGAACACCTGATAAATTATGGCCTTCCCTCTCTTCTAGTGGACAACATAGTAGGTAAGATATCAGACCGCAAGCTGTCCCTATTTATTGATAATCCATCAATAAACAAGGCTACAATTTTTAATTATTCTTGTAAAATAATTTGCAAGTAACTTCTTTTTTTTTTTCACCGTTCTCCCTCTCAAGTCCACAATAGTTGGTTCAAGATATTTTGATAAAAGCATTGAACCATAATTCAGGCCCATGACTTAAATAATTTTTCTGGACAAGAGCGCTGATTATCAGGAAAGACCATGAAAATGCTTTGCTGGAGCTAATTTCTTTTGGAAGCTTATCATTATTTTCTCTTTTATGATCAATTTTATCTCTATCATATTTCTATTCAAGATTCCAAAGAAAGTTTGTTAGGACAAAGTATTCTCATTTGCCTTCCACCCTGACAAACGATGAGGATTGTTAATACAGGAAGTATGAAAGGCCCTATCAAAAAGAAGAACACTTTTTTTGGGGGGGGGGGATGATTCTTAAGGCGAACAATTTTTTTTTTAGGGAAGGAGGGGTCCTTTACCTTAAATTAGAGGTCAGTTATTCTGGCTAAGCCCTCGAGTCAAAGCAACAAATCATTATTTTAACACTCATCCACCATCAACTTTGTGATGTTTCTTATTCTCAGTCGTATTGTAAATTTTTACCCTCTGTTCCATAGATTTCTGTAAAGGCAGCAGTTTTCAGGCAGGTACAGTTAAAATTGATGAGCCGCCTTCATCAGCCAAAGAGACCCCTCTCTCAGACAGTGACAAATTTTCTAACAGAAAGCAGGTCATAAGCCTTATTCCAGGTTTGTATTATGATAGTCAATTTTATTTTTAGTTCTAATGTAGCTATGATAAGTATATCTTTAATTGAAAGTTCAAAAACGTATGAAACATCCTTAGAACAATCAAATTATCCTGTGAAGGCGGGTGGCTTTCAATTTGACCTAGATCTAAATCTAAAGTTACTTGCGCTGTGTGCATCAGGAATATTTCAACTACTCCTAGAAGCAAGAGATGGATGTAGAGAAAATTGGATATCTCTACAATCCTTTGGTCAGATTAGCAAAACGTCATCTCATTTTAAAGCTGAAAGTGTGACGAACTTGTAATTTCTTACAGGTTTACTTTGTTTTCAATAGTTACGCAGCAAAGAAATAGCAAAACTTACTTCTTGGGATATCCTTGTAAGTTTTAATTCTCAGCCCTTTTTACCAAAATTTGATCCGAGTTTTTTGCAACATTGAAATTTTTTTAGAAAATTGAACTTGTAGCAATTAATAATTTGACTGCTGCTTGATTTTGTGGCACTAGAGAACTGATTCTTTCAGTTGTAACATTGTTTCATGAATTTCTTGGGTCTTTTTTTCTCTTACATTTAACCGCCGCATTATTTTGCAGCCGAAAATAATTCATACAGAGTGGAGGCAGTCTCTCTTTTCCTGTGGTTCTTTGGGGAGCTTTGTTCCGAAGGATGCATGAGGGACTGGCTGGGATCCAATGAAGGCTCCATATTCTGGCAACCTCTTTTGGAGCTACTATCGAACAGGACCCATGACTCAGACTCGGAAAAGTAAGTTCTGATCTATGATTCATTAATTTTACCTCAACCCCAAATGAAAGAATGCCTTCCATTTCTCTCCTAAGTCTCTTGAGATCTAACTGGTTGTGATTTGAACCTCTTTGATAAGACTGAATTCCCATCCGTTGCTTTTTTCCCATATTCTTTCTCTAGAAGCCTCGAGAATGAGGAACAACAAACCTTGTTATCTAAGGTGTGGCAATTTTAATTTAACAGCAAAGTGTGCCTTTTTCTGTTGTTTTAGGGGATACAACTTTCGGTAAAGTTGAGTTAAAATGCTATCAAAGTTTTCAGGTTGGGGCAGTATTTTTAGGGTCGACAAAGAATTGCTTTCTAGGTCAAAACCATCAATTTTTAGAAATCAGATTTTAAGGCCAGGAGGCGAATATTAATAGAAAAGTAAAAATATTTACCCCAGAAATGCTCCTGGCATCATATCAATGATTTTAATGCTTTTTTACCTTTTACAGCAATTATTATAATTGGACACCTTTGCCTTAAATTTTTAATTTATATATTGTTTAGTTTTATTTTTATCATAACACAGCACTATTCTTGGTCTTGATTCACTTTTTCTTCCAGATGTCTTCAATTGAATGAATCTTGGTCAAAATTGGAAGACAACACTGTTAAATTTTTCTCTCGCTGTTGTTGGGGTCATCTACGTAATCAAGAAATATTCGCTCATGTTCTTTGTGCTGTGATAAATTCTCAAAATAGTGTTAACTCAAGTAAGTTGGTGTTCATTCCCTAGCTACTGTGACATGATCTTGCAGCCATACTTAGACAGTAGTCAAAATCACAGAATGTTGTCCATGGAAACCATATTCTATCTTTGTCTCATCACTCTCTTTCCTGCAACTTGAGTTGACATGATCAGACCAACTTAGTTCTGTAAAGGCTGCACCAATAATAGTGACAAGATATTAGGTGGAGTTTGCATCAGCTAACGCAGGTACTGAGTATTTTGCGAAAGCATTGGTCTCTTGGCTGTATGAATGAATTCAGCTGCACCATCATTGTATCCCCAATACAATGTGCCTTTTTGTATTTTTAATGTGCCTCTCATGCCAACCAATCATGTAACATGCTTCCACAATTGGATAGTACTTTTCCGCCTGTTGGCCACCAAAGTATTAGATTTTGGTAAAATGACCCAATATATGTCAAAGTTCAACTGCACCTCAACGTTTCTGCTCATTCCGTTTTTTATGATGTCAGATTTTTAGAAAGAACGCACATCTAATTGAGTTTCATGGACCGAACAACCATCCATGACTTTTCCTTTGTGTCATGAGGATTGTGTAAAGCAATCTCCGACGCTCTAGCCGCGGTCATAGCCCATAATCTACCTGGCAATCTGTAAAATATTTTCATAAGGGCCAATACCTCAAAGATTCATTTTACAAAATGAGTTGTAACATAAAAACTCCCACGGCCAATCAAGAAAAACTTTTCAATTTTAGGATGAATTTCAAGTATCTTAAAGCTTTCTTATTTGCGTCTGTATTGAGTCTCTTAACTTTTGAATTATTTTTGCAGGCGGGAAGCTGCACCATGGTTTACCAGGCTTTACCCGGAGGCTGATACTTCAACTTCTACTGGAGAGTGAAAAAATATTTGTCTCTGTAAATATAACGCCACCACTAACCCAAAGCTTTACTGCAACTCTCATGAATCCCATTCACCCATCAAGAGGAATTTGTCGAGGCCATCAGTTCTTGTATGTCAGCACACAATCAAGAATGGTCGAAATAATCAACATGGTCTCAAGTAGGTATCATTGATCAGCCATTATGTACGAAACTAGATTTTTAAAGTGAAGAGCTCTCTGCAATAAATGATTCAAGTTCTAAGTTCTGAGTATCTGAAAGGTTCAAAGGATTGAGACTCACTGTAGTTTTAATATGCATAGAATATCTCAGGACTAACAGGCAATAATTTCTGGTTTGATTCTTGGGATCAAAATTAGACTTTTTGTGGTGTAACTTTTTCTACAAATGCCTCTCCACAAAGTTGCAGCCTTCTAAAATTTGGGAAAATCTTATTGATCGTTGATTCATCAGTGCCCATGCGGGGATCCTGAGGATACAGAAGAAAGAAAAGATCTCATGGACATGACATAACCTGCAGACAGCAGGGGCTCATAGATTAAGATCAAATCTTTTGAATTGAGGAATTTTGTCTGCTTCCTTGCGTAGACACTTTGAGTATTGAGGAGTGTGCTGATTTTATGAGAAAAATAAATTAAACACATCAGTAAACATATGTGCCTCCTCAGAACAAAATTTACTGAATGTCCTTACATCCATTGGTCCTGTGGGCAGCGTGGGTTGGCTACTGATTAAAGTATCAAGGAGGCCCATTTTACAGTATGGTTGACATTTCAGTTCCAGGTAGCTTGGACTACATTATCAATGAAGTGAACAAAGTACGCGTCAATTCCAACTCTGAAATGTCCTGGTGGGAGGCCCTGAACCAGTTGTCTATTGCGGCTGCAGTAACTGCCAAAGATAAACGCTCCAAAGAAGCCAAAAATATTGTCACAGCGCTCAGTGGTCCTCAAGGCAAATCAAGACCATCCACCCCTTTTTCGGGTAATGCAGACGTAGTTGTTGTAATTCACAATTCTTGCTATCTACTAGTGTAAATCTAACTCTCTATGGCATGAATTAATTTTGGGTCTCTAGAGACATCTTAGGTTCATAAAAACATTGAGTTCTGAATTTTTTCACAAAAATTTCAACATTTTGGGAATGATTTCTTAGAAGAAAAAAATGATAAAAATTTGCAACATTATGCCATGGAGGAATAATTCATTTATAAAAAACCAAAAAAGTGTCATCTCCAATAAGTTAAACCATGCCGTAGAGGGGTAACATCCAACCCCTCCCAGAAATTAATGGTGTGTCGACCAAGTCTTACACATATTTTTTTTTATTTTTATATTTTGCTTTTCTCCAGTTAAAGGTGTGTAAAGAGGGTACTAATTTATTCCTTCAATATTCTGCTTTTTTCACCGATTGCGATTTGGTTTTGTAAGAGACCATAATGAACCAAGTTTTTTTTCTTTTTTTTTCATTTGTGTATTTTAGGTATATGTGTAGTCACATGAATTTGTTTAGTTCTCAGTCCAAGCAAGTATTGAGTAAAGCACCCTCATTTACTTTTGTCATTGGAACATTTTTATTTACTTTCAGTTTTTTAATGGGTCTAACGAGAAAATTCACCGCATGTCGTCGTCAAATCAATTTATTGGTCTTATACTGCAAGTTTAATGTCTAAATTTGTTGCCCTCGGTGTTGTTAATGTTGATGTCACCTTGTTGTGCATGTATCCAATGGTTGAAAATGGGAGGAAACTTACTTGACAAGAAACATATAATCAGCATATCTGTGCAAAATCATAAGTTCTTGATTTTGTTAATAATTTTTTCTCATGCAACTTAAAGCATGTAAAATTAAGTGGTTAGATTCACTGAAGAGAAACTAATTCCTATACTTGTGTCAATTTTTCTCTACAGCTTCAATCATCATGGTCTCTCGCCGTGAGTTGTTAGTATTCTAAAATTCTGTACCTGTTATTTTGCAATTCTGCTCTTAAACCTTTGTTGTCACCAATGAATTTATTCATTTGTTTTTCAATATTTGTATTCTTCCTTCCATCAAACTTAATATTATTCTAATTGAAATGTTTTTCTTGTTCAGATATATCCCTGCCATTGTTCGGGAAACCACATGCGGTTCTGGAGCATCCTGCATTATCAGGACCGCTGGATCCACTCACTACCATTTCTCAAGTGATGGCTACACTTTCATCGCAAGGCTTCTCTTTGAGTGCTCCAATCATTGAATTCAATGCAAAAGAAAACACTTCCATAACGCAAAAAGATGTCATGTGTAAGTTAAGAAACTTTAATCTACCAATCCGTTAAATTAAAAGTAATAGCTTAACGTTGAAGCTAACAAAGATGCAATAATTTAATGATTTATTTATTTTCTGTCCATTTTTTGAACTTCAAATGTTATCTTCAAACATCAACTTTTTAAATTTTGAAAACAGTAATTTAACCAGAAAGCAAGCATTTTAGTAGGTTGCAATGAAACATGACATAATTAATACCACTAAAGGGGGAAAAAATTAAAAAATTTTAATTTGAACCAACAGAGAGATCTGGGAAACCAAGATTTGTCAAATAATCCCTGCAGTAAGCCTAGGTTTGCCTGAAAATTAGGGTTGCCAGTAACGTATCAATGGGACTTTCTTTACTACCATTCATTTTTCCAGATCAGCGATTTGCGTTCAAATTGTCACATAGTGTAGTTTCACCTCAAGACCAAGAGTTCTGCTCATGGATTTTTAACAAGCTCTGATAAAATCATGTTTTTGTTTTTGTTACAGTGGACATTGAAACTGAAGGGATACCATCTCCTCTTCAGATTTTCTCTCAAATTGGAGGACTGGCATTGTTAGCTGAGCATCTCCCATTAGTTTATCCAGAACCGCAACAATCCACGCCATCTTCAGCTGTATCACCTTTCTCCCCTCCTCCGCAACTGGAGTCAGAATGGGTTAAAGTTGACGCTACTGATGACATTTACATGGTAAAATTAATTTACTCAAGGATTTTTTTTAAAAAAAGAAAGGTCTTAACTACTAAAACTTGTCAAAGAAATAGGCCTATGACAAAGAGTCCTAATTGATCTGTTAGTGGCTGAAAAGTTTTGACCGAAAACTTTTGATGAGAACGTATTAGGCTCGACCAAACAAGCGCGACAAATGTAAATTGTTGGTATCTTTTTCAAATCATTTCAAATTTTATGCTCAAGAATTAGAGTTTAAAAATCAAATTTTTTTGTTTCATAAAAACTTACAACTCCTTTGTATTTATATTTTGATAGTGTGGAACTTTATAGGTTTTTTAATCAGGTTTTGTGGATTAATTTGTCAATTGCTGTGTTTTTCTTACAGGAGATTGATTACTCCTGTAACAATAATAGTGCTCAAGGGGCTGCTCCGGGGAAACCTGTGGAAACTGTCGCTGTGATACCTGCTCACTCTTTAGCAGCATTTGGTCTTTTTCTTCGTTTACCTGGTTATTCTGACGTCTTGCTCAGAAGCAAAAAGAATGCTCAATGTCTTCTCAGACTTGTTTTAGGTGTCACTGATGATGGAGAAGGAGGTTTGTAATCTACTGATTTCTTTTTTTCTTTATTTTATTTAGCAACAAGAGTTTTCCAATGATTGAAGGAATATGAATCCAACATCTTGACGATAAAATGTGTTCTCATTTTTTCTCAATTCACGTAAGAATACCAGCACTGGAATCTGTTTTCCTTTTTTCAATTCTTGGAGATCATAAGCTGGTCATATTTGCATTCAAAAATCGGTCGAAGTCCGTAAATATTCGGAGTTTCCTCTTTTGCACTGTCTCTGAAGTGTTTTGTAGAAACCTTGCTAGGCTAGATACTTAAGTGGCAGTGCAAGAAAAGACACTAAGAATATTTTTGGGGTGCCGTTTAATTTTCGAATGCAAGTATGACCATCTTTTGATCTCAAAGATGCGGAAAAAAGAAATCAGATTCCATTGTTGGTATTCTTGATGCTTAAAAGCCAAGAGATCTGTAATTGACTTGTCATTAATTGGTTATGCTTGTCTTGTTTCAGGGGACATTCTCAACTCTCCGTTGGCAAATAATCTCCCTACATTACCTTTCGAGGTGTTGGAAGAGCTTCTCTCGCTCTCACCTCTGACATCGGATGAAGGAATCTACATCCGACAGGCTGCTCTGGATTTAGGTGTTGTTCATCTTATTCTAGCGTGTTTAGCTGCTCTCACTCACTTTCCCCAGTACATTCATCTGCCTGGTATTCATCATCAGCTCTTAACGACTGCAACACGAGCAGCAAACGAAGTCTCTGCCAATGCAAGAGCCGATAAGCAACTTCTTTACTGGGCCAAAGGTACTGGTTTTGGGACTGGATCAACTGCGCAGAGTTGGAATGTTGAACAAGCTCTTTCCCGCCAAAAGTGTGAAGAAAGTCATATTACGGTTTTAATAGAAGTTTTGTCCAGTTTCATCAATCCAAAATCACTTTCACTTGCTTCTGTTCATAGCGCAGATGATGAAAAAAGTGCCAATTCCTCTGAGGAACCACCAGAACGTCTGGCACCAGGACTTGCACCTCTATTTTATCAACTTCTAGAACAATCCTGTCTCCTTCCCGCCCTCTCGTCGTATCTTAGAAACGATTCGGTACTTGATATGGCACGGCATATTCCCCTCTACAGGGCCATTTTGTGTCTGTTAAGGGTCATTGCATCGAATGAGCAGTATGTAGAACTTTTGTTCCCCCGATCTTCATCGCACAAGGATCCTTCAATATCTAGTCTACTTTTAAATATGAAGAAGTGTGTCGATAACTACTCCGCCAATGTCAGAGATAAAATTAACAAGACAAAACAACAACGGAAAGCTGGGAGATCAGGGATAATGAAACTTCCAACCCCTGTGGCTGAAGAATCATTGGATCAAGATGAGGAAGGATTAGCCTCTCTTATTCCAGACATCCAAAGCACAGCGTTACTTATTCAGGTTGCCATGGATAAACTAATCAAAAATGGAGATTCATCTAACTCTGCCTCGTCATCAGATATGGTTATAGAGACGCTGGAGCACCCCTTGAAAAAGACTGTCGAGGAACGCTACTTGGAATTTATGAAAGCTCTTCAGTTTGATATGTATGATATGATTGTGGAAAATTGTGATAATAATGGAATACAGTTTACAGTCTCGCATCATTTTGAATCAGTCATCCGCTCTCATGGAGACAGAAGTCATCCGTCCCGGGTCAAACGTCTCGCCCAAGAAGCTGTTACTCTGTCAACCTCTTTACCTCTCTCCTACAGTAGCTCAGTCTTTGTGCGTTGTGACTCGGATAGGCTAGATGTTATGAAGGTATTAATTACTGGTCCAGCTGAGACGCCATACATGAATGGGTGTTTTGAATTTGACGTCTATTTCCCCAAAGACTATCCAACATCCCCAATGCTAATTAATTTAGAGACAACTGGTCAGCATACAGTCCGCTTTAATCCTAACCTATACAATGATGGTAAAGTTTGCTTGAGTGTTCTCAACACATGGCATGGAAGACCGGAGGAGAAATGGAATGCGCAAACCTCTAGTTTTCTTCAGGTCCTGGTCTCCATCCAATCTCTCATCCTTGTTCCTGAACCTTATTTTAATGAGCCTGGTTATGAAAGGTCAAGAGGAACTCCTGCTGGAACTCAGAGCTCTCGAGAGTATAATATCAACATTTGTCAAGCAACATTGAAATGGGCCATGGTTGAGCAGTTAAAAAATCCTTCACCTTGCTTCAAGACTGTCATTCAGTCTCACTTCTGGATCAAAAGGAATGAAATATTTCTCCAAATCGAGAAGTGGATTGCTGAAGTCGAAAGCGATGAATATCAGACTGAAAAAACCATAGCTGCTACAATAATGTCTTTGAAGCGCTTATTTCGACTGCTCTGTGAAGAAATTGCCAAACTGACACCTCCGCCTGGTTTAGAGGACTTAAACGAGGGAGTGCTGGGCAAGTGCATGCCTACGTCAAACCAAAGCCATGGCTCTCGATCATCCTCGCAATCCCAACCATCAGGGTCATCAGCCAGTGCATCAGTGTCGTCTCAGCAACAGCCCACCCTCTCATCCACAACGCCTTTGAACTCATCCTTATCCGATTTTGTCACTGATGCTGAGATGGAAATGCTTGTCTCAAAGGTTGTTGATTGAAACCGTTGCTTTATTTTAATTTTCTTTCTCATTTCGCGTCTTGAATATGCATTCCAGTGCTTGCATTATCATCAAAATCATAGTAATTTAGTCATACTTTCAGTTTTTTACTGACCCTTATCCGTTTCTGTATATCGTAATGTTCTTTCTTAGCTTTCCCTTTTTACTTGTTTTATCTGGCATTTTTCTCAAGTGCGTTTCATATGTTTAAGCACCTAACCAATTTCTGTGAGTTTGGCATGACCCAGAAGGTGAATTTCCATTTTAGTGATTGATACATCGATCGGCAGTTTGCCGTTTTTGCTCAGATTAAAAATTTTAGGGCACAGGACTATTTTCAATTGAAAGTGCTTTTTGCCGCTGACATTAGCTTGTTAATTGTGCTTGCATGTTGAGATCCTCAATTTAAGTAATTTTCGTCTGAATCTGGTTTTTTTTTTTTTTATTTTTTTGGTAAAAGTATTGATTTGTTGAATTGTAGCATTGAGCTCTTTATTTTTATACTCTTAACAATCACTGTTGCATTTAAAAACAAAGTGTATGATAGTATCTCTGTAATTGGTCAGATTAAATGATGACCCACTGCTATAAATTACCAGAAATATTTATGATTTTCATGCCATTTTTTTGGCATTTATGTTTATATCCTGAATAAATGAACTCCATCATTTAGTTGTTGAAGAGCTGAATCTACTTGTATTTTCCTTGAACATCAGAAGTAGCATTTGAAGGAGGTGACATGATTGACATATCGTCTACAACTTTGACGCTTCGACAGTCCTCGTTATTGATCGTTTTCAGCTGTGGAGCCAAAAATTGTGTCGCTTTTTTTTTTTTTTTAAATAATATTCATTTGCTTTTTTCTTCTGAGGGTCCATTAACAAGGTGGTTCAAAAATTTTTGGAACGGAGAAACCTCGTGGAGTTCAGTGCTGATTCGTGCAGCGAGCTATTTTCACAATTTACATCGATTTCTGACGGATTTTGGGGCGAAAATGTGGGTTTTTTGTCATTTTGGCAACAAAATTCTTTTTCTACTTGATTTCAGCGGCAGGCTTTTTTCAAAATTTACATTGGTTTCCAATTACTTTTTTGTCATTTTAAAACTTCACCTTCTACTTAATTTCATACATTAAAATTATTTTATAATTCATAATTTCATCAATGAATTTCTCTTATCATCAAAGGCACTGTTCAGTCATAAATTATGATCATTTCAAAAGCATCAGACATTTGGGATCAGGCCTAAGACGGGTGCGTCCCTGAAACGATTTACATATTTTTGGCCGTCATTTCGACCATGCATCCCTTTATTTACCTTTTGATTACAAATGTCTGATGGTCCTGAAATGATCATAATTCATGATTGAGCAGTGCCTTTGAGGAAAAAATAATTTTAATGTATGAAATTAAGTAAAAGGTGAAGTTAAAAGTCAAAATGACAAAGAAGTCACTGGAAACCAATGTAAATTTTGAAAATAGCCCGCTGCATGCAGCGGGCTATTGCAGGCGGTTGACATGTCAACACTGAACTCTACAAGGTTTTTCTTTCTAGAAAATGTTTGAGCCAACCTTGTTAGTGGAGCTCCGGTAACAAAAAAAAATAATAAATATGATTAAAAATAAAAAGTGGTTTTGGTCCCTTAATTGAAAATGACTCATATGTTTATTTTTCTTCTTTAAATAAAAATATTGCATATTATTAATTTACTTAATATTTTTTTAATGTTGAAACAAAGACCTCACAATCGGTTTAACTCATAAGTGGAAAGATTTTTTCTGTATTATTCTTTCACAATTAAAATAGTGTATTTCCTTCCGAAAATATAAGAAGAAAGAGCCTGCTATCATTGAGTTGCAAACCAGCTGACACATTTTATATGAATTGTATTCCTCTATTTTGTAATTTTTTGCTCTGAATATCACAAAATAAATTTCTGAAACAGCTTTCAGCTTCTTTTGAGAGGAACAAAGTTGGTTTTCTGCACGAATGATTAGGAGAGTAAGCGTAAAGCATGCATTCAATATTAAACACAACATCAACATCATAACCATACTCTGAATAAGTGTCTCTCTGTGCCAGTAAAATTTTGCAAAAGTAAACTAAAAATACATGAATATGCAAGGTCCAATATTTTTAAACTTTGAAGCTTTGGTGGATTTTAGCATCAGAATTACTTGATTCTTGGCGCACCAAGAGGTGATACAAGCTGCAGATGTACCCAGGGTGTTTCAAAAGTCTTGTCTCCAATCCTTGTATGAAGGAAACAAATGAAGCCAGTAAAGTGCAGGTCTTATGATCTTGAAGATTATTTTACTAGCTTTCCAACGTGACATTCTTGAGCTCACTTGGTAAAAAAATTCACTGAGTTACAACGATTTTTACGCGACATATTCGCATAATCCCTCGGAAAATTTTACACCTTTTCCAAGAGAACAAAAAGAAGCTAAACATTGGACCAATCTTCGAAATCAAACTGTAAAAATAAATTGCAATTTATTTCTTATGACGAAAATTGAAATTCAATTGAAATAGAAATCAGGTCATAGGTACCTAAATTATAATGCCACTTTTAAAAGGCAGCTAACTAGCCAGGAGGCTTAGTATAGATCTACTACAATTTTATCGGAATTACTCACCGACTGTAATTATGTAATATTTGTCAAACAATAAAATTGACATTTTTCTGCAAACTTATTGCGCTGTTTTTGCAAGACCTCCTGGTTGGGATGACAGGATACATTGCAAATCTGTTGGACCTGGGCAACTCAAATCGGTAGTTTTTGACTGAACGGTCAGAAATACTTACAGTGAAATGGATCAATTTTCAGCCTAAGTGCTGCATCACAGCCTGTATTTTTGCGAGTGTGTGTGTGTCCCTTTGACGAGCCGCGAGTTGCCGCATCTGATCAATGAGTGGGAGAGAGATAGACGATAAAACGGCGGCTTGTCAAAGCCGAGTGTGCTCCTTTGACGTGCCGCATTTGAGCAATGAGTGCGAGAGAGAGAAAGGACAAAACAGCGTAAGGACCAATCCAAGTTGAGCCTCAGTCTCCGTTTCCGGTCGCTCTTTCCAGGGCTCATGGTCGGAAAGTACTCCGGTGCTTTTTCGGGGCACCCGCATTCGGGCTTGCCACTACCACCGCACACCGAATTACGAGGCCCAGCCAGTATTATTGCGAGTGTGTGTGTATCCCTTTGACGAGCCGCGGGTTGCCGCATCTGATCAATGAGTGGGAGAGAGATAGACGATAAAACGGCGGCTTGTCAAAGCCGAGTGTGCTCCTTTGACGTGCCGCATCTGAGCAATGAGTGCCAGAGAGAGAAAGGACAAAACAGCGTATGGACCAATGCAAGTTGAGCCTCAGTCCCTGTTTACGGCCGTCCTTTCCAGGGCTCATGGTCGGAAAGCACTCCGGTGCTTTTTCTGGGCACCTGGATTCGGGCTCGCCACTACCACCGCGCACCAAATTACGAGGTCCAGCGTGTATTTTTGCGAGTGTGTGTGTGTCCCTTTGACGAGCCGCGGGTTGCCGCATCTGATCAATGAGTGGGAGAGAGATAGACGATAAAACGGCGGCTTGTCAAAGCCGAGTGTGCTCCTTTGACGTGCCGCATCTGAGCAATGAGTGCGAGAGAGAGAAAGGACAAAACAGCGTAAGGACCAATCCAAGTTGAGCCTCAGTCCCCGTTTACGGCCGTTCTTTCCAGGGCTCATGGTCGAAAAACACTCCGGTGCTTTTTCGAGGCAGCCGGATTCGGGCTTGCCACTACCACCGCGCACCGAATTACGAGGCCCAGCCTGTATTTTTGCGAGTGTGTGTGTGTGTGTGTCCCTTTGACGAGCCGCGGCTTGCCGCATCTGATCAATGAGTGGGAGAGAGATAGACGATAAAACGGCGGCTTGTCAAAGCCGAGTGTGCTCCTTTGACCTGCCGCATCTGAGCAATGAGTGCGAGAGAGAGAAAGGACAAAACAGTGTATGGACCAATGCAAGTTGAGCCTTAGTCCCCGTTTACGGTCGTTCTTTCCAGGGCTCATGGTCGGAAAGCACTCCGGTGCTTTTTCGGGGCACCTGCTTTCGGGCTTGCCACTACCACCGCGCACCGAATTACGAGGCCCAGCCAGTATTATTGCGAGTGTGTGTGTGTCCCTTTGACGAGCCGCGGGTTGCCGCATTTGATCAATGAGTGGGAGAGAGATAGACGATAAAACGGCGGCTTGTCAAAGCCGAGTGTGCTCCTTTGACCTGCCGCATCTGAGCAATGAGTTGCAGAGAGAGAACGGACAAAACAGCGTATGGACCAATGCAAGTTGAGCCTTAGTCCCCGTTTACGGCCGTTCTTTCCAGGGCTCATGGTCGGAAAGCACTCCGGTGTTTTTTCAGGGCACCCGGATTCGGGCTCGCCGCTACCACCGCGCATCAAATTACGAGGTCCAGCGTGTATTTTTGCGAGTGTGTGTGTGTCCCTTTGACGAGCCGCGGGTTGCCGCATCTGATCAATGAGTGGGAGAGAGATGGACGATAAAACGGCGGCTTGTCATAGCCGAGTGTGCTCCTTTGACGTGCCGCATCTGAGCAATGAGTGCGAGAGAGAGAACGGACAAAACAGTGTAAGGACCAATCCAAGTTGAGCCTCAGTCCCCGTTTACGGCCGTTCTTTCCAGGGCTCATGGTCGAAAAACACTCCGGTGCTTTTTCGGGGCAGCCGGATTCGGGCTCGCCAACACCACCGCGCACCGAATTACGAGGCCCAGCCTGTATTTTTGCGAGTGTGTGTGTGTGTGTCCCTTTGACGAGCCGCGGGTTGCCGCATCTGATCAATGAGTGGGAGAGAGATAGACGATAAAACGGCGGCTTGTCAAAGCCGAGTGTGCTCCTTTGACGTGCCGCATCTGAGCAATGAGTGCGAGAGAGAGAGAACGGACAAAACAGCGTATGGACCAATGCAAGCTGAGCCTTAGTCCCCGTTTACGGTCGTTCTTTCCAGAGGGCTCATGGTCGGAAAGCACTCCGGTGATTTTTCGGGGCACCCGGATTCGGGCTTGCCACTACCACCGCGCACCAAATTACGAGGCCCAGCCTGTATTTTTTTTTTTTTTTTCGTGTGTTATTCGTAGATATGCTAGTTTAAATTGTTACTGCCGTATAATTGAAATTTTTGTCAAATTTACCTTCTTATCGATGTTACGGTGAGTCGCCATCATGTTTCTTTATATACGGCCCTAAGAGCATCATTAAGCCTAAAAACTCGTTGACCAATCAAAAAGCGGAACAGCTTTCCTGTAGTTAAAAGATACGAATGGCCATACTCCGTCTATAAAGGTATTCTAGTTTAAGGGCAATGAAGCCAGGGCAGTATTCCGCAAGTGGATAAATTTTGTTGAATAATTAAAAATTAAGGAGCAGGAGTAGTGTAACGAATTAATAAAGGAAACTTAGATCAAGAATATAATGCCAATCAGTTTGGAAAATCGCTTCATGTAAATACAGAAGTTTCGAAAACGCCTTCAATTGAGGCGTGATACCTCACGCGTTCCGGAGAGTTCAAACAGTTGTATCCCTGCGCCTTAGCAAGGCGATGGAAGCTTGATATTCATGTAGCGTCCCCGCTTGGTTTTTCGGTTTTCCCGTGCCTCTACTGCGGGTTCCATCGTTAAGGCCGTAGTCTAATAAATAAGGGCAATGAAGCTAGGGTAGTATTTCGCAAGTGGATAAATTTTGTTGAATAATTAAAAATTAAGAAGCAGGAGTAGTAGCGATGACTCTTGATCTAGATTCAGCGCGGTACAATAATCTGTTCCATCTGGCAATCTTCGACAGGGACGAGGAAAGTGTAAACAAAAGAAAATCCTAACCTCTACCTCCGATTGATGGCCCTGGCTGGTGTGTGATTTTTGTGATAAGGACCATTCTCATTAGTTATTCCTAATTATATATATGATAACTGTCTGACCGAGCAAAAATAAGTGATTATTTTTTTATGTTCAGTAAGCAACAGCAATGAACAATTAAGTGTCATTTACCAGTGTGTTCATTACTCACACAATTTCATTCACCTCTTCAAGAGAATGGCTCATATAACTCTTCTTCGATGTGAAAAATTTATTTTTCACCCTTTGGTAAGCCAAATACATTCCTTCAGTCCAGCATACCATTCTGAATGACACTAAAATATCATCACGAAAATCATTTTTACAGAGCAGAGAAGCGAAACTAAAAACTTTGATCAGACATTATGCCTTAAAGATTTTAGATTCTTCTAAGTACTTTGTAATCATTCAGACTGTAGGCAAGTACCCAATAGTCACCATATATGCATACCCCTATATCAAGGGGTTCTTATGTCCTTGTGCATTAAGTATTACAATTACAATTTTTAACCATCATGTCAGTCAGTCCTGTGGCACAGGGTGTATTTTCAGGGTGTCTAGCATCAGGATTATCCTGATGCTATCTGGATTTGAGGTCAATCAGGATTTAATCCCAACTTTATCAGGATTTGAGGAAAAATCGGCCGTAAAATCAGGATTTGAGAAAAGTCGACCGTCCGATTGGATTTTTTATCAAGCTATTTTTGTGAAGTTGCATTCACCCAAATTCAAATTCACAAAAATCAGGATTTGATAAAATTGTGAAATCAGGATTAAGCAGTCAAAAATCAGGAATTCATCAGGATTTCCCAAAATGAAATAAATCTAGACACTCTGATTTTGTAGTCAAGTTAATTTGAACGTTTTTACTCTTATATAGATTGCGCATTGTATGTTGAGACACACGTCAAAGTATTGTTTATGTCACCATTCACCAGTGGTGCCACCTGACTGCATGCATTAACTTGTTGAGTGGTGCGAATTTAGAGCTAATCGAAGATTGACGTTCGTCTCAACATACGATGTGCGAGCTCTAGCCTAGAAGTTATTTGGATTCCCACTGTACGTATTCCAGTAAATATCGCCTATCCTCAGCAGATCATCATAGGTCCTAGAGCACCTGAATAACTTGACGTACGTTAACATATTGTAAAATATAATTAATGCTTTTTCATGACTCCTTTATCAAAGATATTGAATCAAGAAGACTATGCATGTAAGCCAAAGCCCGTGACACTTCTGAGTCATTTGAATGGCGCACCAATCGATGAGTGTAGAGTGCCAGCTTTGCATTGGTGAGCTTAGTTGGCCCACCGCGCATGCGTAGTAGCGGCCCAAGTGAATTTTTTTCTGATCGAGAGGCACTTTACTCAGTCGGTAATTAGTTCGGAAAAGTGGAATCTTGCAATTTGTCTCTAAATCATACGCTCTATAACTTTTGTCTTTAGAAATTTTGTCTGAAAATGGATTCAAAACGAGTTATGCGTGAAAAACTGAGTGTGGATTGATTCTCCATTGCCTCTCTGCAGTCTCTTTGAGTGTATGGAAATCACCGTTCTCTTCCCCTCCCTGCCCGCCCATTACGGAGTGCTATCAATCCTGTCACGCTTTTTTCTCACAGTGCTGATGCACTGCGCATGCCATGGTCTACACAATTCAATGTCTTTGCCCCTTCAATCAGTCTAATTGTGAGCAAGTATTCATTTTTTTTTTATGTATATATATTTTCAGCCTTGCAGAGCTCTTTTGAAGCTTACCGGTGAAATTAAGAATTTTCATCTCAGTTCAAAGCATAACGATAAAGAGGAGAAAGATAATGATGCTGATACTAACAGGGTTCAGTCCTTCGTCAAGTCTATACAAGACAGAAAAGGCAAGGTTTATAATAACGCTTTAGAGGCGATTGGTGACGTCAAGAGTGGGAGTACTCTTCTTGTTGGAGGTATGTTCGCAAAATTTCTCTTCTCTCAGTTTTTCACTAAATTAAATTTTGTTATGTGAGGAGGTAGCCAAGTGCCAAATGGACGTATTTATGCTATATGGAACTATGTGCAAGTGAAAAGATGGGTGTGCTTGTTAGTGGTCGGACCATAAGAATGAATGGGGATTTTGAAGCGCCAGTGACATCAGCGGCGACGATCGAGATGCATAACGGTGACGAGCTCGTCGTCAGGGCGGTTTAACTCATGAGCCCTGTCCACAATGCTCTTATCATATGTCCACTGCTCACGAGTTAGCGCTCAGTTCCTTTTGATTTAATGTCAAATCCCGCTTTTTCATTTTCTCAAAAGGAACTATATCCACCTTTACGTTGTTTCTTATCCAGCTTCCATAAGCACACCCCATTTTTTTGCTTGCTTGTAGTTCCTTTAAGCATAAATACGTCCAAATAGTATTCATTCCAGTCTTGTAAGACTCAATATTTGACATCTATGGAAAAACTTACGTACCTCCCGGGTAATTCCATGATAACTTACAGGAAATATGAATTGCGCAACACTTTAAAAATGAAACTACTCTAATTTGACCAAATTCCATTATTTGACTCTAAAGGTATCTAACTCCCTTTTTCCAGCTGAGGCACAAAATTTTTTGTGGATTTTTTTGAAATTTGTCTTTAGTAAAAATTTACTGCCATGTTGTGCAAAGAGACAGCAAGTATCGATGGCTTAAGCCCCTCCTTTTAATGTTTGCGAAAGCCTTCTCTATCATTTATCTTTCTTTCTTTATTTTTTTAACAAGTTACTGCCTGCGAAATAATAAATAGAAGGTTAGGTAGTTTGCTTTAAAGGATGAAAATAATTTCCTAAAATTTCAATTTCAACCGGAGAAATTCTCAACGCCTCAAATTTTCAGTCTTATAAGGAATATATGCAATATTTATTTTTTACTTTATCATTATTTTATTTTGTTTATTTGGATCGCAGGTTTTGGATTATGTGGTATCCCTGAAAGCTTAATTACAGCCCTCTTAAAAACCGAAATCAATGACTTGACAGTTGTTAGTAACAATGCTGGAGTTGATAATTATGGACTTGGACTGTGGTTGAAAGACAAAAGGATTCGTAAGATGATCTCTTCTTACGTCGGAGAGAATGCAGAGTTTGAGAAGCAGTATTTGTCGGGTGAATTAGAGGTTGAACTCACTCCCCAGGTAAAGATTGATTCAGCAATGCAAAAAGATGTCTCCTCACTTAAAAGCCGAGGAAAGGGACACACGAACTTCATGTGTGCCACATGAAGGAAGCCCAAAGTTCAGATGCTGTGCTTCAATTTTCAAATGTCTTACTGAGTCATTAAGTTGTAATTCATTATGCAGAGTGTTACAACTTTCCTCATAATCAAGTCTTTCAAATATGTCTTTCAATAAACAAACTGAAATTTATTATTGATTGATAATGTCAGGGTTATTCTTACTTACCTTCAGGCAGGAATCATAAAGTAAAAAACAAAACTTCATAGCTACCTGTTGTCTATGGACGTTATTTATGCTGAAAGACTATTGTGTTAAGAAAGCTAGGAGCGAAGAAACGAACCAAGAAACAAGGCAGTAAAAAACATGCTGTAATAAATCAGCCACAGGAACTTTTTAGGCAAGTGTTATGTATAGCAATTTGGCCTAGTGCATCACTAAGAGCAACTGTTTGACTCCAATTAGAAGGGGAAGTCAAAACTATACAAATGGTGGCCAGGGCTAAGATAGTCTGGCTATTTTTGGGTTTTTTCTTGTATTTGTACGTAGCATCTTTTCAAATGTAATACATATATTTTAACATTTTGCAGACTACATTTTGATATCTGCTTGCGTTTGCACCCTGCAAAAAAGTGTTTAGTACTTTTGAGACACCATTTACAAATAATCAAATGAAAATGTCGCAAATTTTCATGTGAAAAAATGTGTCTCACAAAGAAAACTGAAACATTGTAATTGACTTACAACCCTTTTGCTTCAAGTGGCAGAATACCTCTACCTCTAACATATGCCCTGTGACTTTTTTTATTAATGAGGAACTGTAGTCCAGTACAAATGAGGTGCAAAGGATGCCATGCACCTAAAAATCGAACTTGTGAGCCAAGGTGACACATTGTGCTGTGGGGATGCAAAGAATTACTGCGCGCTGATTGACATGAGACATGTGGTATTTTGAAGGCATCACTTATGTTTCCTTTGGTGCACTGATTGATTCAAAAGCCAATTTTACTCATGCATAAGAAAATGTGTGATTGCACGCAGTCAGATTTATTGATTTTTGTGTTCCTAGCTCCAAAATTGTGTTAGAGGATAATAGGATGCATTTCTACCAAACAGACCTATGTGCAGGTGAGAAATATGGGGTGTGCTCTAGAAAGCTGCATAAGAAGCAATGTAACAGTGCGCGTGATTCCTTTTGAAGAATTGGAAAAGCAGGATATTACATTCTATCAAACAGACCTATGTGACCTAGGGAGAAAAATCCTAATTGATTTGATGTCTGGTGACGCAAGAAGTATTCTTGTTAGTTTATTTTACACTAGTCGTTATACCAGGTAAAATAACCTCACGTGAAACGGTATGTTTTATACGTTTTAACAGGGAACTTTAGCTGAAAGAATTCGTGCAGGGGGTGCTGGAATTCCTGCTTTTTATACGCCGACTGGACAAGGAACTTTGATCGAAGAGGGAGGAGCTCCAATTAAATATTCCTCTGATGGCGGAGTAGCCATTGCAAGTCAAGGCCGCCAAGCTCAAATGTTTAACGGCCGGAACTACATTTTAGAAACAGCTATCATTGGCGACTTCTCCTTTATCAAAGCATGGAAAGCGGATCCTTTGGGAAATTTAATTTTTAGGTGAGTGACCTATAAAGTGCAATTCAGGTAATTATTAAGTTTTGCTTAGTGAGAAGCTCTGCTAAGCGTATATAAGTTTAATATACAGTTAGGTTTAATTTTTGGCTGACATTTTTGGTTTGTTTTTTTTATGAAATAGAATCAATTGAAGAACAGTTGCCATCAAATTTTAGACATACTCCATGTAAGCCGCAGCCTCATCCTAACCCGCCTCACGCACCCAAGATGGTTATGACTCCCAATCCTCCAAGATTAGCCCCTTACTATGATAAATATTACCCGGAAATGAAACATCATAACTCAAAAACAAAAAAGTTAGGATGGGCGAAGTAGTTTTTTACCCATCTCAGTTTATTGTTTTTTTTTTACTCATTACTTACCGATAAATTGAGCTATGAGCCTGAAATTAGTCGCACTTACTCTTGAAGTTTTGAGGACCTGAAGCAGTTCCTGAGAATGGCGAGTGTTTACATCCACCAAGTGAATTTTCAAACATGTATGTAAATTTCAATTTCCTTTGTACTTTGCAGGAAAACTGCCAGAAATTTTAACTCTCCTATGTGCCGTGCTGGAAAAACTGTAATTGCTGAAGTCGAAGAGATTGTCGAGATCGGTGACTTAGATCCTGACCATGTGCATGTTCCAGGTATTTTCGTAGACAGAATCATCAAAGCAGAAGTACTGGAGAAAAGGATAGAAGTAAGCTTTCACTATACTTTTAATTTTACTTGATCCTATTGCAGGTTTATTGATTTTGTCAAAGCAACATCAACAACCACTGTGACGTTGAATTTAAGTTGACCAATTCGTTGAGTCAGAAGGAAGATTCCCTAATTTATTTCTTCCATTTAGTTTAATTGCCAAGATGTAGCGGGTAAATTTTCTACTGCACTTTGTTTGTTTTGAATGCATGTGCCCAGACCCAAAAGAGGTAACAACAAGGTCTAAAAACTGTCCCGCATAAGTTTTGACCCTTTCATCATTATTTCGGTCACCAGACCAAGCACAAATGAATGAATAATTCACATCGGAGTCTAAGGAGACAAGAAACTCCATGATAGGTGTGTTTCATATTTTTTTGAAAGTCAAAAGTGTTCGAGGGGGAATGTTATCAGTGCGTGGTACTTCAATACATAGATAGAAAAGCCTGATGTCTTAAGTCTGTGGTCTACAGGTCTTACTTTTTTTTTGCAAAATTGACGAATGTTTGTGATTTTATTGCTTTTGGTGAATGAAGAACCAAAGTACGAACAAAATAAAAATTTACGCATCTATAAAGACACTTCGCATTTTGCAAAAATAAACTATTCCCAGCCTTGATTCCAAAGCTCCAAGGTTGTACATTTTTGGTGCTAAGTCTGTGAATTACACATTAAATAATCTATTTAGAGGGTTGTCACTCATTCATGTTCTGTTTCAGCGAATTAAATTGAACAAGAAAAATGATGAATCCTCAACGGTGGCTTCGACACCTGCAGCTGAAATGAGAGAACGCATAATTAAGAGAGTTGCCTTAGAATTCAAAAATGGAATGTATGGTATCCTTTTAAACGAATAGAAAACAATGATAAAATTTCCTAATCCAGAAGGTGCTGTCATATTACATTCTACCTCAAAGGTCTGTTGTGATTTGCTCTGAGGTGGAACTGGCTTTTTCACTAAATTAAAAAGAAAAAATATAATTTACGACTCTTGCATTTCAAAATTCGTTTTAAAACAATTTTAATTTCGGATCGGTTTTGCCGATCAATCTTCAGCAATGCCAGCAACTGATTAGGAATCCCCCGGATTTTTACGGTTTATCACATTACCTTCTCATTTTTGTCCTCATTTTTAGCATGAAAAATAATACAAAAATCACTAAACTGACTTTTGCTCAAAGTTCTGTGTAGAAGTTCATTTTTCCTTAACACAAGTTCAGTCAATTTGGGTATTGGTATGCCTATGTTGGCTAGCAATTACATTTTACCAGGGATGACGGTGACTCTGCAGAGTGAGAATGGTGTTCTAGGTTTGGGAGGATATCCATCTAGTAAAAAAGAAGTTGATCCAGACTTGATAAATGCCGGAAAAGAAACAGTGACTGTTGTCGATGGAGCCAGCTACTTTGGAAGTGACGAAAGTTTTGCTATGATTCGAGGGTTGGTAACATTACGTTTTTTTCACCTCTATTTTCAAGATTGTCTCATTGAAAATATATGTGTGAAATCTGAGAAATTCACACACCAGATGAGGACCTAATACCTCCACTTATTTTGGCAAAGTTTGTACTGGTTGAAAGCTTACAGAGAACCTTTTCCTCTCGATCTTGTATTTGCTCCCGATGAGGTCTCTTGCACTTTGTCAGTACCTGGAAATAGCATTTAAAGCTGTCCTTTTTTGCGTTGACCAACAAACGACCATCTTGTCTTAGTAGTCCGAGGCACTATTTTGACCTCCTTGCGTGAAAATTTAGTGGAAGGTGTGATTCCCAGTAAAGATTTTATACTTGAAAAGGTTTCTTTTCTCATGTCTCTCTCTTTATCCATTTACTAACTTCAGACACGTCTTTCCATGTGATTTTCATGTTTTTCACAATCTTGATGTCTTGTTATTGCAATTTCCTCATTCTTTTTATACTACTTCTCGTGAAATTCAAATTTATATGAGTTTTCGCTTGTTTTCTGGGCTCATCCATCCACTTTCTGCATGAGTAAATGATAATAATTACCAGAATCATTGTTAATAGGTAACATACTTATTTGAATTTATATTTCTAAGAAAATTGCACACATATACGGACATCAAAGGAAAGAGGGAACATGACTGTTTGATTAAATATCAAAATTTAGTTATACATGTGTTTTTTTTTTTTTAAAAAAAACTTCCATGAGCTTTCATAAATATATTTAGTATTTTAAAGAGGAAGGACATTCCCTCAAATTCAAGTTAAATTATTTTTCTGTGAGAAAATGCGTATTTGTAACTGCTTATTGAATGCTCACAGATGGAGCCACTAAAAACTTTGGTGTATTTTCAAGAATTACTTTATTTTCTCAGTATGTTTCAAGTCATCCTTTTGTCTTTACGCTTATTTCTGCACACAGAGGACATATCCATTTAACAATTTTGGGCGCTATGGAAGTATCGCAATACGGAGATCTGGCTAATTGGATGATCCCTGGAAAAATGGTAAAAGGCATGGGAGGAGCTATGGATCTAGTCTCAGCACCAAATACTAAAGTTGTTGTGGCCATGGAACACACAGCCAAGGATGGAGGCCACAAAATTGTCAGTGAATGTCAGTTACCTCTTACAGGCAGAAATGTTGTTGATTTAATCATCACTGAAAAGGTAAAAAAAGAATTCTTGTCCTCCTATTTCTTCTTACATTTTTTGAAAAGTTAAAATAATTTTAATTTTGCAATTTTAGCTTTCAATTATCAATTATGTACCTAGCACAAACATACCAACAGAAATAGGAATTACCGACCCATAATTTTCTAAGGATCTCTATCCTTAGAAATGGTATACTTAGAAACATGTTTTTGGGGGAAACCTATGACCATTTCTGTTTCTAACAATCTTCAGGAATGGGCCTCCCAACAGGGCATGCATTTAAGCACAACGTAGCATTTTTTCCACTTAAAATTTCATGAAACAATGAATCACATAATGGGAAATTTAAGAATCAATTATTAAACAAGTTAAAAGCGTTTACAATTGATATTGGTTCAACGGCTAAAATACAATTGACGTCATTTGTATGAACTATTTATATTTGAACTACGTTAAATATATTTGTTAATACCTTGTTCAGGAGTTGATCTTCAAACTCTCTGTTGTGTGAATTGTTTTCTTTGTAAAAGTTTGAAGAGGAACCAACAAACGTTAATTCCTAGCTCAAAACTTGCCTAGTGGCCCATTAACTTTTCTTTTTTCAAAGGAGAACTTTTTTGCTTGGACAGTTATCATCAATGGAGATTTTACTTTTGGTTCTTCTTTTCTTTCTCCAGGGTGTATTTGAAGTGAATAAAGAATCCGGACTTACACTTATAGAAATTGCAGAAGGGATTGAAGTGCCCGAGCTTATCATGTCTACTGGCTGCAGTTTTGAAGTTTCTCCTGATTTAAAGAAAATGGGACAGGTTGAAGTTTAAATCTAATCAGGAGTCATTCATGCTGTTTATCGATTTTGAGGAATTTCTCACATTTCTTAACAATGTTGAAAGATCTTGCATCGTAAATGAGAGAGCTAACAGAACAGTCTGTTGGAATGAAGATTCTAGCTGACAGAAGAATTGGAAGATATGCTCTTTGGATCCTGTAGCATGTCTCTTTCATGTGTGCCATATTAATGTATTTATCACTTTTTTAACATTTTTTCAACAATGTCAACAACTTTTTTTTCATTTTTAACTTCCAATGCTGCTGTAATGCTGAAACCGATAATGATTACCTCTGCTCTTTAGGTCATTTTAACCTGACTTTGAAATTGAAGAGCACTTTTGGAGGCCTTGAAATTTTCAAGATTATATACCACTACTGTATTTTTAAAGCAGAATACAATTTTGCTGTTTAACGCCTGAATATTTAATTACGCTTTTTCTTTGTAACATCTAAATAAGTCAGCTCCTTTTGAATAAGTACAAGGCTGTTCTCATTTGTATGTCAGTTGCCATACTTCTAAATGAAATTTTCATGAGTTGTGAAATTCTTAAAAATTTACAATGTTGAAATTCCAGATTTTAAAGTGTGTATTTGCAGAAATGAAGAAGTCCTCTGAAAATTATTAATTTTTAATTTACAGCAGTTCTCAGAGTGAAACGTTTAAAATGAGGAAATTTCACCTCATAATAATAAACATACAAATTTAGAGTTGCCCTCCTTCATCTGAAAATACTTACAAGTTGTATTTGTTTTTGAAGACAAAAGAATGAACACCTATTCTTTAATATCCTGAAAACACTCCCTTTTTTGTTCACAGCACGAAGTTTATTTTATTTAATTCAATTTTGTTCAAATTTTCTATGATTTTTCAAAATTGTATTTTTTAATGCATTTTTGCAATTCTTATCAGACTTATAGGTCTGATAAGAACCTAACTAACCTAATACTATCTTCTGGAGAGGAATTATTGTTGTATCAATGGGTTTAGTAAAATAAAACACAGCTCGTACAGAAAGAATCATATTATCAAGGAGAGATCAGCATACAAGTCTCTGTGTGAACAGAAATTTTTTTGGTGCTTTCTCTTCATGCAAGCTCAAATAGATGGGTGTTCAGAAATGCAATGCCTGTAATTTAAATTTTTTAGAACTATGCATTTAAGGATAGGATCATGGATGAACTGTTCTGGCTTATCCAGTTTTTGATATCTTAGGTAATTCCCAAATGAGATGGTTCCAAAAATTGTGCCTCTCACATAAAGGGTAGAAAAAAATCTGTGATAACAATTTTTTAGCTTGGAGTTACTTCCTAAGATTCTTTTCGAGCGAAAAAAAATACAGTGAACTTACTGAATGTGACATCATACCAAGTTCCTGTATAGTGTAAATGCATTAAGTTTATAACATAAGTTGCCGTGCAGATTTTTAAAATTTTCTTCGCAATTTTTTTCTCTTTTTTCCATTGTGGAGACTGAACGCTTCTACCTGTCTAGGAAGTCATGAGACTTTGGGGGGTCCCATTGCGTCAAGACAGCCCTGCTCTATGGAGTCAGGATTTTTTTACAGAACAACCAATCAATCAAACATTGATAGTCACTTTATTTACTAAAAATTTAGTGTGGTCCAGGCCATTAAAAGTAGAGGGTGAAGTCAGTGACTGGCTCGGGGTTTTGTTTAAGGATTGAAATGCAGGTATTTGGGCTCCTTAAATTGACCGTTGCTCACTAAAGCAAGTCAACCCCTAAACAAAGACAGGGCCGCTCACCCATAACTTCTCGTCGTGTGGGATGTAATAAATTCCTGATAAATGTCTCTAAAACTATCAATGTTTGTTGTTTTGAATTAGTTCTTGATGTATTGTTTTTTAATAAATCGATCTATTGGATATGTTGATTTTCAATTTATCAAAACCTGATAATAGTTGTCTATGTACCACGAGAATTGGTTTGTTGTTCACGCATCAACACAGGATTATTTGTTCATTTATTTTTTAAGCATCTGTATTAAAATGTTTTGTTGATAATATATTTTTATTACAAAATGGAAAGTTTTTCTATTAATTTTTCAGCTATCCGCTGAAAACGCTCCAGAGAAAGAGTAATAAAGTGGTCAGAAAAGCTCCTTTTTGACCAGTTTTTGACTGTTTCTCGGCTCAGGAAGCCTCGCCGAGAGTCGGGACCGTGCGGAATCGTTTCTACGCCTCAAACTACAAAGAATGCGACCGAAATCTGGAAATATTTTTCTCAGTCCAAAATCGAGTAAAATCGACAGGGGTTGCATAGACTTTTTTAGCGTCAAAATCGAAAGTTCGCCGATCGGGCCAAAACCGAGTAAGCCCGCTTGGAAATGACCAACTGAGGGAGATTGTCCAGTCAGAAAAGCTCCGCGAGTCCCTCGCTTCGAGCTACCCGGTGAAAACGCTTCAAAGAAAAAGTCAAAAAATTCGTCGAAAAAGCCAGTTTTTGACCAGTTTTTGACTGTTTCTCGGCTCAGGAAGCCTCGCCGAGAGTCGGGACCGTGCGGAATCGATTCTAAGCCTCCAACTAGGTAGGATGCGACTGAAATCTGGAAATTTTTTTCTCAGTCCCAAATCGAGAAAAATCGACAGGGGTTACATGGACTAAATTTTTCGGGTAAAAATCGAAAGTTCGCCGATCGGGCCAAAACCGAGTAAGCCCGCTTGGAAATGACCCACTGAGGGAAATTGTCCAGTCAGAAAAGCTCCGTCAGTCCCTCGCTTCGAGCTACCCGGTGAAAACGCTTCAAAGAAAAAGTCAAAAAATTCGTCGAAAAAGCTCGTTTTTGACCAGATTATCCCTGTTTCTCGGCTCAGGAAGCCTCGTCGAGAGTCGGGACCGCGAGGAATCGATTCTACGCCTCCAACTAGGTAGGATGCGACTGAAATCTGGAAATTTTTTTCTTAGTCCCAAATCGAGAAAAATCGACAGGGGTTACATGGACTAAATTTTTCGGGTCAAATTCGAAATTTCGCGGATCGGGTTTGGGACCTAATAAGTTCGCTTGGAATTGACCCGCTGATTGCGATTTTCGAGTCGGAAAAGCTCTGTCAATCCCTCGCTTCAAGCTATCCACTTAAATTGCTCCAGAGAAACAGGCAAAAAGTGGTCAGGAAAGCCAGTTTTTGACTGTTTCTCGGCTCAGGAAGCCTCGCCGAGAGTCGGGACCGTGCGGAATCGATTCCAAGCCTTCAACTACGTAGGATGCGACTGAAATCTCGAAATTTTTCTCTCAGTCAAAAAACGAGAAATATCAATAGGGGTTACAAGGACTAAATTTTTAGCGTCAAAATCGAAAGTTTGCCACCGGGCCGACACCAAGTAAGCTCGCTTGAAATAAACCCGCTGAGTGGGATTTTTCATTCGGAAAAGCTTCGCGAGTCCCTCGCTTCGAGCTATCCGCTGAAAACGCTCCAGAGTAAGATTCAAAAAGTGGTCAGAAAAGCTCGTTTTTGACCAGTTTTTGACTGTTTCTTGGGTCATGACGACTCGTTGAGTCTCGGGACTGTGCGAAATCGATTTCACGCCTCCAACAACGAAGGATGAAACTGAAATCTCGAAATTGTTTTATCAGTCCAAAATAAAAAAAAAATCGACTGGGGTTACAACGAATAAATTTTTAGCATCAAAATCTAAATTTCGCCGATTGGGCCGAAACCAGATAAGCTCGCTTGGAATCGATCCGCTGGATGCGATTTTTGATTCGGAAAAGCTCTGTCAGTCCCTCGCTTCGAGCAATCCGCTGAAAACACTCTAGAGAAAGTGTCAAAAAGTGGTCAGAAAAGCTCGTTTATGACCAGTTTTTGACTGTTTCTCGGCTCTGGAAGCCTCGCTGAGAGTCGAGACCGTGCGGAATCGATTCCACGCCTCCAACAACGAAGAATGCGACTGAAATCTCGAAATTTTTTTCTCAGTCCCAAATCGAGAAAAATCGACAGGGGTTACATGGACTATATTTTTAGCATGAAAATCAAAAGTTCGCCGATAGGGTCGGAACCAAGTAAGCTCGCTTGAAATGGACACGCTGAGTGCGATTTTTTAGTCGGTAAAGCTCCGCGAGTCCCTCGCTTCCAGCTAGTCGCTGAAAACGCTCCAGAGAAAGAGTCAAAAAGTGGTCAGAAAAGCTCGTTTTTGACCAGTGTTTGTTTTTGATCAGGAAGTCAATGATTCGCCTTCAAAATGCCGGGTATGCAAAATGACTGCCCTGGCGCACGTATAGTGGTATCAGAATTTTGCAGTAAGTATCTGGATTGTTTCGATGGCGCTCTTTTGTATCCATTGTGCGTGGCCTTGCACAAAGAAGTTTACAAAAAAGTTCATAATTTTGGGTTGAAATCGAGCCGCACATTCGAAAAAAGCCGAGGCATATTATTTTGAAAAACTAATTAGATTGTTTTTGGCGTGTCCGTCTTTTTTCAATGAAGAGAGCGCAGGCGGCTGGATCAGATAGCGTTTTTTAAGTTCCTAGGTTCGGTCATCGTATTCTAAAGCGAAACTGAAAGAGTCCCCGTTTACAAGATCGTAACTTACTCTAAAGCGGTTGTTAATTTAAAAAGTTTCGCTCGGATAAAATGAGCTTTCTTTGATTAACTGTGAATAATCAAAATTGAAGAAAAGGTACATTGGCCACTGGTGCATTAGGAAAGCGTAAAGCATGGATGGATGGATGGAGCATCGATGACCATCTAAATCTTATCTGCTAAGGAATTGTAAGTGTGAAACCCTTTTTTCGGTCTTTAAATGATCCAAATCCACCAACAAGTTTAAAACACTATTTGCAAAAATGCGTATCTCTTGATGAGGTTTCGATTCTTAGTGCCAAAAACGCAAATCTCGGCATTTCGGCTCTTTATGTTTGTTGAGGTGATTCGATGGACGCCATATTTTGTGTCAAAACGACATGCGATGTATCGTATAGATTAGTTCCATTTTTTCAGCTACTCGTCATTTTTATCGAATTTTGAGATCGCAATTTTGGTGTCGGGAGACTGAAAAATTCAACCTACCTAGGCCTCCCCATATTATACGTAGGCGTGGTTTTTTTGGAGAGAAAGTCTCGCATTCGAGTGCAGTTTCGATATCAGTATTGAATGCGATATTTTTCATCTAAAAGAGCCACGCCTTTATTACGTTGAATTTGTTTGTCAAAATCGGCAAAAGAATTCTTTAGTCCCCTGACAACAGAATTGCGATCTCAAAATTCGAGAAAAATGACAATGTAGCTGAGAAAATGGAACTAGTCGATGCGATATATCGTACGTCGTTCTGACTCATAGCCTCCATCGAATCACTTTAAACTCATAAACCTAATCACAATTACAATGACATAATTAAGGGCGATTGGTTCATGACACATCTTGTAATCCATCTGCAATCTATGCATTGAATCTCCTCCTACCCATGGATAATTTTTGCGAGGCACTGAAAGGGAATACCTAATACTGAGGAGGCCTTTCTTGGAGGTGTTATAGTCAGCTTCTGCTGTTTTCTCCATACGATCGGGTCTTCGTAAACTTCGTAAGTTAAATTTCATATTAGGTACCTATCTATCCTGGTTACGAATCTGGTGCTTTGATTATTCACGATTTTTTCTGAAAAATGCAGTAGGTAAGCATTTCAATGTAGCTAGATTGTTTGTTGTGTTTTAATTATCTAAGTCTTTAAGCATTCAAAATTTTCTCGAAGTTTAATCTTTGATAACAAATACTCGTATTATGGTCCTTGGTACGGTAATAAAATTTAAAATTAAATCTTAATTTCTCAATTAATCGTCATAATTCATCTTAAATAACAGTGATTGAAAACATTTCCACGTTGAATTTGGTACCGTCATGTTGGGACACAATTCAATGCTGCGTTGGCGTGGCGTTCTCAGTACATTCACGTGTTCGCCTTCACTGTGCATTGGTAGGCAATTTCTCGACTCAGGATCACGTTGATTTGCATCTAGTTCTGTAATATTGCGATAAATCGTTTTCGATAAATTAGCGATTTTATTTTACATTCATGCGATGAAATCGTCGCAACTTTTAGCAATTTTTTATCTGATAACATTGCAATAAATTGACGTCGATGAAATTGCGATATACTCTCCGATCAAATCGCAACTTATGGCGATCACTGCTCCTTGGGAAGTGCGACGAAAAAGGATAGAAATCAACGTACTCCTAAGTCGAGAAATTGCCTGTACTTGCATAGTGAAGGCGAACATGTGAATGCGCTTACTGAGGATATCCTGCTGCGCCGACAAAGCTGTGAAGTGACGCAAAACCTCTACTGGCGGAAGCTGCACTTTTTGCTTTAAGTTCGCGCCAAAGGTCCGTCCCTGCGATTTATAACTTAAGTATTTGGTAGCTTTGCCATGATATTTAATCATTACTCAATCTCGTAAATAAAAACAAAAGATCAATGGACTTACAGTAGGTACCTACCTGTTACCTTAATTTTTTTTTTACACATTATTATAGAGTTAAGGTGAAAAATTCGTGATGCAACCTAGTTTTTATGAAACCCACATGGAAATTTGCGGGGTTTGGAGGACAAGGCACACATAAAAGCGGTTTTTGCTATTCCGAGAAATACTTACGTGTTTGAAGTTTCGAAATTAAGTACCTACATGGGTCCTTATGTCGGAATGAAAGTTCAAACTTACTTTTTGATGATTGAAAATTGGAATTTGGGAGCAAATTTGTCACAGAATATGCATTAAGACTATAGTTTCACTTGAAATCATTAATATCTCAATTTTTTCGAAAACGGTACTTATGCGCTTTTTCCGTCAAACCCCTTCAATGTTACCGCCCATTTCCCAGCTACTCAAAAACCAGGTAATAATTTGCACTATTGGCTGTCACACTAACTCCACTAGGTAACATTATTGTGTCATCTAAGATCAAATTTTAATTTTCATATTCAGGTTTTTATTGTCTTCATATTATTTTTCAGTCAATAATAGACTCTTGAATGACGTGCGGCATGGCTCAATATAAATATGCTATTGATCCAAGCTTTGCAACAAAAGCCATCCATACAGGTGCCAAACCAGAACAGTGGACTAACAATGAAATAGTCCCACCTATTGTTCTCTCAACAACTTTCAAGCAATTAGGACCAGGACAGGACAAGGTAAGGATCTTTTGTACATTTCATATAAAGGCTTTCTCAAAGTGATGCGGTCAGACTAGTCTACATAAATTGGATTTCACTCTGTTTCAACTGAAAGAAATACTTTTCGGGACAGTTATCATTTTTCCAAAGAAAATAAATTGTCTAAGTCCTCTATCTACTTTCTCCCCATTTACCCCCAAGATTTCGTAATAAAGCAAAGCTGTTTAATATAGATCGCGTTAAGCAGAAAGGAACCAAACCCACATTAGCCACTATTGCCAAATTTAATTAGAAAATTAAATTTTTTACATGAGAATGGTCGTACTGATATTCGTGCAACTTTCAGTGAATTTTCTGCATGGTTCGAGGCAAATTCCTGAAAATTCACAAAGGAATCCGCATAAAAGTTCCCTCTTTCGTAAAAAATTAAATTGTCCAGTTAAATTTGGCAATGGTTCATGTGGCTTGGTTCCTCTCTGCTAAACGCAGTCCATATATTCTGCATTCATCACCATGATTTACAATCAGGTTTGTAAAAAAAAATAAGAAAAAAATAATCTTAAATTTGTATGAAAAAACTCCTAAGATAAACTAAAAACAAAATAATTTGTAAAATTATAATCTGTTATGTTTTTTTTTTTTTTTTTTTTTTTTTTTTTTTTTTTATTTTTATTGAATACTAGGATTTTATTTTGGGACTTTTACCCAAGCTGCATTGAAACCCTCGCGAAATATTCGTAGGAGATTGATCAGTGGGAGATATTTATCGGTTGTATTGCTTTTAAAATTAATTGTAGTACGTCGGAGAGTTTTGTAAAAGTGAGAATGTTTGTTTGTGTAAAATTAATTACTGGTCTGTTGACGTGTAATTCTTTTTTTTTTCGTGAAGTTTTTTTAAAAACTTAATTCCTGATATCCGGGTGAACGAATTCGATCAGTAGAAATTATTTTGTATCATCGAGGGGAGATGAACGAAACAAATTAACAAGAGGTAATCCTCGGCAAAAATAACCTTCCAAGTTGCTCAGAACTTATTCAAAAATCGGAAATGAGAAAATGGACGAAGGCCTGAAATTCAGCGACCAATCAGAGCGCGGCAACTTATTTGTATTAAAAGGATTGAGATGAAGATAATTTCCCTACCTCGGTTTTCTGTTTTTCGAGTGTGCATTTCCGGAGAGGTGGAAAAAGCGGTAGCGCCTTCAATTTTTGAAAATGCAACGCGCACAACCGTTGAACACGAACAGTTGTATCATGGCGCCGTAATCAACTCTGTCTACTCTTTGTAAAGCGGGAAGCTCTACAATTTTGACCGGCTGGTCCGCGAACCCATATGTAGAATTTTTCACAGGAAAAATATTTTGAAATTATGTTGCGATTTCCCCCCGATTTTTCGGCGATGAAATCGCTAGGATCATCAACATCTGAGCGATCATCCTCAATCTTGTCGCAATTTTATCTCTTCAAAATCGTGTTTGATGAAAATCGAAATTTTATTTCAATTTATCACGATTTTCTGATCAATTATATCGCGATTTCATTTCAAATTAATGCGATGAAATCGCAATTCAGCGCAACTTTCTATCCGATGTTATTGCAATAAATCGACGTCTGAATAATTGCGATACATTCTACATCAAATTGCATTCTATCCTGATCACCGCTACTTGGGAATGAGGCAAAATAGTTACCTTGCGGGCGATTCCGCCGATGGAGTACAACATAGGCAATATCATCGTAAGCTCTCCATGTCAGTCTATGGGTGCTAAGTTTATGAAACTTTCTACGGGCGTTTTCCTGAATTTTAATTTTTGTGGCAGGGTTACGATTATGGAAGGAGCAACAACCCATCGAGAGAAATGCTGGAGAAATGTCTCGCAGCTTTGGAAGGTGGATTGTTCTGCAGCTGTTTTTCTTCAGGCTTAGGAGCTACAAGTTCCATTGTGAATGCACTTTTAAATGCAGGCGATCATGTTATCTGCATAAAAAGTGTGTACGGTGGAAACTTCAGGTACTTTAGCGAAGTTGCGCCTAGGTCTGGTATTGAAATTTCCTTTGTCGACGTCTCAGACATGAATATTTTACTCGATACCTTCAAAAGCAACACAAAGGTAATTAGTCGACATAGTTCAACAGGGTGACAAATTCAATCAAACGTCAAAGGAAACTCTTAGAAAAGTAGATAATTTTTTCCAAGCCTGAAAAGTCCGGTAGGGGAGACCGGGGTTATGTTGGCCACGGGGCTATGATAACCATCGTGAGAATTTTGGAGGGGAAAACGTAAATTTGATATTTTGATCAGAGAAAAGGTTGGCAGCTATGTAGACTAACAATTTAAAATATCAACATCGATGGTGTCCCCCTCTGTAATGCTCTGCGCTGTAACATTCTTGTTTACCTTCGAAAATAGCCCGAAAATGCGATTTTTTAAATTTTGAATTTTGTTTGCTGTGGCGAGTATTTATTTTGTATCTTATTAATATTTGTTTCTATTTGAAGTAGACCCCTTTCCTTTGATTTTAGTGTATGGGTTTATGGCTTTCGACTCCTTGTTTCTTAGTTGGATGACTTTGATTTGAGGTAACCTCCATCGGGGCTATGTGGACCATTTTTCTGGGGCTATGTTGACCTACTAAGAAGACATACATTTTATATTTTTTTTTGCGTAAGGTTTCAAAACCATTTTCTTCGAGTTTAAACGGTCCTATTTAGTGGAGAAGTAGATGATCTTCTTATTTTTTAAGTTACTTTTCACGCCAACTCACTTATTAAAGTTGATTTTGTTCTTTAAAAACAAAAAATTTTGATTTTTAAATTTTCAGCTCCAAGGTATTGGGTTCTATAAACATTACGAAAGATAAGTGTAAGGGCACAATACTAACCTTTTTAAGTGCAATTACAATGAACTGAACAAGGTTAACATAGCTTCCTTACAGGTGGCTCACTTAGCCCCGGGGGTGGCCAATATAGCCCCAAGCAGGGGCTATGTTGACCAAAATGGATTTTCTTTGAAAAACGCATGAAACTCACAAAATCAAGTATTTTGTACAATGTTTTCAGTTGATTTTAATTTTACACAGTATGCTCAAGGATTAGAGCATTAATAAAATGGCATTCTATTCTTCTGTTTCTTCAGACACAAGTTTTCAAAAAATCTGGTCAACATAGCCCCGGTCTCCCCTAATCTTGAAATTTTTTCCTCCAGTCAAAAGATTGCATCCTTTCCATTTTATGAGTTTTGGTGCTAGAACTTTTTATAAACACGAGAAAATTGACTTAAAAATGAAAAACTAGGGACAATTCACGAATGTTTTTTTACAAAACTGCACTTATGCGCCTAATCCTACAAACCCCTCCACCTCCACCCTCCATTACTCTTTTTTTTAAGTCTTTTTCAAATACGGAGGCACATAAGTACACGCAAGTCGTTTTTAGTTCTCTCCAGCGCTCCACGATATCATACCTATCTGCCATAGCCTCCTATCCTGCCTGAGTCAACTCATGTAATTTGAGCATTTTCCCGGAAATTTGGTCTTTCCTGAATCTCACCCACCATGCAAGGGACCTGGAGGTATTTTATACCTCCCAGCGTAGAGAGCCGCCTCCTTTGGGAACTTTTTAAAAAGTGGCCTTAATCCATGTTGAGGTTAATCCAAAGTAACAATTCAATGAAAATTTGGTGGATTTTGCCCCTCCTGAGGTTAATATGAGTTAGTTCCAGGAGTACTTCATTACAAAAAAGCGCCATAGAATTGGACATATTTAAGCAACACGAATGGACCACTAGACCAGGTACGAATTTCAGCATTCTGATACATGTTCCTAAACCAAAATTTCACGTAAAATGCGATGCGCATAGCAAAAGATACCGAAATCAACTCCTTACAAAGATATTTAATGATTCATGATGCGTGAATTCAAACCGCCCGCTCATGAAAACTCAATGCTCTACGTGATTCACATCGCGCGCTAAACGTTCATCACGATAGTCTCTGCGATAAAATCTGGAAACCTCAATCTTGACGGTTTGGCTCAGCTATAGCAAATTTCTGGTGGTTTGAACAACATATGATGGGAAATGAACATTGCTCGATGAAGAAGCTTGCTGAAACCGTTGTAGCGCGCGATTTGACTCGAGTAGAGCTTTGAGTTTCTTGTGAGCGGGCAGTTCAAATTCCTCGTAACCAATGTGAAATAAAAACGTTGAAATCTTCGTTAGGAGTTAGTTTCAGTAATATTCGTTGCGCTAATCGTGTTCTACGTGAAATTCTGGTTAAGAAACATGTATCAGATTGCTTAAATTCGTACCTTGTCTAGTGGTTCATTGACCAAGTAAAAGATTCCTGAAGCACCAAACACTCAACTCAAATAATGCCAGGCAGGGTCTCAAACTTCTCAGAGGGCTGACATGTTAAGGCCTATTTTTGTGGTGAATGTTACATTTTAGGGGTGCAAAATTGAAAACAACGGGTCAGTTGTATTAGTCTTATTGTTAGAGTTGGGTCCAGATTGTGCTATATTGTCCATCGAAAAACACATCATGTGACATTATCGACCGTGGTAGTGCATAACTATCTTGGTCTCCTCTAGCTAAGGCATCCATGCTTTAGATCGAGCAAGCAAGAAAAATGTGTGCATTAGTATCACTGATTGATGAAGTAGAAGTGGAGGAAACCAATGACAAGCACTTAACATGTATTATTCATAACACATATCCCTAATAGCAGAACCATAGAAGGAAAATATGAAGATTATGTACGAAAGTTAATTTTTTTTATATAACGCATGCATACGAAAGTATTAAAAGTGAACATTTTTATGTAACCATTATAAAAAAGTCATAATTTTCGTGAGCTTTTCGCAAAAATATTAAAAAATCTTCTAACTCGCGAAAAGCTCACAAAAATGATGACTTTTTTATACATGATAGTTACATAAAAATGTTCACTTTTAACACTTTCATATGCATGCGTTATATAAAAAAATAAAAAAATTGTCCATAAAAAATTACCTTATCTAGCTTTTGTCATTTTTTATATTACGGTCAGGTCTGAACTTTGATTTTTTTCATATAAGCGTTACACGTTTTTTATATAAAACTACCATTTAGATAACAGATATGTTTTTTTTATATGTTTTTTTTTTAGAAAAACCCAAATTTGTTCTGCCACTAGAGATGTGCACGAAAAAGATCTTGTGATGTCACTTTGAGTCTATCTTTCCCTTTAGGTAATCAATTTTTGTTCCATCCACAGCTTCTATGGTTAGAGAATCCAACAAATCCCATGATGGACGTGGTAGATGTCCCTACAATTTCGAAAGTTGTGAAGGATCGGAATGAAAAAATCATCATTGTGGTGGACAATACGTTTCAAACATCATTCTTTCAGGTAACCGTCATCAATTTTCATTTTACTTTCGTGCAACAAGTTCACAATAGCACTTTTAGACGGAGGGTATAGATTCGATCGACATGAATCGATCAAAATCTAAAGACGTGAACCGATCGACGTGATTCGATCGACTAAACTGTGATTCGATCGACAAACCTGCGTGAATAGATCACCGACAAATCCGTGAGTCGGTCGAATCGGCGCGAGAGGATGGAGATCAAGGGTTATGAAAATGATGGACAAATACACAGCAAAACAGGATACAAATCTATGTACTCCTAAGTCGAGAAATTGCCTACCTATGCACAGTGAAGGCGATTTTGTGCGCATATTGGGGACGCCACCACGCCAACATAGCAAGCAGAGACATCCGTTCGAAGTTAGAATTCGAAGTAGTTATTATACCTAAATAAATATAATCATAAATATAATCATAAAAAAATCATATCTGCACGTGCGTATCAACTTGTGACGGAACAGGGCACATTCAAATATGAGAGCACTCCATCCACGGGGACCCAAGTCAGTGCGTCCAACAGTCGATTAATCTTATCATTTTAATTGAATTCAGATGATAAAAAGAGATATATCTAGCTGATTTGCGTTCAACGGACATTTGTCAGTAAATTTGTATCCATTTCACCCCCCCCCCCCCANATTAAATTTTGATTCTTCCAACGCTACCTCGGATTTTTTGCCCACTGAGCATCGACTTATTTAGTTAGACTTAGTTAGATCAAGGGTGATTTTTTATATTTTATTTCGACATTTCCGTAATACTCGTATTTGAACCAAAATTATGCAGAATACACAGTTTTTTGTTTTGTTTTGTTTTTTTCTGTTTCACGTGGAGGAGGTTAAGGGGAATCAGTCGGCTAACAATACCCAATGCGGGGTCAAGTGTGCCTTACTTTTGTCTATTACTGAGTCTTTATGACAACAGGTTATCTTTAATTTTACTAGGTTTCTAATAAAGAGAGAAAAAAGTAAAAGAACGAGAGGAGGAGAAGGAGTGACCGAAGAGGAAGAGGTACACAGATTCTAGGGAAACGACGTTGTCTTTTCTTTGTGCGTGACCACCATTGGACCTCCTTCGTGAAACACTTCCACCCAGCCCCTTCTTTGTGTAGTGATCAAATTGTTATTTGAAAACTTTCAGAGGCCTTTGGAACTGGGAGCGGATATTTCTGTTCATTCTCTAACAAAATATTTAAATGGTCACTCGGATGTGGTTATGGGTGCAACTATAACAAACAATGGAACAATTAATAGCAGAATTCAGTTCGTTCAAAATGGTAAGTTTCCTATCTGAGTATGGACGGTTACTTTTTATCTAAGATGAATATCAACTGGAAGTGAGCAAACATCAAAAGCTTTCGGTGCTGATTTTTGAAAAACTCAACTCAATTAATGGGAAAATATCTTCCCAAAACAAGGAAAAGAAGAAGAAGGAAGTTGGTCAACCAGCTTGAGAAAGCACAGAGTCATGTAAGAAGGAAGCTAGGCTGATAAATGTGGAGGTAAATAATCTAACAATTCCTCAACCAGAGATCAGAGGTTTCAGACTTTTGTAAATGAGCAACTCCAAGAAATTAGAAGCGAGATGTTTAAGCATGTGTTGAAATCATTAATTGTTGGGTGTGATTGATACAAAGGCTGTCCCAAGAGTACTGCCCCTTTACCCTCATAATGCGATAGAAAGCAGCTACCTATGAAGATGCAGTTTGTGTGAGGTTTTAGTCCTAGTAATTTTGTATCAAACAAGACCAAAATGAGCCCTGTAACTCAAAATTTGACCGAGATACTGCATTTTGAAAATGTCGTGGCCAGGTTGACTCCTCCAGGATTTTCAGCAAGTTTCACGAGATTAGAAGTTTAAAAATGATTAACAAATTTGTTAAAGATAAGGTTACAGATCTTAGACAAGTACCCTAAACTTGTCCTGAGAAATGCACCAATAGGTTGAGTTCAATTTTTTAAAGGCAGATAATATTAATTCGTTCTCACGTTTTTAAAGTTAGGTATTGGTGACTTTGAGAATTTGAGCACAATCTATAGAACAATTGGTTTTATCTTTGTCTTCCAGCAAAAAAGAAAAGGGGGGGGGGGTGGTGGATCCACCGCTTGGGGAGAGCACCATACAGATTTTCCAGCAAGTTTCTTAGACTATCCAAAATTGAAACTAAAACTATGTAGTCTCCAGGTTCTCAAACTCACTCAGCAAATCAATACACGACTTTGGGTTTGAGGCTTTCAATTTGTTTCAAAATATTCTACCTACAGAGTTTTTAATTCGATTTTTGTAATTTTTCAGCATGCGGAGCTGTGCCCTCTCCATTTGATTGCTTTCTAGTCACCCGAAGTTTAAAGACCCTTCAGGTCAGAATGCGCGAACATATGACGAACGGACTGGCCGTAGGAAAATTCCTTGAAACGCATCCAATGGTTATTAAAGTACTGCATCCAGGTACATCATGCCTCGACAGAATATCGACGGTGAAAGTACCAAACCACGTATCTCGTTTGCGGTGTTTAAAAATCTACGCTCACATTTTATTTTTTTGAAGTAGACCAAATCAATATCATTCCTTGAAATTTTCACAGAATTTTCTCCGCGCGAAGAGGAAAAATCACAGAAATTTTCAAGACTGGACGTTAATTAGTTTTTCATTTAAAAAATAAAGAATGACAGGAAGTCTGCGACGTCGCAAACCGAGATACGTGGTTTGGAAGTTCACCGTCGATATCCTCTGAATTAAGTATACTTTCATTGATACATGAGCTACGTGTTATAGGAATTAACTCCGAGATACGTGTTTTGAGTTCTACGCTTTTAGGTGACCTCTAGATTTTTTTCGACTGAAATATTTTGATAGCAGATAAAAGGCATCTACTGCACTTCATTTCTGCAATTAACTCACAACCGCCAAAAATCGAGATGCACGGGGTTGCTACCGTTACAAACCGTAAAAGCCCATGATCAGTTACCATGCATCCTTATAAGGTGATTCGTCAAGCATAAGTGACGTGGTCGAACTGGCATGCGATGTATCACATCGATTAGGTCAAAATCTCGAATCAAAAATACAGAAATCGATTTCTGTATCGAATGCGAGGTTTTTTCCAAACACTATTCCGCATTCATTTCTCTGAATTTTGCCGATTTTTGGGTTTAAATTGATACGTTAGGCTTATGCGCAGGGGCTATCGTCCTCTTTTTTTTTTATTAAAAATTCAAAAGCTGCCGAGATTTTTGACCTAATCGATGCGATATATCGCATCTCAGTTTGACCACGTCACTCTAGCTTGACGAATCACCTTAACCGAGAACCGTTTTCTCCTCTTACAAGAACATTCTGCAAACATTTCCAGAAACAAGACTCTCTTGTTCTTCCTGCACGCACTAAAGAGAAAACAAAGTCGTAACACCACAAACAATTCACACATTTTTTTAGTTTGAATTTTCAGATACTCCCAAATTATGTTAGAAATATAAGTATCAAATACATTTGGAGCAGAAATATATTCATGTCTCGCGGAACATTGATGGGCTTAGAGAACAAGGCGCACAAGTGCAGTTTTTGAAAAAATTGAGATATTAATCATTCAAGTGATACTGATCTTGGTGCATATATTGTAAGAAATTCGGTCCCAAATTCTAATTTTTAAGCATCAAAAAGTCAGGAGGAACTTTCTTTTCGCCATAAGGATTCGTGTAATTTTGAAACTTCAAACACGCATTTCTGGAAATAGGAAAATCTGCACTTATGTACCTTGTCCTCCAAGCCCCTCATAATGTTGCCATAGAAATATTCAAGGAATATTACTTTAAGAGCAATATGTGGTTTTATTATTGTTGCTAAAATAATTCTTACTGTGTAGGTTTACCCTCTCATCCGGATCACGCTCTTGCCCTAAGACAGTGGAGTGGATGTAGTGGGATGTTATCATTCTACATCCGAGGTTCTTTTGAGCAGAGTAAAGTCTTCTTCTCATCTTTAAAACTTTTTTCACTTGCGATCAGTCTCGGTGGTTACGAAAGTTTAGTTGATCTTCCGTAAGTTATATCGTATAGGTATAGTACTGTCACGCTAAGGAAGAACGCCGTATGAACATTCGAGAGTTGCCAACATTCCCTTGATAAAACATGTATTTTTGACGACAATAATGCAAGTTTTTCTTTGAAATCTTCAGATATTCTAGGTCAAATTGCGTACGAAGTTGCTGAAAAGAATATTTACACTTTTCTTAGTAAATTCGGTTTTTATCGAAGGAAACTTGGCAGCGCCTGAAGGCTTATACGGCGTTCTTCTTTAGCATGGCAGAGTAGTAGTATAGTGGTTCTGTAAATTATATCAAGTAGCGGTGATCGTGATAAGTTGCGATTTGATCGGAGAATGTATCGCGATTTTATCGACGTCAATTTATTGCGATATTATGTGATAAAAAATTGCGAGAAATTGCGATTTCATCCCATACATTTTCAATAAAATCGCGATTTTGTCTACGGCGATTCATCGCAATATCACCGATAAAAAAATCGCAATAAATCGAAATAAAATTTCGATTTTATGGAGGTAGAATTGCGACAAGATCGAGAATAATCTCTCAAATGTTGATGATTATAGCGATTTTATCGCCAAGGAATCGTAAAAACATTGCAATATACACTGGAAAAAAAAACCACATTGGATCTAGAGTCCAGACTCTTGAAAACATTGACAAGAAAAAATACTCTTGATTCAGTCGCATTTTTGCTTGAATCAAAACGAAATCCGCTCAAATTAAGAGGCTTGGTTCTTGATTTAAGCTAGATTCTGATTGAATCAAGAGTACTTTTTCTTGTCGATGTCTTTAAGAGTCTGGACTCTAGATCCAATGGGTTTTTTTTCCTAGTGTAATCTCCAGAACATCGCAATTTCCCGGTTGAAAAATGGTTTTCTGGTGGACGGTGGAACTCTCAAACTACCTATTTCGGTTTGCGACGTTACAGACTTACTGTCATACTTTGTCCTTTAAATGAAAAACGACTTAACGCCACTGTTAAAAAAACTTCCACGATTTATATTCTCTGTGCGAGAAAAATTCTGACAAATCTTAGAGGAATAATGTTGCTTTCTTCTTTTTAAAGGAGATAAAACAGGAGCGGAGATTTTTAATCACCGCAAATGAACATATTTCTATCAAACGGAACTATGTGCATTATGAAGAGAGCCCTGTAACACATATATTCTTATGGGTCTCGGGGCTCATGGCTTAATGCACATAGTTCCGTTTGGCAGAAATACGTCCAAATTAAATACTTGGTTTAGGAGCTTTACCGTCACTTTAGTGCAAGTTCAGTGGCGTGGCGTGAATTGCGATGTATCGATTGTTTTGCCATTAAAACCAATGGTAAAGAATCGATTATTAAGGTGTTCGCTGCGAACACCCTGTTTATCTATCCTTTTCCATAGGTTTAAATGGCCGATCAATCGACATGTCGCAAAGCACGCCACGACACTGTGCAAGTTGTATGAAACTAGTTTTTACTTGCTCGATCATTCATCAGAGAGCAAAAGTCTGCATTTGAGGGGATTGGAGGACCAAGGCTCATAAGAGCAGTTTCTGCTATTTTAAGAAATACGTGTTTCAAAATTGCACGGAGCCTATATGGCGGAAAGGAAGTTTAAACTCACTTTTTGATGTTTAAAAATTGGAATTTCGGACCGAATTTTTCACAGAATAAATGCGTTCACACTATAGTTTACTTCAAATCATAAATATTCCAATTTTTCAAAAACTGCATTTATGCGCCTTGTCCACTGATAGAAAAAAATCCGGTCTCTTACCAACAAGGGAAAGTAATTAATCGATAGCAGAGCATCTATCAGTCTAAATACAGGACAGTTATACAGAAACCTAGAGCATCGCAGGCAGCAAATATTTCTACATACAAGTAAGTCGCTTTTATAGCGCTCTTTGGCACTCTGCGACGCCCAGCCGCCAGAGCCTCCTATCCTATCAAGGCCCTTTAGGGAGATGCTTGAGGGGGTCCCTCCTCCTCGGAGGCGAAGGGGACGTCCAGTGGAAGGGTGGCAATAGGTGGTGTTAGAGGAAATGAAGGAGTGCCAACAGCCTAAAATGCTTTTGGAGGAAGTAAATATTTCTTTGTTTGTTTTTTTCATGGCCCTCAAGAGCTCGAATGACGCATGCAGCAATGCCTCTGGATGAACAACTTGCCGTTGGTATCACAGACACTCTCATTCGTTTATCCGTCGGTCTCGAAAATGTCAACGATTTGATTGAGGACCTGAAACAAGCTCTTAATGAAGCTGCAGTGACTTTGGAGAATAAAAAGTAGAGAACCGTATTTTTCAGAGGCGCTTCATCACCTCGAGTTGTTTTTTTCCCCTATACGTGCGTACCTATTTGACTTGGAAAATTACACTTTTATACGCCAATTTTGTATAGTGTGGTTTGCAATTGATCATTATAATCAAACAGTTTTAACTATAATCAACCCACCTGCATTGCAAATAACATACCTAATTATGTTTCATACCATTGGGAAATGGGGAAATTGTCCGGTTTGCCATCGTATCGACGCGTGAATGATCGTCTGTCGATATTCCCTCATTTGAAGCTGTGGCAAGGAATCGATTCGTTGCGAACACCCTGCTCATCGATCTTCGATTACGCATATATTGTTCGGATGCCATTAGTCTATTAGACTACAGTTAGACTATTAATATTTTTCTCACTATCTCAAGATCATGTAGACAATACATACACAAAACTTAAAAAATGACGAAAATGGTGTAATGTGACATCATTTTCGGTTTTATCAAGCCTAGCGTACCTATATTAAGAGAGTATGGCCACTGGGCCCCATGGAGAGGCTTAGGACCCAAAAATGGCGGTGCTTTGTTTTGGTTTTTGTGGATGGGAGGGGGGTCATTGCCAACTTTTGACTGTTACCACCAACCGTACTTGCTGCCAACCTTACTACATTCAAGATAATTTTTCTCAAAAATTGCACACGATTAGTCTTAAAAATATGTACCTAAAGAAGTCGCAAGAGTGCATTTGAGTAAATTTTTCGTTACGATAAGCAAAGAAAACTACATTTTGAGTCATTTTGCATTACATTAATTTATGGCGTCCGCCATTTTTGGGTCCTAAGGGCTCCATTCAGCCTAAGATGGCTGAGCCAATCAGAGGTGGCCCCCTAGGCCCCAGTGGCCATACTCTCTCAATATAGGTACTCTAATCAAGCCCGTGACCTTGAGATATTAACCAAAATATTGATAAGTGACCACGGTTATATCGGTCAGCATAGTTGAAAGAATATGGAAACGGACCGCCTCCGCTACAGCGATGCATTGAGGGGGAACACTTGTGAGGCTCTCGTACACTGTCAATCACGGACAAACTGACGGGTCATCGATGACCCGAAATCACACCAATGGCCAATGCGACATCTGAGTTTGTTCGTATTGTAAACATATGGTAATAAAATCAAGCTTCCCACATCCATTGAAAGACGGACGTCGGTGGCCGTGGACGTTCACTTGGACTTGGAGTAAATACTTTAAATATATAATGAATCAAATTGCATACTCAACGAGATGAAGGAGCTTAGAATGATTGCGATGATCGGTAGCCGAGTAGCTGAAGTAAGGGCTGCGTCAGAAGTCCGCTACTACCTCAGTTACATTATAGTTTCGCATCCTGAAGTCGGGACTGCATACCCGACAAAATGAAGGAACTTTTAGAGATTGTAGTGATCTCCTGCAGAATTTGTGGAAAAGCCGTTAGTTTTATCGCAAAAAATAGGCAAATATGGTGATTTTAATACCATAAGTAAACAAACCGAATGGTGACTTCTAACAATCGTTGAAGTCCTTCCCAGGCAGATTTAAAAAAATAATAAAAAACTATCTAACAAAAAATGTAATTATCTTACTCCAAAAAAAAAACCCCTAAAAAATAAGAGTCAATTTTAGGTTATCATGACATTATCGCGTTCCAAGAAAGTCACGAATTCCATGGAGAGAGGGCATGTAAAGATACACCTTGAGTTTTGTTCGTGAGATGGTTGGCATACATTTTCTAAAGGCTATCAACCACCAGGAACATTTATTTACCTACGGTTGTAAAGGGCTCAATGACAGACTACCATTCATGGACCAATGGACAAGTGGTACATATTTCCTGTACTAAAAATATATGAATGGCCAAACTTTCCCTTTACAGGCACTAGTCAAATTGAGGTGAATCGAATTGGGTGCTGAGTGTTCAATGCTAGGTCGAAAGGCCCCTACACGGAAGCCTACCAAGTAGCGAGCCACGAAGCTAAGTGCGAAGTTACAAAGATTCTGATTAAAGTATTTGTAGATCCGAGAGCAACTATACGCCATATAAATTCTCATAGGTAAAAGGTATCGGTATCATTCATCACTAACGCTTTTTTGAACGTGTATAACTTTGGAGACGTAAACGCAGAGTAAGAAAAGTAGATGAATGCGTAAGAACATCTTTGGCAATCTATACCCGGCACGAATGGTAGCATGGGACACTGAAAACCCCTTCAACCGATCTGCTCTATTAATCCTTGCCCGACGACCCCCCGCGCCAAGAACCCCTCTTCCCCCTCTTGCCGCTGCAACGAAAATTATTTAAATAATTTTACAATTTCATGCAATGAAATAATATTGCTGTTACATACTTTTTCACCGGATAATCTAATTGTTTAATGCCTTCATTCCAAATTTTTAAGGACTTACCCTAAATTGGACGTATTTCTACCAAACAGACCTATGTGGAGCTGAGAAATATGGGGTGTGCTCGTCGAAGCTGGATAAGAAGCAATGTAAAAGTGGGCGTGATTCCTTTTGTAGAATTGGAAAAGCGGGATTTTACATTCTATCAAAGAGACCTATGTGGCAACTGAATGCGGGGTTCATGAGCCGCGGGCATGGCAAGAGAGCCTTGTGGACAGGGCTCATGAGTTAAAGACTCCCTCCAACGATCTCCCCGTTGCGTCGGCGCTCGATCGTTGCCGCTGACGTCACTGGCGCTTTATTATTCCCATTCACTCTTACGCAAAGAGAACTAACGAGCACACCCCATATTTCTCACTTGCACATAGGTCTGTTTGGTAGAAATACGTCCAATTATGAAGAACACTCACAAAATTTTATGTCTCAGTGTTGCTTAGCTTTCTGTTTGAAACAAAATGTGAAAATTAGGACACTTCTGATAAGCGATCGACAGAAATATAAAATTTTCTTCGCGGTAGGAACCATCATATTCTATGCAGTGGCGAAGCGTGAATGGTCGATTATCGATAAATCCCCATTTGAAACTATGGTGAAGAGTCGATTATTAATTTGTTCGTTGCGAACACCCTGTTAATCGATCCTTCGCCATAGGTTTAAATGTCAGATCAATCGATATATCGCAAAGCACGCCACTCCATTGATTCCATGCGACTGGGGCCCGACGCTCAAAAACAGAAATTGGAGGGTAAAAAACTAGAGTACCTGTATAGCGAGAGTATGGACAGATCGCTTCATGGAGGGCTTAGGGCCCAAAAGTGCAGCCACCCTTCTAACCAACTTCTGACGCACTAAATTTCACTGCCAGTCGGTAGATTCTAATTCTTACGAAGATGGCTAGGAAAGTACATAAATGAGCGTTCTTCCACGAAAATGAGTAAATTTTTGCAAAAACTAAGTCAAATACGTGCTTTATAAACGATGGTTCGTAAGAATTGTATTAATAAATCGTTCCGGATAATTGAATTTCATAGGTTGGCTGCATTTCTGGGCCCTAACTTTATTCGCGGAGGCATCGGTGAAGGCCTGATGGATTTTCGGAGTTTCACATCTGTCTATACTCTCGCTATATAGGTACTCTAGTAAAAAACTTGAGAAAAAAAGCCGTAAACAGATAACTATTGCAAAGAAGAAAACGTGCAATGAGGCATTGGTAATCAGTTGCGGCAACCAGTCATCAACAATCAGCCATCAATCAGCCGAGTTTCAATTAACAGTCCGTCGAGTGTTCGTTACCGCCACCATCCGACGATCGAGGGAGGATAAGTTATGATAGGTTTTTAGCGTAACCATCAACGGCCCAACCAAGACCGGCGGGTCGACTCTTGAATCGTTATCGAATGAACTTGATGGATAAATCCCTATCTTGGCGATGCTATATATCGATCAAGGTTATTCGATAACGATTCGACAATCGACCCGCAGGGGAAAAAAGACTGGAAAATCGGAACACTCAACTCCCGCGAATCGCTATGATGTCGGATTGAGTCTGGAGTCTATGCATTTCTGGGACCAAGAGGGAAAAGGCAGTAAATCAATCGCTATGTTTTATTTTTTTATATTAATTTTGTTATTAATTTATTCAAGTACACTGCCACGCTAAGGAAGAACGGTGTATGAACCTTCAGGCGTTGCCAACTTTCCTTGGATAAAACACGAATTTCCTGGTAAACTTCTGAATATTTTCCTCCAAGCTTTTCGGATAATTTTGTTCGCAATTTCACCTAAGGTTCCTGAAAATTTCAAGGAAAAATATTCATTCTTTCCTCAAAAATTAACATTTTATGGAAGGAAATTTGGCAACTCTCGAATGTTCATACGGCGTTTTTCCTCAGCAAGGCAGTATAGCCTATCGACTAATACATTTCCGTACATACGTTTTTTATTCTTTCTTTCTTACCTTATTCCTTCCCCACCTTCATATCTCAATAATCTGCACTCGCCCCAGTTGTTGTTCTGATATACCCTCAATTTAACTAATAAATTCCTTTTGAACGCACCCAGTCGCTTGAAAAAGTCACTTAAAAGAAGTGCAGTTCAGCATTCGTTTGTGGAAGGATTTAAAAAATGTATCCTTCTCAGTTAAAATATGTCGATCATTTCAAGGATTCTCTCTCTACAAATTACAGTGAGTGAATGTTGATGGTAAAACTCCCAAACCGCGTATCTCGCTTGCAGTGTTTCTAAATCTCCGCTCCTATTTTAGTTTTTTAAAGGAGCAATAATCAACGCAATTTCTTGAAGTTTCCTCAGAATTTTCCTCGCACAGAGGGAAAAAACACGGACATTTTCAAGAATTGCCGTTGAGTGGTTCTCCATTCAAAAACTAAAGCATGACATGAGGTCTGCAGCCCCGCAAACCAAGTTGCGCGTTTTGGGAGTTTTGCCGTCGGTATGCTCTCTATATAATATATTGAAACGAGCTGAAAATTCCGTAGTCCTAAAAGCATATCAATGCACATCCACCTATTTTTCACTCCCAAGTAGTTTATGCGGTGCAATGAAAATATTGCAATAAAATTGCAATGTATTGTCCCATAAACTTAAGATATTTTTATGTAATTTTATCAACAAATACCCATGTTAACCATCAAAAAAACGAGTTGATTGCACAGCTCTATGTCTC